GGCATCTTGTTGTTGATAAATAATATTTACAGTTTTATTTCTAGAACATTTCCATTTTCTATCACAGATTTATTCTCTACTCTACTACTACACGTATTATCAGTTCCGCGGTTACGTTGCTCAGATGGCGTTATGTCAGACATCGCGTCAACGGTTTTACACGCTTCACCGGTTCCTTGCGTCTGCTGTCTGCTTGCGTCGGCTGACGTTACGTGCGCCATTGCGTCGACTGATTTATTCGCTTCACCGGTTTCGTGCGTCTGTGGTTCGGATGACGTTATACGCTTCGCTGCGTCGTTGTCCTTGACGACCGCTGTTTTTGCTTCGCGCGTCTCTATTTCGTCCATTGTATTAGCTTTTTCTGTATTAATTTTATCATTACTTTGGCTATCATTATTTACATAGCGAGAAATAAAATCGGCCACTGGATTACTTGACCCCGGTATGTGAGAAAACGAGTTTGTCATACTTGTGATGTAATCCAGTTGACGATTTTCTCTGTCGCTGGGTCTATTTGTCGGATTATTTAGTGCCTGAATTAACGCTTTGTTATCGGATAATAATTGAAATTGTCGACCGATTAAAAGATTTTTAAAGTACTTAATGGTTAAGTAACAAGCCATTAGTTCTTTGGAGAAAATAGTATAGTTTTTCTCTCGCTTGTATAGAGTTTTTGAAAAGAACCCCAAGGGCTGGTTTATTCCGTCAACATATTGTGTTACGGCCCCTGCAATAGCAGACGAACTTGCATCACATATTACCGTTATTGGCACATCAATTCTTGGGTGTGCTATCATGCATGCGTTAACCAAACACTCTTTGATTTTATGAAAGGCAGCATCACATTCTGCTGTCCAAATTGGTTTTTGACGTTTGCGGTTTTTATCTGAGACTAATTGAGTAATCGGATAATTATCTCGGAATATCTGGCTATATGTTTCCTATAAAAATTGCACATGCCTATGAATTTGCGACATTCTGTAATTGTTTGTGGTACTCGAAATTTTTAATAACCTCGACTTTGTCTCTGATTGGTTTTATTCCATTTTCATCAAGTTCGTAGCCTAGATAAGAAAGATTTGACTTTCCAAACTCGCATTTTTTTAGGTTTAGGGTTAAACCATAGTGGTTTAGTCGTTTAAATACTTGATCGGTTACTTTCAAGTTTTCCTCTTTTGTTTTAGTGTAAATTAGTAAATCATCAAGATAGACAAAAACATTTTTCAACCCAAACAAAACTTTACTCATGAAGTTAGAGAAGGAACTGGGTGCGGAAGCAATGCCAAATGGCATCATAATGGGAATATACTGAGCATTTCGCGACGCTAAATGCACACTTATGTCTATGTAACGGATTAAGTTTGATATTTGAGTAAGCCGATTCAAGGTCGAGTTTAGTAAAGATTGTACATCCGGCGAGTTCCGACGTAAAATCTTCAAGTCTCGGCAATGGGAATCTTGGGATTCTTGTAATCAGATTCAAACGTCTATAATCAAAAGTCAAACGAATTGAATTGTCCTTTTTAGGAACTACGTTCAGCGGGCTACAATACGGGCTAACTCCGCGAATTATATCTCCGTTTTCTAATAATTTATTTATCTCGTCGTCTACTTGCTTCTTATATTTGAACGGAACCGGTCGGTCTTTTGTATAAACTGGAGGTCCAAAAGTTATAATATCGTGTTGATAATTATGATTAATTCCTCGAAATTTTGCATGTTTCCGGATTAAAATTTCTGGATATTTTTGCAATAATAATTGGTATTCCTTATCTATTGTTTCCGGTATTAAGGTTAATATTGGCGCACCACTTAACGTATTATGACACGGAATCGAAAAATCGTCTGCTCTATTAGTTAAACAATTGTTTGCTAAGTCTATTACCAGTTTATTTTTAACAAGAAAGTCTATTCCAAGTATACCATCAAATTCTATGTTTGCTAACACACAATTATGTGTATATTTCACCTTATCTGCCAAGCAAATTTCAATTTCGGTATTGCCCACTACGGTTAATTTTGTGCCATTTGCCGTAATCAGAGGTTCATATTTTCGGTCACGAATAATATGTGTACCGGGATTATCTTCGGAAAAATTTTTTTATGGTTTTAAATTGATGTAACTTTTTGGCATTTAAAATACTATAAGTTGATCCAGTATCAACTAAAAGTCGATTTTTAGAAAGGGAATCATATACAAAAAATAATTTATTGTTGCTTGACAGAGACGGTAAATTATTTTTATTTAAATTTTTACAATTCTTAAATTTATGTACAGCATTTGTTTTACGAGAGGGTAGACCTTCCGGGCTGTTAAAACCAGAAAAGTCTACCCTTCGGCTAAAAAATTCTTCTTTCTAGGAAAGCTGCAAGGGGCATTACATTTGACTGCGTTTTCTCCAAATTTATTATGGAAATAGCAGAAATTTACATCACAATTCCGTCTCCAGTTATAATTGTTCGAATTGAAAGTATTCCTAGGATAACCTCTAGCAAACTTCCTCGTTTCAAATTGACGCCTATCTTGAGAATTGTACTGTCTCGCTTGATGCTGCGGAGGGGCATTATATCGATGAACCGGGTTAAATTTTGGTTCGAATCTTGGGCTGTTTATTGCTTTGATTTGGGTATTCAAATTATCAACATTTTTAGCCAGAGACGTTACCAGATCTGTTAATTGCTCCAGTTTATTTTGTCCAGAATTGTCTTTTTGATAGGAACTTGTAACATGGTTCGAATTATTATCTGAGGAATCATAAATTTGCATCGCGCGAGCCAGCAATTTCTCGCATGAATATTTTGCTATATCTGAGTATAAGACGTTGGCTATGTAAGCTGGTAACAATGCTACAAACACTTTCTTTATTAGATTTTGAACTTCTATACTGTTTCTATGTCCCCCAATAAAGGAATCTTTCAAATATTTAAGAATAATATCTGGCCTTTCATTTTGTAATTGCCCAGAAAATATTTTCTGTAATTTTTCTCGAGAATCCGGTGCAAAAATGTCCAACAAAATTTGTTTCAGTTTTTCATAATTAATTATTATGTTCATCGAGCGGCATCCTTGCCCTGACAAGATCCAGTTGTGGAGAATTTAAACACCTTAGTATATAGTTTTTCTTTTGCGAATCGCTGACTATTTGATTTTCAGCGAATTCGTTTTCCGTTAAAAAGATCCAATTTTTCACCCGAATTTTCCCAAAGTGGTCTCGTGGGAATTCTATGCTTTTCATACAATATTGTTCTAGGTTCAGTTATCTGAGAGATTCTGGAATTTATGCCGTAATTCGGTCCTGAATCTTCTACTCTATCTTTATTGGTCAAAAATGGGTTGTTTGTGTCATTAAATTTCCTAACCGACGGCAATTGAAAAGTTATTCTCTGTCCAGAATCACCTCCCAAATCCTCGCACTGCGTAAGCTCCATATCAACAACAGGTTTTGTTTCCTTTGGGGACGAACTTTGCCAATTACAATTGTCATCTTCACGTTCAATTAAATTTGATTCAGGAATATTCAAATTTTCAAGTCCAAATTCTGTTTCGTCTTCAATATCTCGACGTTTTGGTATTTCAGGCGTAATATGTGTTAATTGATATGGATTTACACCTGATTGTTCTGATTTACGAGCTTTGCTTCGCGTAAACATTTTTTGTAATTTGGACATTTATTTACCGAATAATCAATATACCATACAACCTTATACACACTTAAGTAAAACCAGGTACAATATTGTAAGAAGATAATACAAACCAGGTCAAACAGTTGATAAATCACACGGAATAGTTAATAGAATAAAATGACTTACGATTGTTGACGATCCATAATAATCCCGACGTTCGGGGTCACCAATGTAACTTCTGGAATGTCTTTGCTTTCTTATGAGCGTATTAGATAAGTATCTGACTCCAAAACAGAATATATAGTAGGTTACGTGTTCAAATTGAGATATCTGTTAATTTTATATAACAGTAAGGATCTGACCAATTTGCCTGTAAAGATTTTTATTTCCACGGATAATATATCACAATAAATTTACTTACAATAAAACACACTCACAATCGTGAAAACCAAGTCGGTGATGAATCAGCATTGTTGTATCGAACGAATTGAAATAGAAAAGGGGTTGCTGTATCGAACGATTTGAAATAGAAAAGCCGGTTGCTGTATCGAACGAATTGAAATAGAAAAGCCGGTTGCTGTATCGAACGAATTGAAATAGAAAAGCCGGCCAAACCACGATCAAAATGTCTATTTAAACGGTAACATCTTTTTCATCTCGCTCGCCAAAAACGGTACCTTTCTTTATTATCCAAAAATCTCGTTTCCCACGGAGCAATTTTTGCTCATATCTAGAATGTTCGGTACCCTTCTTACAATAATTACACTTGTTTATAGGTTACCTGACATGGGAAATATCCATTTTCTCATACACGAGAAAGATCTAGACTCAATATTTCGAATGATCTAGAAAGATCTCTTCAATATTTCGGTTGTTTATGGGTCACCCGACATGGGAAAATATCCATTTTCTCATACACGAGAAAGACTAGAAAGATCTCTTCAATATTTCGATTACGTCAATTATTATATAGAATTTGACTTCCATTATCCAAATTATTGGTTAATTTGTTACACTAGAAAGTACAAAATGCAGACGGCTGGATTATTTTTTTAAATCCAGACAATGTGTCGGCCAACTCCTCGATTGCAGTAACCAAGAATATTGCAATAAATTTGATTAATATTGTTTTGCAAAAGCATCGCGAGACATCATAATGGTTATATTGTTTTCACAAGCATCCTAATAACAAATAATCAAAAACAAATTTCTTCGTTTAAATTCTTTGAATAAAAGCAGAGATTCAACCTCCAATTTACTGTTGAGGAACAATCGAGTTGGTCATGTTAAAAAACTAGTTCGTTAAATAATAGAAAAGAAAAATTCCGTCACTGTAAACGCTAGATTCGACTTATATTTCCCATTACCCATGTTACCTGACTAAACTTGATTTGCATATCTTTGTTGCTTATGTTCCTCAGGTCCAGCACAAAAATTGTATTTCTGAAAGATCGAAAATTACAAATTTTTGTCGATTGAAAAATGTGTAGACTTGTTCACTGATGTCATGAGAAAGCAATGTATTATGGGATACATTTCTTAGGCCATGGGAGTATAACGATACGAAAAAATGACTGTGGTGATAGATAGCTGTCAAAATCATTCCAAGCAGCCATATTATCGAATAAAATATACTATTGAGTTCAATAAAGATTTTTCCATCCCACTTTGATTGATTATATTTTGTTTTAGTCTTCGGTTTGTAATGGTCAATAGGTGAAAGAAATGTTGTTGTATATATTTCACTTTACGACACGGGCTTTACAGAAATTCCTAACGTGGCTGAATTGAATTTATTTTATAGGTAATTATGCTATTTAAAATAACAATCCCCTTCAATTATTTCGTTTTCTAGCGGCGTCCGTGAGAGTTTTCAGTATACTTCAAGTTAGCTATCTTTATAAAATATTCATTCCTTGACAGTGACCTCAAGACAACAAATTGAAAATACATCTATCATATAAGGCCCTTCGAAAACAGGGCGCTCGATCGAATTTCTCCGTTATCTACATGCATTTTTGGTATGATATGTATTTGACTAAGTGTATTGAGGCAAAGAAAGTCCCAAATTAAATTTTGACGTGACTTAATTTTCCCTTCGGCTTTTTTAACTCATGGATCGATAAACTCGGTCACCAAACTCGGAAAAGCCCCTTTGCCAATATCTAATTTATTGTTGTCTGATGAATTAGGGATAGAGTCCAACAAATCTAACAAACATAATATTGCTTTTTCTTTGATCAATTATCAATTATTGCAACTTGCAATTAAACTAAATAGGTCGAATGACTAGACAAAATTAAAGTTGTCTTGATAACTTTTATTTATTAATAATTTCATAAATTTGTATGAAGTCTGGTGTGATACATGCTGAGTGTAAACTTATATTTTATATAAGCTTATGACTTATAAAAATATCCGTATTTGAGGAAATCGCTCATTTTTGAATAGTGTATATAGCAATAAAGTGGAATATAAGTTCATCAGGTCACAAGACTGACGAACAATAGCACATATTTTAGTAAAGCTGGTAACTTTTTATGACTAAGTTACTTTCATACTGCAACTCTAAACAAATTTAAATAGAAACCAGAAATGATACTTTGTTGGTCAAATTGACGATTCTCAATAAGAGAAGTAATTTTAAAACCCCTCAGGAAGCACAATACAGTGACATGTATAGTCCAATATGTCACACGACTGGTGAACAATATGGCATATTTCGCCAACGTCGATGACTTTTCATTACTACAGTTACTGAACTGTTTAACAAATAAATTCTATACATAGTTATAAATAGAAGACAAAACTGAAACTATGTTCAAAAAGTTCTCTATGTTAAATAGGAGAAGTTTTTTAAAAAACAACCAGGATGCTCAATCGAGTGACACACACGTACGAATATACGAACCTTGCAGTAACAACCGCCCATTCTTCATTCAACGTCTTCACTTCTTGCAAATCAATCAACTCCCTGAATTCCCCATTCACTCCCATGCCAGTGAAGGATAGTATATTTCCTGGTAAAAATAAAAATTAACGTGGCTGCTAAAAGATGACGAACGATGTCACGAGTTCGAAAAAGTGTATACACATTTCGTTTGAATTTTGAGATATCGCGGAGAAGGGGTTAAGAAAATCATAGACGCACGTGGAAGCGTTTATATCTCACAATGTTCAACAATACAAATAGTACAAGCTTCAGTTTTTGTTTCAAGGAAATGAAATTGCAGGTTGATTTCCAGGAAGTCACCTTGCCACAGAGAAAGAAGTATCTATTATATTCGGTTCCATTACATTTGAACCCACGTACATTTGAACCCATGGCAATTGCACCTGTATGCTATTGCACCTATGAATTTTTTTTTGTTTCACGGATAGTTAAACCCATACTAACCCTAACCCATGGGTTTTAGCACCCGCATATAGATTGAACCCGTGGATATACGCATGGGTTCAAATGTACGGTCACCATTATATTCATATGCTGTAAGCACTTTCGGATAGAAAAAAGAGAAAAAGGTCTGAATATACATTTCTCTCCATACAATTTTGTCAACCTGTATTCTTTGGTTAGTTTAGTATACGCATGATACAATACATGCTACTGTACTGATGTTCACCACATATTTAATTTAAATGCATTGTATTCATACATTTTTAGTACAAAGTCCCTCGACAAATCGAAATCAATGAACATATCGGGGAAGCCCTTTCATCGGCTAATGAAATCACCAATCGATTTTCACCTGTTATGCTGATTGCACGGAATAATTAGCTCCCGTAATTTAGCGTCTACTATCATCAAATGTTGTATTTTGGAGTACAACCACGAATACTGTGATCACAAACGACAACATATGCTCCACTAATATCCAGAATAATATGCATTCTGTCCAATTTAGTTTGGAATGTATTGTACGATTGTACATACCGGTATGTGAGAATTGAAAATTCTGGAGACCCAATGGCAGTTAAAAATTTCCCATATCAGACCGTTAATTTTTAATCGAGCGTGGGTTTAATTTAAATTGAATTACTTACGTTGTGAAGTAACAATTCTTTTCGGCGTCCAGTCATCCGGTAGTGCTGACGTCATACAAGAAATAACAGTGAGGTATGCCAGCAGGCTGATAATCGAACACATTTCTGTAGCTTCGACAGCAGTATTCAACAATCAATTACAAACTAAGCTTGTTTACGTCCTGATTGTAACTGCACACGATCCACAGCGACAGAAAAATTATATGTGTGATAAGTCAGCTCATTCGGACATGTGGAATGATGTCCCTTTATATTGATTACTTTATATCTATCACGCTGAAGTAAACATCAAAATATATGTAATATACACCAGTTTTATGCTGAAATATCGGAACTGTTAACCAGTTCATTGCTGTCATCCACAGATCTTACTTCCAGCGTTATCAGAAGCGCTGGAAGTCTACCTGTAGAGTGAAATACTGCCTGCTGTACTCGACTACACATATTTCTAATACAACGCATCAAAATTCTCACAATAGATTGACACGCACAGATCCATTTCAATTCAACATTACCGGTGTGCCCGGATATTACGTCGTTCTCTTGCTTCACAATGGGACGACTTGCGCTAACGTTGGCACTATCGATTGTTTACAATTGCATGCATTGTTTGCGCAGCGACATAATCTGATCAAATCCAGAAATAATGTTTATAAACATTGTCACACGTCACACCCTGTATTTACACTCACGACATTAATTATCAGATGCTTCGAACTGGAATCTGTGGTCAATAATAACTCCGTCACAGCTCAAAAATGTAACAACTTTGTGCGGTGAAATTGCAATGCAAAGACTAACTTACTTCACTTCCACAGCAGTCTAATTCCAGCCAGATACGCTGAACATAAAGCAACTTTGAAAACATAGATACTTTTTCACAATAAAATCTATCCAATGAAAGCTATGATATGCTGACAACATTTAGTATTGCTATGTTCGTCGTACGTGCAAAATAAAAAATCTCATTTTTCTTTCGAAAATATCATAAACGAACAAAAATGGTTTGAGTAACGAATCTTCGTGTGCAAGAACCACTAAGCTCATCATGCAACGCAAAGTACTCTATTAATACGACAGCTGAAAAATATGATTGCTTTAACCCAACCTCGAACTAGCTTCGAAAAATTTGAACGTTCAATAAAATTACGCAAGGTTAATTGCAAAGCATACGTAGCGTGAAATTACATTGCTTCCTCAAGAGAGAAAGCGTAGCCTGACATCGAATCTAATGACCAAAGCCTGCAACGCACCACGCCACGCTCTGTTCCGATTGATCACCCCACTAAAACAGTTCCTGTAGTGTAGAGAGCCATGAGTAGAAGCACAAAAATTACAAGCATTTTACGGTAGTTTTTCTTGTATTATCGAATACCATTCTATGTCTTTACGTTATGTTTTTAAGACACATATAGCTTGAAAAATAGTCTGTCATTAAGAATGGTATTCAACTGAAAAATAAAGAGTTTTACTACTAAAGCATCTATACATTTACTGTGTTTTATTAACAGTGTCTTCGATCTTGTATTTACTCGCTTCCCGAAATCAATAATTTATTTATTGGGATCGGAGTAGATGCAGATGCGACAAGGCTGCTACATGCAACAGCTCATTAGGCTGCGAGAACCTTGTAACAATGTAGTTAAACTGATGAAGCGTATATCTTAATAACATGATACCCGATCTGGCTGAGGAAGATACGTCTCATAACAATTTATCCCTTGGTGGTGATAAGATTTCCTTTAAAAAATCCTAGATTTTTGTAATAATCATATATTTTACCAGTTATAACAATGTTCTATTATGACATATAATCAAATTTGTTGGTCAGTGCCATTGACATTCGCTGTGCATTGATTTTAACGTATAAAATATACCGGTTTATAGTTACTTATGTATTTTAATACGTAAATCACAAAGCAGAGTAAAGCTTGTTATTTTACTACCCTTTTTGATCTAAAGCTCGGTTGCGCCTTTGTGATTAAGGGCGGTTACGTGCTTCTTTCTGAATGAAAGCCATATAATAGGTAAGGGTAGGATTTTGTTAACTCACAATTTATCAGTCAATTGCGATCAATGATATTGCTCAAAACGCAAATAACTTAGAAGTGTACGATTGTACACGAGAAACAACTCATTGAAATAGAGCGATTGTAGCAAAGTCTGTAGCGTAAGTGCACAACACGGGGCACGCAAGTCCAATGCGGCACGCCATATGCTCGAACGTGGCACACTAACAGTATGGAAAAAAATAATTCTTGTATTTATAAGTCCCAATAACTTGCGTTTATATCGAAGTAAACGTAAATCGCAGTCAAAAACGTCTTCAGGACATTTGAATAAAGAGTTTTTTGTTAATGTCTCTTACTAAAGTTTGTTGTTATGTGTTTTACGGAAGTTGGTTTACAATACCAACAATTATTCGAACGTGACGTGGCACGCGACAAGATTGATTTGAAAACTATGGCACATACCCTCCTAGTCTATTAAGCCTCTAAGGTCGTTTAATATAAGCAATGAAAATGAAAGAAGGAAAATTAGAAAATTATTTTAGGAGTTGAATCAAAATACAAATGCAGTTCGTCACGTATTGCTGACATGTTTTCTTGTCCGGGTATAATAATCATGGCAATCGCCAAAAGAATTTTTACCTCACATAAACTAAAGTAATAATTAAATATACAGCAGTTTAATTGTTCGTAAATTAGTTGTATTTATTTGGCGTTAGAAGTATCACAGAGGAACAGTCATTTTACAGTAAGAAATTTTCATATGTATATATGTAATTTTTGTACAATATATCTGTGTTGAATATTGCAAATATAAGATAAATATAACTCTCTCTATATATATACCACTACGAAGAGCTTGCCTATTTTAAATTATGTGCTGCTATAAAGTTCTTACTAGGTTTCCTTCATCTTTCATGCAAACAAAGAATTGGGGTTCAAAATATAGTTCGCTAAAATGAATAGAAAAAGTATATAGGAAGGGAGATACAAGCTACAGCTACACGCCTGTGACCACACCGCTAATTATCATGAACAACATAGGTAAGCGTGGATGGTCAACCTACGCCTGAGATTTTAAAATATTACTAAAACCTATATCAACCAATCTTTGTAATTATGGGATATGTCCGTCCGCAAGATTTCCATTGATTTTGCTATCCCCATGTAGGAAATTCTCTCTTTCCCACTTGGAGAGCAATTCAACTTGATTAGATATTTACTAGCGTGCAGTGAAGTCTTATAAATGCTTTTTAGCCGAGAGTCGATCCCGATTTCAAAATTAAAGATTTGGTCTATTTATTCTTGCAATGTTAAATAATTGAAATGCAAATTACAGTGACTGTCTGATAAATCTTTATGCATTACATTCTTAACAGTCTCAGGCCGGAAGCTGTCATCTTTCGTACAGAAATTTCCTGTGCGTGTGCGTTCTATATACGTCATGTTGATGGGGGAAATTCTTACGCTGCTCTGAGTAGTATATGACTCACATATATGACACATTCTATGTAGATAAGACCTTTAATACAATCTTTTTATATAAAAATTATTAAGGACCGTGTTAATTTATATTTTTCCATAAATATATTATCGATTTTAATCAGTAAATGAAACAGCAGCAAAATAAGTACAATACTTGGTGCTCCCGTAGTATTCTTACAAAGATGGCGCACAACCTGAACATAGTATTGTACCAGGTTACGGTTAGCAGATTGTGCGCCATCTTGGTGCGAATACAACGGGAGCCCCCGATATTTAACATTGCGTCGAGGAAAGGATATAGGTACAGAACATGAGTACGCTACAGCATTATTCTTTGTATATCAATATTTACATATATTTGCTGGAGTCAAAAAACTCGACCATACTTCGCTAATAAGAATAGTGACATAGGAGGCAACCAATGAAGGACGTAAGAGCACAGTACGCATAGTGTATAAGAGAAGGATTATATCGTATCGCAGAAACATAATAGCGTACTGCAATATTTGAATCATGTTTTATTTTGATATTTCTTTCATTGTTTTAATTATGAACGGCATCACTGACGAAACTTTAGTAAAATATCCGGGATATTGTTTATTGTCGTCGTATTTTTCACCACATCCAAAACCCCAGCTAACTATTCCAATCTGCGTCCAGTATTCTGTGCCATCTTCAGCAGTTATCTATATATATTAAGGTAAAAAGCGTTAGTAATATAGAAAGTTCTATAGAGCTTTGAGGACTTCAAAATTTTTGATATATTTTAAATGGTGACCGTACATTTGAACCCATGTGTATATCCGCGGGTTCAATCTATATGCGGGTGCTAAAATCCACGGGTTAGGGTTAGTATGGGTTCAAATATCGTAGAACTGAAAAATTTCCATAGGTGCAATAGTATGCAGGTGCAATCGTCGTGGGTTCAAATGTAATAGAACCGTTTTGAAATCATGATTAAAAATTAAAACAAGAGAGTGATGCTCAAATATATGGACACGAAATCCAAAACGCTGTAGTACGGTTATGCAATCTGTCACAGTAGAATGAGTAGATGTACCAGCCGTCACGATGTCATAAAATGCGGAAGATAGCCATCAGAATGTCATAAAACGTGTTTCCATAAATAAAAAAATATAGAGCGCATTTTAGATGAAATATCTGATCTCACAGAAAATTTAGGAACAAATAAAAGTAATAGCCTTCTAACTAAAAATACAATCTTTAGTTACTGAAAATTTAATGCAATTCAAAGCAATTGGTTCATTAGTGAATGAGAAAAGCGATTTTTTCATAATTCATATAGCAACAACAAGAAAATACCAAGAAGAACAACAGCAACAACATAAGAGCAAAACGATCCATGGGTCCACTTCGTGACAAAACTTACCCTTTTTACAAGCGGACCGCCGCTATCGCCATAACAAGCGTCCACTACAGAGTTTCTTTTTCCACTTACTGCACACAGCATACGTGATGTGTAAATTTTGTTCCTCCAGAATTGATTGATTTCTTTTAGAGCATCATTACATCTAATTGAAGCAATGCGTTTCATTGTTAATGTAATTTCATCTGCATGCCTAGTCACTGTTTTGCGCAATACGCGTGAAAAAGTCGTACACGATGGGCACGTACCGTTATTTACATATTTCAATAGAAGTATCATAAAAAGAAAAATCTGCCTTGTTTATTGGATTTAACCGAAATCGTTAAATAAAATCAAAACTTAGCTTGTATTGTGATGTCATTCAATGCGTTTTCATCGGACTGGTTTGAATAAAGAAAAACAAAAATTTTAAACAAATACGTTCTTACATTTTATTTTCCGCGATTCTAAGAGTTCCTTGCTGTAAAACATTTGCTCCACCGAGCAAGTAATTTGAAGTCGTACCATAACCAATAACAGCAGCTAGTTCAGACTTGATAGCTGTTAAACGTATAGAAAAAAGAACAAATAAGATTTGTCCAAACATATATAGAGAAACACCGGAGATATAATATGTGAAATAGTTGTCTATTATAATATTAGAACTGTGAAATATGTTAATTGGATGAAACAGAAACGGCACACGAGTACTAATAAGCAACGCATCAAATGAACATTAGTAAATACCGTCAACTCGGGCAATTTAACACAGAATTAAATGTTGCCACTAACTTTTTCTTCTCCCACAGACATCGTCAGAAAATTGTTCACGTATATTTGGATTTAAAGCTTTTCCAACACCTTTTGCACAAGGCAAACAGATGGGTCGAATGTAAAGAGAGAATGGAATTTTTCCATGCGTTAATGAATTGTCTTCTACGAACTTGTTGTTTTTTACTCCAAGCTGCTTCCCAATTCTCATCTGGTAAATTGCAATAATATTAAATGTTTAAGACCAGATAATTCGAGATAAAGCTACTCGGTCCCTAGGACTCTTTTCTTCTTTTTTGTTGAAGCGATTAACTATTATCAATATTATTCAGCTTGACTATGAGGACTTCGCAGGTCAGAAATATCTAATTTAAGACTCTGTCCAACTGAATAATAAGGCTGGCAAACCAAAGATTCCAACTCTATTTTGAAGGTGTACAATTTTCTCGTGTTTGCGTGAATGCATAACCAGAAAAAATACAGAAAAAAATACACCATCCGAATATACGAAATCACAATAATCATTTTTTTTAGAGAACAACGCAATAAGAAGGTGACAATTTCGTTCTGCAAATTATTGCTACAAAATGATAACTCCAGACTCGTGTCTAAGCATTACTTACCATCGCCACATCGTAGTCAAAATTGTCCTTGAAATGTTTATACTTTGGATGTATTATCAAATGAGTCGATTCGAATACGCGAGAATTTTTAGAAATGCTGTATTTATTTTGTACTTTGACCACAGTCAAACCTGAAAAAAACGAAAATTGTCAAAGGTATTTTCATTCAGCCGTACGCGAAAAATCGGAAATTGTTGATTTTTTTGATGGAAACACGAAGAAGCTGATAAAGAGTTGATAGTATGTCTTACTTTGAGCTGCATGATTGGCAATCGAAAAAATTATATACATGAATATAACTAGAACTAAGTGACAATCTTCATAAGGACACACACTTATAAACTTATTTCTTTTAGAGTTGTTCTCTCTGGATCGGCAGAAAGCATGACATTTTCTCCGCTGATCGTGCAGTAAACATGTCAATTTAATTCAAAAATAAAACCTAATCATAAATTGATCGTCAGTACTGGAACAACCACATACCGCACCCTACTTCATAATACCCAAATTAATTAGATGACCTTAAGCTTTCGTTGTCATGTTAAGTTAATTCATTAATAAAACTCAATCAAAAATTATTTTTTAGTATTGAAATAACCACATATTGCACCACACTCCATAATACCTAAAATAATTAGATGTTCTTCAGCGTTTGTTTTTCCTTTTGCTATGATGTCAGCAAATATATGAGCAGCTGTGAGAATCCATTGATTGTTGACGATAGCGCCGCCACCTTTTAGTAACGGAAGACTCTGAAACGAACTTTCACAATTACTACACGAATATAACCACCGACGTCACCTCCTTTCATATTAAAACTGACCAAGAACATCGAAAATGAAATAAAAAACATTAAGGTTGTATGGAAATGTGGTTTTTAATGGAAATTAAATTACAGTTTACTAGTTCAAAATAACAAACAACCATCGAGAGAATATTAAGTTCATGTAATGTCAGAAGATAATGATCATAAGATATACAGTATTTCTTAAAATCAAAATCGAGTTAAAAACTGGATAAACAGGTTTTTTATCATCAGGTTGTAACAATTGTAACAATGTAATCGGAGGGTTTATTTGAGTGCGAAGATAAATTTTTGTCTGTTGTCATTGGCAAATTTTGGCTGCTCTAGATTCCATGATTCACTAACCTTTGTGACATCATTATCCTTGTTGAGTACTATCATAGCCTGCCACGGCCATGCTCCTTCTATCGCAGAATTTCCTGCTAACACTCTTGCACCAACAACTGAAGTTGAAAACATGGAACCGATGTCTCCCGCTTGTCCGCATGTATCAAACTCTGAAAAATTGAATTTTTTGATTCAAGTTCTTCTTTCTAAAAATTTCAACATAAACCAATAGGAAAATAAGAACAGCGAAATCAAAATTAAACATAAAGTTACATGTGCATTTACCAATAAAACAGCTGGCTATACCTATTATTCGCCAGAACTAGAAATGATTGCTCTTGAGATGTCTCTTTATATAACATTCTGCTTTGCGGAATTTCTTCCCAGTAATGCAAACTTGAAATGTTTCAAAAATTGCATCCGCCGTTATATACTGACATCTCTATCCCAATGACTAACCCAAGCTATCACTTACAACTTTTATGCTTTCTTCTCTTTTAGATGAGGGTGTTTGGGGAAAATTGTAAAAATATACAACAGGTTGTGCAAAAATATGAGAATATATATGTTTTCTTTTAAATACTCACTAAGGCATCTTGTTTTATTCCCTGACCATTTTCCATCCGAACGACAAATTTTTCGTTCCGTGCCCGATAGCGAGTAACCTGGCTCACAAGAATATTCCGCAAAATGACCGTATGTTCGATCATCAAAATGCACAAAACCGTTTTCGGGAGGTTTGGGTACCTCACATAGGATTTTTTCTAAAATGTAGAAAAATAAAAATAGTTTTGAATTATTTTTACCATATTCTGCAGAAATGGCGATTGCAAACTTCTAAATTTTTACCTGGATCGAAACAAGACTTCCCGCATACGTCATCACAAAGACAATCTTTCGATATTCCATTACATTGAGACCTTTTATCACAAGATTTTCTGCACTTTCTTCCATGTTCCAAAAACTGTTTTGCTTTATAGCAGGATTTAGCTGAATCACAAAATTTAAACATTCGTAGAACTATTTTTTCGAGCAGGAAATGAAAATTATTTCAACATTCAAAGAATTCTCCGACGCCGAACACTAACGGGATCTAATATATCTATTGCTACGACAAAAGTTTGTAACTCTGTTATATTTTATTGCAAATTTTGAAACTATATCTAGAGATGCGGTAAAATCTCATCTAATGCAAACCTTTTAAAAGGTATCCCGGTTATCTCGAGGAAAGTTTAAGCTTGAATATCCTACCTGTGCAACTTGGTGGATTCTTCGACCATTCTCCATTTTTGTTGTTACATGTTATACTGACAGGACCGTTTAAAATATATCCATAATCACACTCGAAATTAACAATGGAATTGAGAGAAGAGATCGCCATTGTCACGAAACCATTCGGAAGAGATTTGATCGGTTTACATTTTACAGCTTTGTTCTCTAAATTTAACAAAAGTTGAGGTAAACTCAGAGAAAGAGAGAGACGAGAAATTGTCGCCATAACTAACTCCTTAGTTGCTTTAGTTCCAGCATCGGAGGTCGACTTGCAACAGATTGTATTTGCAACGTTACGAATCACGATGTAATTTATGAGTACTAAATGTAGATTTGTAACACAAAATTGTAACATAAAAATGTTTTGCTATTTTACAGCATGCCCCAGATACAAATTAAAATACTCAACGTAGGCTCAACACATTTGAGAAACTTTCCGCGCATATTTTTTTTTGAGAATCAACTTCAAGCCAACAAATAGCTTACTTGTACATATAGGTACGTTTTTTGTCCATTGTCCGTTTGCTTGGCATGAAATTTCTTCCGTACCAGAGATTGTATACCCATTGGAGCATGCGAAACGAAGCTTGTTTCCCGGTCTATATCTTTTTCTCTTTCCGATCATTTTTCCGTTTTGAGGGACTTCTATATTGGCACAATCTGCGCGTAGATACAGACAATGTTTTAATTTGCAACTTTTTAAAAAAAAAATTATTACAAATTTTTAATGAATGAGTGGTCATAAATATCTCATTTATACGAGATTTTTGTTTTGACTATAAAGCAATGTATACGAAAATTCAGAATTCATATGTTCTTGTTCTCAACCTGATTCCATTTCCACAAGTTTTGTCACACTTCGACCATTTCCCCCATTCAGTCCATGTCGCAACTATTACAATGTATTTTGTTTATAAAATGTAAGTTGGATGTAAACCAAATCGCCTTAAATTAGCGGAACAAGTTCTACTTGATTATCTAGTGTTGTCACAAATATCAGAAATTTAAACAATATTTATCGTACCTAACAACAAATCAAATTTTTAAAAAGTTCAGATGTCAAACAAAAATTGATGAATGGTATCACACGTATAAGTGTCGCAGCGTTCTAGCATTATCACCGTAGTTTTTTCATTTAACCAGGACTGATAGCCGTCGTATCGACTTTTTCTTCGCGTATAAATGTGAAATGACACAATACAGATATAATCCAGTTTAATAATCCATATCGGATTACAATTAAATGAAGAAAATTTGTGTAGCGCTTTCTATGGTTGGTTTTTACGGCTGGGTAGTTTAGCAGAGACATACCAGGAGCACAATCTTCTATGTTACGAGTACATTATTTTATTTGTGATCTTAAGCCTTTGCAAGAACGTTTCATATCACTGCATACCCGATTTCTTCGTCTTGTGCCAGACCCACAAGTTTTTGAGCAATCTAACCAGTGGCCCCAATGTAAATATACATATAATATATACAGAAGAAATAGTTTGTCTACACTATATGGTACCCAATATATACGACAGCCATATATACAGTTCGATTCAATGGCGAATACAGATGATATGAAATAAACGATGCTATGTTAAATTTCTATAACCTTCCTGACTCAAATACACAAAAACTTTCTTCAATATAGGGGTAGTATTATAGCTTTTATCATAGGAAATCTGTTAGTTAAATTACGAGTTACACAACTATAATATTTGTCCTGTAAACGATATACGATCACAGATCATACACGAACAATGTCGTTTTATTATGAAGAGCTGCCCCATCATACATGAAAACAATTAGAGAACATACAAAGTCACGTTGCTTAACAACTTGAGTATAAGTAAGCAATAGTTTAACTAATAAAGGACGCACCTTTTATAGACAACAATTATTTCAAGTTTTAATTTTTGTATTAAATTACCACTTACCAGTGATGATGCCAGTCTGGCACCGTTGTATATTGCAATGAGAAATGTTGCTATTTGATCCTTTGCATGTGTCTGTGCGGCCTTTGCATGTCCTTTTACGTCTTCTTATACCGCCACCACAAGTAACCGTGCACTTTGTCCATTCACCCCACAGATTCCATTCTGAATCTTGAAACAGTATGTCAATTGATTAATTTTGAATATTGAACTTGATTAGAATATTTAAGTAATACTTCTAAATCTTTCGTCATATTGCACATATTGATGTAAAATGACATTGAATGAATAAACAATCCAATATCTTCTCTGGGGCGTACTTCAATATTGATTTCCTAGACTGAATGTTACCTTACGATAAGATAAATGCTAATTCGTAAGCTATCGTTATCAAAGTGCTCCATATGGAGCTCCAAGGCTTCGTGGGCTCCAAGGGCTATTCGTTAACTTATTAAAATACTGACTCGACTAATTATGTAACAGTCCAAGGAAGCAATAACAGCATTAATAAAATTTGACAACGGTGGCGTAAAAATGTAGCAAAAAGGCCCTAATCCGAATATGATATTATCTATGTTCCAATACAGAGCAACAAATACATCCGAGTCATTAAATGAAGTGTTTAAATTTACTCAGCAACATTGGTCGGTAAGTAACAATTTGTATTTTTGTTTTTATTTTTATAAATTCATTGTGGAGCTCCGTAAATATCAAGCCCTTCACGTGCTCCCTGACATCGAAAGTTTGAGAACCCCTAATACATGCGGGCGCTTCTCAACCGGTGGTCCGCGGCCCACTGGTGGACCGCCAAGCATCTAATGATGAGTCGCGAACTCGCTGCTAAATTATTCGTATTTTGGTTTATCACAATTTTATTTCCACAGATTGCCTCGATATTTTAGAATATGACTGATTTTATTTTTTAAGTACGAAAATACAAATCAAAAATTGATTATAATCGGGCAGTTTACCACACATGTTATGTCTGCAGATTACAGCGGTATATCAGAGCACTAATGCTTTTATTTTTCCGCAAGTACGAAAATACGAATCAAAAATTAGTTATAATCCAACAGTTCACCACAAAATTTATTTCCACAGATTGCCGTGATACTTTATTTAGAGCAATAATGGTTTTTTTTTCTCAAGTACTCAAATAGGAATCAAAAATTAAAAATAATCCGACAGTTTACCACACAATTTATTGCCGCGATATTTTAGAGCAATGATGCTTTTATTTTTTCCGCAAGTACAAAATTACGAATTGAAAATTAATTACAATCGGGCAGCTCACCACACATGTGATGTCTGCATATTACAGCGGTATATCGGAGTCATGTATATTGTCTTCATTTTTTCGTGAGTACCATGAGTTTTAAACATGATTGAAGTGATATGATAAAGATTTAAATGCTAGTATCGGTCATGGATTTGAATATTTTACGAAGCAGAAAATCATTCTAATAAAAGTCGATAGTTTTAACTATATCCTTATCAAAATTATTTGCGAAAAATCAGGAAAAACAGAAGATAACAAACAATCAGAAGCCGGGTCTATTTCATCGTCATTACAATACGTGAAAAAAAATCGTTTAAAGATTTCCCTCGAAAACGAAACTCCTAGCCCAGGGTGAAAAGTGGCTATTATACAGAGTTATTGGAAAATTTGCCGAAAATTATATTCGAATACTTCGACCTTAGTTTGGTATTCGAATATATTTGATTCGTTTTGGACAACCCGGCCTCGACTTATTTTAGCTTCTGAGAAAAAACGTTAATAAAGTGGGCCGCGAAGTTAAATTCTCCGTGAAAGTGGATATATAAAAAAAGGTTGAGAAGCGCTGGTCTATCCCATCCGTAACAACTTTACTCGTAGTCAATTTGAATTTGGCAAGGCCCAACGTACGAGACTAACAGTCCGCCATTAACATACAATGTAACTAAAGTCATATTGTACCTTCATTGCAATCTTTCACGTTGCATTGACTTAAATCAGTTGTTTTTCCAGGACAGGTACCAAATTTATTTTCACAAAATCGCCTACGTAATCGAATTCCGTTGCCACATGAGGCCGAACATTCCATCCAATTCTCCCAATCTCCCCATTCTGAAGGGAAAACAATGCATAAAAAATGAACATTGGCAGAATTAAGTGGCTGAGATAAATAGAACACTATCTTGACAAAAACTTAATATAAAAAGCGCAAAGCATTCATATGAAAAATATTAAGCTAATGAACATGCTGACCACCTCTGCTCCATTTCGATACTAAAAATAACCACTAACTACTTAGGTTCAAATCAAAATGTATTGATTATTATATATCAAACAAGAGAGAGAATATTAATTATATATATATATCTCAAGCTCACTTTTAGATCAAGCCTCCGGGTATGAGAAGAAGACGCGTGTACGTGGTTTTCAGAAATAATACCAACAGGTTGACAGATTATCAAACTAACTCGTGCAGTATGAAATTCAACGTTCATCTTATGCGACCACTCCTATAATCCAACCCTCCCACACATTATTTGAATCTTTAATTTGGTAATGTGTCGCCCACACATACTATAGTGTAATGTAATTTTTCGAAGCTATTTTTGCTATTTCCCATTGAAATTTATTCAATGGAAGAAATGTATCATGTACTATCACGACATAATAAAATTTGCGACCCGAACCTGGGCATTTTTGCATCACACACGTTCGTGTTCGAATCATTGGGCATTTTGGACGACCCCCTTTGCACTCGCTAGTACTTCTTTCCTGTCCGATTCCACATGTTACTGAACATTCACTCCAAGTACTCCATTTCATCAGTGCAGGAGTTGGTGTCGTGATTGTTCGAAAGGCTACAAATAAGAAAAAAACGTAAATACAAAATAGGGTCCTATCACCGATCATTCATATATAAGTGTATTTGTATACCGTTGGCCTGAGTCAACTGCATACATCATTTGATTGCAATTAGATATATATAGACATATAATATTTCCGTGATTTGCCTACTCAAGATATAAGCTCTAAGTACAGTGCTACAAATGAAACCACTCACAGCAACCAAAACTCTCAAAACAAGGTCTTTGTTCTTGATTTCGTCCAAAACAACTTTCGCCTTGACACGATCTTCGCCGAATTTTAATTCCCTCTCCGCATTGTACAGAACAAGATTGCCACCTGCCCCATGTATTCCACTGAGATCCCGATACGAAAACATGATCTGAGGCACAAAACATTTTTTTAGCTTTCCAAGGCTTCCAAAAGATAATTTGTTTTCTGACCTATTTTATGCGCGGATGATCCCATTAAAAATTGCGTCCTAATGATATAACACATTTAAGAAATTTATCGTAAATTAGCTCTCCAAGTTGCGCCCGTGGGAAGCTGCGAACACGGTGTGTTGTTGAATGCAGAACAATTTGGTATTACAATGGTCAAAGTGTGAGGGCAATTTATTGTCAAATCTTTCGTCAGTGTTCCATCGTTTGAACCAAATGTGTTAGTTAACCATTCACGATGCAATAAGATGGTTTCTATGAAAGAATTATAGATGGCCTAGGCCAGGGGGTCGGCAACCTTTTGTCGCTCGCGGGCCAAAATTAAGGGTTGCAAGTCTTGGCGCTCCGCACATATCTTTAGAAAGATGAAACCGAACAGATGGCCGATGAGTCACAACTTTTTCACACAGATCAGATGTTAAGAAGAATAATTAAAAAGACTGCGACAACTCAACTTAGTGGTTTTACTAAAAAAAGAAAAAATATTACAAATGACATTTAAAGTGACACTTTTCGTTGCATCACGCTTGAAAGCTTCCCGACATCAGGCGGCATGCTGGATGAAGCCAAGATTAAAACATTTCCTAAATGGGCATCACTTTTTCGAGTTCTCAGCTTGTACTTTGTAATGTTCATTTTCGAAAATAATTGTTCACACACATATTTACTTTCAAACATCGACGTGAATATTTTCGGGGTAAATTGTAACCCATTAAACGAGTAGCTAGCTAGCTGTTCACTAAATTGTTATGTTATATTATAATTTAGTCTACGCGTGTCTCACAATAAACTCTGTTACGTAAAAAATATAATTGTGAAAACAGCCTTTACGTCGCTATAATTCAGTGGAGCGTCGCGGGCCGGATTATTTTACTCCGTAGGTTGCCGACCCATGGCCTAGCAGTGTTTCCCAAACTAGGGTCCGCGGACCTTTTGGGGTCTGTGAAGCAATTTCGAAGGGTCCGCGAAACAAATCTGTAATATGGCTAACAGCTTGATAATACCAAAATTAGGTGCCCAAATACACATTCGTCGCGTTTTGCTGCTTTGCAATCAACGCTGGAGACATTGATTCTTCACTTCAATCACGCTGCCCCATTGTGATGTCACAGAGCTGTGTGCCTGTGATATCACAGAGAGAGTTCAATTCCTGCCACCACAGGTTTACTAACTGCAGAGCTGTAGCTGGCGGTGCCCTTTTGCATGTTTACCAAATATCGAAACCTGTATGAGTGGATATCATACAGGTTATAAGAGTTGAGTCTTATATTATTTTGTTTGCTTCACTATACGGTGCATTGATTTTTGTTGGTATCTTTTAATGTTTTGTTTTAGTGCACAAGGCGAGAATCATTAAAAAAATTGCAAGGGGTCCGTCATGGAATTTTTTTCAAAAAGTTTGGGAACCACTGGCCTAGACTAATCCATGATGGAGGATGGCCTATGTTACGAAAACAGAAACGGCATTGAAATCACTCAGCCAGATGCCACAGTGTGTGCCTCATCTGCCTTTCTAGAACTAATGAATATATATCCGCATATAATTGAAGAAAAAATCCTTACCATGTAGTGGTGGGTACCATGGAGTACAAGGAACACCCGTGGAACAACGCCTGGTCTCTCTCCCCGTACACGGTCTTCCTGATGTCGTAATACAGCTTCGTGTGCGAGTTTGAATACCGCTGTCGCAAGTTCTGTCGCACCGAGACCATGATCTCCAAGGCTCCCGAATTTGTATATTGGTCACGTCTTCTGCAGCATCTTCGATAAATGCTGGTGCATTTCCCCAAAAGTCTGTCACAATATATATAGTATAGTTCCTTAAATTTCTATATTAGCAACAGTGAGTTTAAATGTTCCCGGGAAAGTTTGTTGAGATTTAGATTATTGATTCGACTCTAACTATTTTTTCACAGACTCGACTAACCACCAAAGAGACTTGAAACTCGAACATTAGTTTTAGCGAGTCTTTGAAATAGCGAAACAAATTGCGACGAAACCATGTTATCACGTTGATTAATGTGGTGTTGAAAAATCGAATAAACACTAGCTTATCGCAGAATCGATCTTGCTTTTAATTTCAAAACAACGCGGCTGTAACACAAGATCATGGCAATTCAAATGATTAAACGACTGTGTGACAATGATATTACGATTGTAAATGTCGCTGCTTCTGTGGTGATATGTTGCACCAAACCCGTCGATGACAATGAGGATAACATACCCAGAAACGCTTTAGCAACTATAAACTAAATTTTTTCAAATATGCTGCGGGCCGGAAGATTTTGCCTTTGGATATTGGATACCGGATATTATACAAACGCCATAAGTGAATTAAGATATTAAAAATGAATTAATATATATATATTATATGCACTTGGAGTTTTATAGTTTGTTATCGAGCATAGACAAATTTAAAACCATATTCTCAATGTTACACAAGGAATTTCTTTAATTTATATACATATATATGAATAATAATTTTAGGAAATATTTTAAAATGCACTAATATAAATAGAAAATATGCATACCTTGTCCATTAATAAACGAAGAAGTAGCAAGAATGAAAATACATGTCCACCACATTTTACCTATCGTCCTACTTTTTACACTCCCACACACAAATATATATCGAGTTTCAGGCAGCGATTCACAACTTGAAATTACATAAATTTCGACGACGTAGCGGTTATAAATATCCGTATTTTTTCCCAACAAAAGTATTCGACTGGGTTTACACCAGAAACTTATGAATTGCGGCTAACCAACGTATAAATGGATAGAAGAAATTATCTTCAATTTACGACTATAAACCAATAAGAAATGGTATAAATAATTTTTTAATTAAAACACAAAATGCGGCTAGAGAATGAGAAGCGAACAAACGTAACTTGTTTTATAATAGGTATCATGACGTATTTTTATATCGCCGCCGGTATCTGGCGCTGATAATAATCTGTAAATATATAGAACAACGAGAGCTGCCACATTTGTTCAACGGTTTCGCCTACACACGCTTGAATTGGATAATACCATTGAGATTTGGCGTAAGAAGTTTTTATTGCTTTAACTGAAATTAAGTAGAGAAAGAATAGCATATTTGACATTTCCAAATTAGCTTACCATATTATTAATTTATTTACCCTTCGTTTTTCGCAGAATAGGTCGTTTCGGAAAAGGAAAAATACTGGAACTAATGGAATATATGTGATTTATGTGTTATATGCGTATATACGGCATGTGACTCAAAGTCAAATCCAATAAATCGACCAAACTACGGATCCATTAATTATAGACCAGTCATTGCTCAAATTAGAGTTTGATCAACACTGGAAAGCTTTTCAAAGAATCCACTAACCAATCGCAGGATTAGATTCACCAACTTGTTTATTAGATTCTCCTGCATCGTGAGTTCCCAGACGGCTTAAATTTGTTGATTGCTTCTTGTGGCGTGTTCTTATTCCTTGTTTTTCATTAAATTCCAAAGTCTTGGGTATTGGCAAGGCAAAGTTATTTATTTTGGGGATTATGAGAAGATATATTTAGAATGTTTATGGTATACGGTTGCATACAACGTGACACAAAGAAGAAAGAAAAGTATTATTCATATCATTTGTTTGAAACATGTCTCAAAACTGTGGGCAGAATATTTATATAATAGATGCAAATTTCCTTTCCCCAACTGTCTGATTTTACCTCGGAGCATTTCATAACGTTTTTAGTAAAATCAGCTTCCGTATGTTTTTTGTAAAAGAATATATTTTCCAATGCAATACTTGTACATCACACCTACATTTGCCAGGAATGTATCACTTTTTAATACAAAGGTTTCAAAATTCGAGAGGCCACACCCATTCAAGATTGAGCCAACTTCAACAACGCCCCCGATACCGACGTGTGCGTGGTGTTTAGATTAACAGTTTGTTTATAACGTTTAGGCGAGATTATCGTATCTTTTCCTTTAAAATAGCAGGACATCATTATTTAAAAAAGTCAGTTTAATCCAAATAATATATGTTTGCAAAACTAGCCGCAATAGACTTGACAATGAAAATATTCACTGTATAATGTGTACAAATCTATAATTGTTTTACATCTATTTTCTCCGTTATTTACATCAGGACCGCGTATTTCTGATGGCCAGGAATACTGATGAAAATCGTATGACCCCATATGCGATCAGTGTGGCGTTTCCGCAGAAAGCTTTTTTTCGTTCGCGCAGTGTCTAAAATCTGGCGTCTTTCGTGAATTAAATAAAATATATAAATTGAATTCGTCCTGTCTACGGCAGTAATTTTTCTTGCTGGATGTGATTGGAGAACAAATAATACTAATTTATATTAATGGCTCGGCGATGTGGAGCATCGTAATAAGTGTTAGGAATACGCTCGCCTCCGCATCTCTGATTACCCTGCGTGGGTTCCCTGTGCAGGTTCGAATCCCATGCGGGAATGATCATTTGCGAGAATATTGCTGGATTCCTTGCTGCAGTAGGGTGGTTCACGTAACCGCTGGTCGGTTATGGCTTCCCCCACCATCAAGTCCATGCTTCCGAGAAACAAATACCTGACTAACTAATCCCACACCCGACTTGGATTGGTAACCGGACGAGAGGCCGTGATTCGCCATATGATTAGGCCGTCTTATCGACTTTCCCCTCCCCCGGGATGTATATATTTATTCACGATAAACTTTGGTGTTATTTTTTAACCGAACAAACCTTTGACTATCTAATTTTTTATGACTTCATTTAATTTATCCTTTTACACGTTGTCTAAAGATTATATACTAAATAGCAAAGTCATATTTCCAGAAAATACCAACGTTTCGTCCATTGGAAAAAGTGACCCAATGAACAGAACCCAGATCATTTGGAACATATATATATATATAGTTTGTATGAGAATATAACTTTTGTGCAAACTGCCCTAGATTGCTGAAACTGTTGGGTATAATCATGGGTTAAATAAATTCTTTCACATTTAAGTAAATAAAGAATATACCGGGACGGGTATATTTTTTTAGGTCATCATTGATTTTCGAGAGGAATAAACTTCTTGCTATGGATCATTTCAAGAACCGCAACAAACGATGAATGGAAAAGAGAGCGATGCCTGAATATATGAACACGATAGCCAAAATGCAGTAGCCTAGTACGAGTATGCGATCTGTCATAGTAGGCTACCGGTACCACAGTCTTCACTACTTTCGCTGAGCACGAAATCCGTCGACATGCGGTCGCAAAACCGCTATAATTAATTTTAGGTCAAAACGAAATAGTACGTGCATCCAAAATGTCACAATATAATACCGATACCGCAGTCTTCGCGACTTTCGCTCACGAGATCCAAAGACATGCGGTCCGAAATCGCTATAATTGATCTTGATTTTGTTGACGTTACCACAGAAAGCTTCAGACAGAAAAATGAATCCCACAGAGCCCACAGGAAGTTTTGAAATAAATAAAAGTGATAGCCGTCTTTCTAGCGACATAAACAATCTTTAACAATTAAAAATTTTAAAGCAGAAGTTAACAAGAAAGTTGATTTTTTACAACAAGAAAACGAAAATAATAATTACTAATAACAAGAGAGCGATGCAAAAATGAATGGACATGAAAGCCAAAGCGAGATAATGGTCTACTCGGTGATTCCCAAAGTGGGCGATATCGCCCTCCGGTGGGCGAAAACCCCAAAGGGGGCGATTTCACAAAACCTGTTTTTGTTCGGCGACTGGCGCATCATGCACTTGATTATTGTACTCTGCGTGCATACGCAGGTTTGAATCACGCGGGCGATAATCACACGCGAGAGGATTGCTGGACTCCTCCCGTTCGTAAAGTAGTTCGCGTAGCCCATGGGTCGGCAACCTACGGCCCGCGACGATTGACTGAATTTTTGACGATGAATTAATTTTATATTCTACGCTCGAGAAGTAGATTATATTTTTCACGTAACAGAATTTATCGTGAGACACGTTTAGACTAAATTATATTACAACCTAACAATTTAATGAACAGCTACTAGTTTAACGATCCTACAATTTAATTATATTTAGTTAGACAAATGGCAAAACGCAGAAAAGTTGATGCTGAGTACGGGGTTTCTATAGCGCAGAAAATATTCAGATGGTGCTCCTTGAGATGTAATGCAATGAGGAAATAAAGTTCATAGATGCAACAATGCTTGATTTATATAAAAATGTATCTTCTTGAAGAAATTCCCATCAAAATTTGACAAACCATGCGAAATATTCACTTCGATGTTTGGAAGTACATATGTGTGCGTACAATTATTTCCGAAAATGAACAGTACAAAAAACAAGCAGAGAACTAGGATTAATGATGCCCATTTAGAAAATATTCTAATCTTGGCTTCATTCAGCGGCCCGCCAAGACTTGCAACCCTTAACCCGCGAGCGTCAAAAGGTTGCCGACCCCTGGCGTAGCCGACGGTCGGCTACGGCTTCCCCTACTATCAAGTCCATGAATCTGAAACAAATAAATGGTTGATTAATTCTATCGACTGGTTTGGGGTGATAGAACCCTGGATTCTTTCATTTCCGACCTCTTATATAGTGGAAACGGGGTTTTCAGCTGTGACACTATTGATATCAAAACAACGAAATCGCCTTTCCATCAGTAAACGGGGTGATTTGAGTATGTGACTGGCGAAAATGTCACCATATATTAAAAACCTCGCTGAAGACCACCAAGTTTATCCATCTCATTAAAAAACACTATAAACTATGATTTGCCTTCTTGTTTATTTGGTCTGTAATATATTCGTTTCTAACTCTACATTTTTTTGTAGTTTTTTTTTTGGGGGGGGGGGGGGTTAAATAGCTAAATCATGTACAAACACAATTACCTCTAGCGAGAATTTGCTGCTGTTTCGTTGCCAATACAAGATTGTAAACGAGGCATAAAAAATGGTTTTGCAACACCTAGCTCTGCAGTGGCTCACAGTCTATTTCTTTCCTTCGTTTTAGTTAAAGCTAACGATGATAAAGTTTTTTTCGTACAAGTAACTGGTCGAATATTTGGACAACAGTTTGATTGTTCGATTACCTAGCCATAAGCATTCGTTATCGAGAGACCTCAAATATTGTGACAGTGATTCTTTTATAAATCTGGACTGTAAACTAGTGGTTTCATCATATCATCCCTCTGCAATTGATCGATGCCCCAGACAAATGAATTTATATTACAATGATAAAGTAGATTCTAACTTGGCACCAGGGGGTCAAAATCCTGCTGTGCATCACCTAGAAAAGATCTTAATGTTTTTGTTGCGCGTCTGATGACCACCTGCTGGGCCGCAACAAGCTCATATCTTGCTGGTTGTGGTTCCCAAGGCATACTCTGTAATATTATACAATTCTTGACTGTTTTCTAGTTTAAACAAAGAAATATTCATAACCTTATATTTGAATGGTAATATTAATCAAGAAAAGCACGCAGAACGGAAAAAGCACGCATGGCAATTTCCAGGTTTATGAATCTTGCGAGATTTGACGGAGCGATTTTGCGATGAATCGGAAACGAAAAGTGTGACCACACGGCGCCAAGACGTTGCCAGGCTATCAATACCGCCCTATAAACCAACGTAAATCCGTCTTTTCGGATTCGATAAAGCGATCGAAACGGCAGAAAATCAACAAAACGAAATTTCTCACTGAACAGGCAAAATAGCTTCGTGGACCGGCACCGGCGGTCGGAAACCACTGATCTAGTGCGTCAATATGCTTTTGTTGATTTGAATGGCGTCTTAGATAGTCAACTTCCCATCCAAGATTTGCCTTTTCCAAATCACTACTAGGTGCCACTTCCCGACAAATTTTGCAGATTATCAGATTTCTTAACGCGGAACAGCGATAAATTTGCGTCACCGACATACAGAAATCAATGTACTTGAGCGTGACATACACGTGTATGACTTCACAATGACCAGTGATCACCAAAATACGCGTGAAACATAGAACGAGCATTCTAGTTAAGCGTTAATAAATATGAGCCACGCTTTGATAACGAAATGTTGCAACTGCGCGAGAATGAGATTTTACTGCGCAGATGTTCTGGTGGCACTACGCAATTGCGCAGCTTAGAGGGAACCTTGGATGGAGGATGTCACACGGCCAGCAGTCGGAGTGATCCGTCAAAAGTGATCAAAACGTCGCGAGTTCACCTAACTTAGTTTAACACTTACTTATTTAGGAATGAGAGTTTATCATTCTAATCAGTTATTCAAGGAAGATATATAAATCCTTTAGGTATTTTAAAATTGCTTCCCTAGAAACACCGTGATATTTTCCGTATCTTACCTCGTGTTTGGTGTTGTAACATCGCTTCAAATTATATTTTTTCGTGACAGATATTACTTCGGTTCAACCAATGACGTTGAACGTTGTTGTATGTTACGAAATACGTTTCCTCGCAGTTTACCTCGGTCACCTCTTTTACACTCATTGTATGATGAATTGTTATATCTGAATAATTTTACTACTTGTAGCGTGAGCAGGCCTGGTGCTATCGCCAAAGAACAACTTCGTCTGAGTGGGACTCGGGACGCAGCAAAAAAAAATGCATCGCGGTGCTAAGTCAAGATCACAGGGCGTCATTCTTATATTGGCACCGTGTTGACGTTTATAGATACACTGAAATTCCGTGATTTTAACAAACATGAATCCCGACATCGGGATTAGGAAAAGGGCTATATACTCAGTTGGAATAGTTTGAAAATAACTCAAAAATGTTCTGCTAATATATACATATATATCTGCCAATGGTTTAGTTAGTGCATGTTAAACCTTTTCCGCGAGTCGCGCGGAATGTGTCGGCGGATCGCATACGGCCCACGGTTTGGACTTTGCACCACCTTGTCTTACACAGTATCTCACCTAGTCTCATGTACGGTACGGTCAAAATACTTCCAACTTTCGCATAGCACATGAGAGGTCGCAGAACCGTTACATATATTTTTTTATCAGATTTGAGGAGGTCATCGCACAACATTTTGATGTGAAAAACAAATCACATAGAGCCCCCAGACAGTTTTGAAGTAAATAAATTTAACAGCCTACTAGCGAAAATACAATCTTTACCCACTGAACATTTCAAGGCGATAGAATAACAAAACGATCCATATATATATATTTCGTGTCCGATAGTTTTCATAACATGTCAGTAATGTTATAATTTCGACGACGTTTTGACTTCGAAATGAATCAGCAAGAAGCTTTTGTAAAATAATTCCACTAAGTAGCATCAGCATAAGTGGTATCGAATTTATCTATAAACACTACGATTGCATAGGAGAAGGGCGGCAGAGAAAACACAGCATTTGGAAGATCAAAAAATAGGCTTGATTTTGAGTCACAACTCAGTGTTAAAAAGGCTATTTTAAGCACATTAATGAAAGCAACTTCGCGTGTCCTTTGCAGGTGCAGACATTTACTTGGTTTACCAATAATCTAGGAGTGGCTAACCTTCTCGTAAGCTGACTCTTAAGTTGAAAAGATTAATCCTTTTAAATAAGTAAACTCCACTCCGCTGCTTGAGGTTTTATTTTTGAATTGATTTGAGTCGGTTTCGAATGAATTGGATAGAAAAGATCTATTTCCTGCGACTTACAAAAATACTAGAATAGAAACTTTGAATGGTCCACTGTCGTATTCGCGATTTTGTCAATACACACGCCTCGATATTTCAAATTATATATCTAAAATGCGGATACGTCAACTGTGTAATTATGGCGGTTACAATTTACTGACGATTAAACATTGTTTTGAACACTTCTAGGTTCCTAGTTGGGCGGGGTTAGTGATTGTATCACCCCGGCACTATCGACTGAACCACAGGATGACACGCAAGTCACCATACGCAGAACTTCGCTACCAAGAGTTTCAGTCGATTTTTGAAACCGATGTTCGATGTCTGGAGAGGGTTTTTTAATATTCCAACAGGAAGACACTTTTCTTTACGAAATTACTGCAAATCACACTTTATTGGCAGCACCTGGCATAACAGATCCCAGAACCATGGACGAAAACAATAATCTGTACTTTCTACTTCTTTATTATGACACAATGATAATAAAAACGGTGTCATAATGTGATAGTGACACCAGTGTAAAAATGTGGGCAAAATATTAACGGAGCATTTTACTATGTTTAAGAATAATGATGCTGGAAGTTAAGTACAAGATACTGAGAGTGATGCTGATTAGGAATTTGTGAGAAAACTTTTCGAATATTTTAGCAGAAAAAAGCTGATGTTCAACTATTGAATTTCTAAAATAACTTCAATTTTATCGAGAACAGAAATATGCACAGTAACTCATTTAGGCTGTTTCTATTCCATGATTTGTGTCAAATGAAAATTTCAATTTTCAGGGGTAGTCCACAACATGAGATCCTCCATACACGTCTTGATAAACCGAGACAATACTATTATATTTTCTCTTCCGCAATTGCTTACCAGAAGGACATATAAATTATGGAAGTTTTTCTTATAAAAGTGGGTGGAGGGCCACAAATAAAGCTCAGTAGGTACTAGTCAACATACATTTTTAATGAACTGTGAATAGCTTGTTCAATGATAATACAAGCTGTTGCATCAGTTTCTGTGCCCATTCTCAGTAGCTTTTTGAACCATGTTGTAACTAAGTGTTAGTGATAAAAAGAAACAATAACAACAACATGAACAACAACAACAATAAATATATGCACGATCGCCGTGTATAAAAGAAAAAAGTCGTTTTGTTGATAATGGCATTTTGAGAAAAAGTAATCAAGTCTGAGGGACATCGATTGAGGTATGTTACAAAAATATAGATAACTGCACAAGTATCAAAAATCATGTTGTATTTGTTGAGGAGCCAATCCGCAATAACAAAACCGGACTAGCTGAGAATCGAAATGAGTCCGATTTTTATAACTTGTTACATCAGACAATGTCTGCAGCAAAAATGATTATTTTACCAAGTTGAAATATCAGAAAAGTGATAATATTATTTTATAGCCGAATAAATCATTACTTTCCCACAGAATCAGGGGTTGAATTTGCCAAATACCACAAGTTAATCGCATTATGTATTGATTTAAAGATTCAAAGTTGAATAGGGAACAAAAGAGTCAAATAACATTTTTATTATATAACGTGACTGATAACTAAAAAATGATTTAATCATTTTATGAAAAAAAACTCCAAACAACTATCATTTTTCTATGAAACTTGAGCGTAACTAAAAATAGACTTCTACAAATATAAGCATTTGACCAGTAGCACCATGCGTCCCTGATAACATCGGTATAAAGCAGTGGGCGAATGGCAGAAGGCACCTAAAGCAGTGCCAATTGATAAAGTTTAAAAACAGCTATGAGTAACATGACCTGAAAATTTGACAGTCCACATGAGCTCACAATCTTAAGTCACAACCAAACTTTGAATGTGACAATCGTCTTCAAATGATGAATTTAACAATTGGAATGGGAATAACATATAACACAAAATTCCGAAGTGAAGTGACTTAACATATTGAACTCAATGTCAATGAGCATTGACCAATATTATGCAGCGACATGTGGACATCAACTATCATTGTATTAGACACGACACACAAGGAACAGGAGTGCAAGTACAGTAAGTCCAAAATACATGATACCTATGACAACATTAAAAAAACAATATATACAAGCTCTCAAATTTCTGATTGATAACAATAGCAAGTGTGAGGTACAATATTATTGTAAAGAATTTACAATAAATAAAATAGTCTTGCACCAATTTTTCGTTTCAATAACGATTACGGTAAATATTATTTTTCTGTCATTTCGTCTTATGAGGATATAATAACTATAGTCAGATGATCAGTTGGTTCAAGATATATTCACACAAATGCCAGCTAGAGTATCCTATTTCATGATCAATTTGTTCCAACAAGATGATATTTTTTCCAGAGATATGTTATGAAAATATGATTTGACAAGTCATTTTACAAGCAATAATATTTCATGATGTAATCTACATGCATGCTCGCATACAGTAAACCAAGAAAAGTCGTAGACATTTAGAAACTACCAGATTCAAAATATATCGCTTTCTTTCCAAATTGCCAATCGGTTAAGTATCCTGAAAGACTGATTGATGAACACAATTTCAAATCTGTGATCTCCACATCATTATGTCATTCATACTCAAAACTGAGTTTTATTAAAAAAATACATTAGCTTTACCTGAAAATAGTACCAAGAGTGGTAATATTTTGTAATAATGAGTTCACTAATTTTCATAAGCATTTCAATTAGAGATGTGGGCTTTCGGCTTATTTGAACCCACTCTGACTATAATTATTATTAAATTGAATACTTTTAATTAAGTCTTCGTGAAATTTCTACATGTATGATAAAGTCAGGAAAAATGAACAAAATAGTAACATTAAAAAAATATCCTCAGCTACCAATAATACAACTACGAAAATATAGGAATGGAGGTTGACCAAATATTGTCATCTTACGACAGATTGAGTTCGTTTTATAAGTAAAAGTTGGAATCAAAATATTGAAATTAGTGTATTTTAGAATACATAGTTTTACAACCGAAACAAATTACTAAAAGCGGTTTGACTAATAAAATTTGAAAAAAAAAAAAAGTAATTTAAAAAATAACAGACGACAATTTTAGGTCAAGAATCCCAAATTGAACTGGAGTCAGGAAAAAATATTGGAAGGAATATTTCCTATAATAACCACCACTGAGCAAAAATAAAGGACGCTAGATATACATAGGACACCCAATTTCACCGGATTGACGACATATCTATCGAATACAATGAAATACGTAGAAATGGTTAATAATTAGCATTATCATACAACTTTTGAATAAGATGATATGTACATTTGAAATCGTTTAAAATTCCTTACATAATTAATCAAAGTTTTAAAATATTTTAGGAATATCATTTAATATTTTAAATGGAAAAAAAATGACAAAAACTTGAAATTGTGAAACTTCACTTAGAGATTAGAGACTACCTTTTAGAGTTTGAACACCATCAAGGTGATAATGAACATGGGATGTCCTCATCTATATATTTCTATAACGGAATTCATAATTTTCAACACTAAAAACAAATTATATTTCTCTGAATATGCTAAAAATGATCATATGAAACTTTCATTTCAACAGAGTATAAAACATTCCCATCTACGTAGATCCATAGAGCTAATGGTTAGATGGTTGAATAATCGAAATGATTAATATGGAAGACAATTTTTCAATTTAATGTACAAGCTGACAAAGATATGATTAAAAAGATCATTTCCTTTCACTAAAATTCATCACAACAACTATGTACAACTTATAAAAGGACAATACTAAAAAATAAAGGGACAATCAAAAACTTTTCCAAATATCAAATATGACAACATACTGCTATTTTAAAGATAACTTTAGCAGAAAAATATGATAAAAACTAACTGTGAAGATTACTCTTCGTCCGTAACTTATATTTATTCATAAAATAATCAACATTTATCATCAAGAGAATAGACAATAAAAGGATTTTTGTAGCTTCTGCCGCTAAAACTTTAATTTACTATATTCTGTTTGTCACAACTGGATTCTGCTTTTTCCTTCTTCTCAACAAATATCATGTATGCAAATCATAAGGGAAAAGTAAGCTGATTAAATTATAGCATATAATATACATCATTTCATTAAAAATAGTCAAATACAACAGCGGAAATGAGGTAGAATATTATACTGGTCAAAGGAGTTGCGCAGATGTAATAACTCTTTGTGAATTTTTTTTGCAGCACCGGAATAGCTCATTATTTCCAGTGGTAATTTAGTTAAAAATGTGACATCGGACAAAAATTCAATTGTTTATTAAATAAGTGAAAATCTGATACATGATGACCCACAGAACAGAGGTAGTCTCATTGGTAGCTACCATTTTTTAGTTTGACTTATTTATATGCCATAAACGCAATTTTCTAAATTCATTAGAGAACAAGCGTTATACTTTTTATAAATTCTCGACACAATATGAGCAAGTCAACATAGAAATACAAAATCAACCATCAGAAACATAGTGACTTATTTCACCATAGATCCCTGATTCTAAGAGAAGTACAAAAAAAAATGACAACTATTTCAACCGTTTAGAATAAAATCAAAGTAAAACCATATATATACATCATAGCAAGTATAGTAAAACACACATAAGTGTTGTCTGAATAAAAAGTAAGAGAACTCTAGGAACTATTAGTATCAATTTTAATTTTTATATATTTCATATCAGGAACTTTGATTTTATGGAACATTTATGACTAATAAACATATAAAAATGATTAAAATATTGTGTGTAAAATTTCATGATATTTATCTTCAACTCAAACATTGTAAAATTGGTATAAGATCTGGAAGAGCGTGGATACTCTAATAGTATGGGATTTTGGATGCTTGGTTTTCAATTACCTTTTATTTTTAATAATCTGTACTGACATATTTTCCATAAAACTATCATATATCTAATCCCATTAAGATTTGACAAAAGTCATGACTGTAAAATTGGAAACTCTAGATGAAAAAAAATTTGATTATTTTACTTTAAAACAGCAATAAATTTGTATTTTTTAAAGTCCAAATCTATGAACACTCCTCATTCGAACAAGGAGTATTTAGAAATCTTTCTTTTTTGATAACTACCAAAAGCAGGTTGAACAATGGGATCTGAAGTATTTTCAAATAAGATTTCTACAAGCAGAAGAGCTGCATTGAGCTCAAAGCAAATTATGTCATGATTAATAAGAAAACAATTGTGTTCGGAAGAAAAAAAGCACATCGAAAGCGTCTTAATAGTGAAAACATCAAAAAATAAAGATGAAAGTAAGAAGAAAGAATAAAACATTTCAGAGGTCAGGAGGCAGACAAGCATTACGTCTTTTGTTGTACTAAGAGAAAAAATATAGTGAGAAAATAAAACAACTTTTGTACTGATTATTATTATTGATTATATTCAAAAGTGAGGTCAGAAGGGGAATTATAGCATCACCTCTTTTAATTTATCAAATTCGTCTTTAGTTATTGCAGACAAAGGACTCTGCGGATCGATTTCTATACTCATTGATGTTCGTCTGTTGTTTTGCGGCTGAATAATGCTGTTTGTATAAGATGGTTTTGAGGTACTGGTGACGTCAAAATTTTCGGTTGACGAGAGGTGAATATTTTGGGGGGCAACCTCAGAGTTTTGCCGTACATACGACATATTGTCGTTGTCAGTGTGAGGTATATATAAAGAGATGACCTGCTCTGAAACGACACTGTCTGGGACAATCGCCGTACCGGAGGTCTGAGGTTCATGCAAATACGAAGTAGTGCTGTTCATGTTTGGGTCATGTACCGCTGAGCCATTGCTGGTCGGTTGTTCTTTCACCGAAGTGGTGTTCAATCTTAACCTTTGGTAGTTACCATTTGCGTGAATGTATAACTTTCGATCATCTCGCATAGTAACCTGATTTCCGTTGTTGACAGGATCTGGAGGTTTCTTCAAAACAAAAAGTGGTATAGGCAAGTTCATGTGCTATTAATAACATCTTTTAAATAATAATCGAAAGTGAGCTATATTCAGTGACAAACGGTTCTCCGTGTGCAGTTTGAAGATATAAATACACAGAAGTTCAAAACAAAAAAATTCTCCAGTCTCAATGTTGCAAATTGACGATGTAACAATTATTTATAAATAACTATCGTAAGTGAAAAGTCCATGCAATTCAAGAGTCTTGCTGCACATTAACACAAATGTATTTCTGTAACTTTTCGTCTGACTTCGGTCCTCAAGCTGAGAAGTCAGACTTTGTTCGGACAGAACTTTACAGAAAAAACATTTGTATTTGAATTACATAGTGTAGTCATTTTAAATCTGTTACAACACCCTGGTATTAATTGTATACGAATCCCCTAACACAAAGGCATAAAGTCAAGATCAGTGGGGTGCAAACTGCGGACCAGGTGAAAAAAATAGTATGACCCGTGGAGAAGTGCCAATTTTGAATGGTGTGCTGCCCGCGAAATGAGTTTTTAATTTAGTTTGATCTCAGTTAAATCCTCTTGCACTGCGAGACCTAGTCTAATTAATACTCATCTATGTCTATGGCGTTACAATGCCCCAAAAGTAAGCTCGTGCAAAGCGAACAGCGGATGTCAGAAGATCAATAACCAAAATTTTTGTGCCTGCACCACCAGAAAGCCTATGTTAAATAAAAGTGTGGCCCGCGATTTTACCCAGATTGTATGTGGGCCCTTGTATCAAAGGTTGCACATAGACACCCTAGCATAGATGAAGAATGGTGAGCTAGTCTCACGTAACGCCAGCTGATGGTAAAATGTCTAATGACTTTAAAAAAACTATAGTAAATGTTAAAAGATCAGGTTACACTCAAGAAATTTTAAAAAAGAAAGATACCTTTTCCGGAGATTTGATATTTTGAGGCTGTGTTGATTTCGAGGTAGAAGATTTAATTAACGGATTTGTTTCCATTTCTAAATCATCTTTAGATGACGTGGGGCACGTTTCTTTATCTGCAACAGCAAATTGCATGAGTTAGAACTTAGAACGTAAACTACAGTACTCTTGTACAAATATATTTCCAGGTTATTGCTTATGGATGTATAAGAATGCAGTTTTAAAAAAAAGTGAAATCATGATATTAAAAAATGATCTTAGAGGAATTGAAAAGAGTCTAACAGCAAATCTATCTGCTTTTTTAAGTATTTAGGAAATCTTAGTCATAATTTTATTCTCTTACGAGTTCGGGAACTGTCTGTATTAGCCAAGTAAATATACCCATAGGTTTCCGTCCCTTTACACAACTTGTAAACGATGTAAAGTAGGTGAACAAAATTAGTTATCTCCATATTGGTACACAGACTTCTGGAGTTCCGGCTATGTTTGTTGATGAGAACGACAAAGCTTAATATATTATGTGACTCACGTGTCTTAAAGCAAAACGGAGAACTGAAAGAACTTCCATTTGTTTTTGTTGAACTTGTACTCCTGCTACCACCACTTTCTCCACTGCTGTTACTTTCCCGGCTTCTGAAGAAAATAAGTGATTTGCATCATTTCAAATATAACATTCTAATATAACGTAAATGAAAACAAAAACTAGGCTTGTATTTATATTAGAAATTTTAAAATAATAATGATTATATTTACAGATATGAATGAAATTTGCTATCATTTGATCCACATCTTTATTAAATATCGGCCATTATTCAAACTAAATCTGAGTACTCAAAAAAGTACTCAAATCTGAGAGATTTTTTCACATAGTATCTTGAAGTTTGAGTGAACCATTAGCTTTGCACAAATTCAGATTCATATGCTTGATCAACACTTTTGCCGAATTTCTAGCGTGGATCTTGCCAAATCCTTTTTACTTACAAGTACTATGCTTCAAAGTTGTGGGTAGCGTAAAAGTTCTAATCATTTCAGAGCATGATATATCTAAGAATCAGTTAGACAGAAAGTCAGTTAAAATAGAATCGAAAATAAAACATTGGTTTGAATTTTTTGAATTGCAGACCAACAAATAATATTTTGATAGGTTATCAATGAAAAGTAATGATTAATCAAAGTAATGATACAATAAGTTGTATCCATTTGCAAACAAAATTGAAAGCACATCCCAACAATAAAGACACATATTCGATTACGTAAATATACCTAGCTGGTGTCCGAGGACCCTTCGGTTTAGAATACGATCTCCTATCAATCCTCCACAGAACGCTAATGAGAATAGCACCCAGTGCAAATGCAGCAAGTGCCAATATCAAGATGATTGGCCAACTAGTGATTCCGAGAGTAATATCATTCTCATTGGTATTATGTTTCTCATTATGTGGTACCCCTTTGGCTGGGAAAGATGGAGATTTACCTGAAACATATTGTTAGTTTTAAAAGATTATAAAAACTGAACATAAATCCTTAAATAACGTCATATCAATTAATCACACTTGAATTATAACCACTGATGACTATTAGCAATTTTCAACTGATGGGATTCCAAGATAATAGCATTTTAGTCTTATTCTTCTAAAAAATGACAATTTTTATGTGACATTCTCCATATATATTAGAATTTGACAGACATCAAAACATATCTGAATATTGTGAATAAAAATTAATCACATAGGAATTCTATAATGCTGAACAATAAAGATATGAAAATCCAATATGGAAGTCAAATCCAAATATATTCATCGTTTTATTTCAGCATTTTCTGTGCATAATAAAAAAATGTAAACTAATAAACCATGCAAAAGGGAAAGGGCATTGATAGGAGAGTTGTAGGCAACAACTGACATGCCAAATTCTATATCCTAGCGAGTCAACGTAGATTTCAGAAGATGGTGATTAACACAAGGCTGTGTTGACCAAAATCAATTCTGTAATTACAGCAAAATCGCTTATGTAATGACCCCATAGTTGTGATAGTTTAAATTACTTTGGCACTCGTCGATTTCAAGAAGGGGGGGTTGACCAAGGCGTAGTAGGCTACTACATAAATTTTAAAAGAGGCACAAAAATCTCCATCTTTGAAAATTGTCATTTCGACTTCAACGTTTGTTCGCGAGGTATAGGAAGAAATATACCGGAGTAACGCTCTGCGAGATAATTTTTAGAACTGAGTGCGTTTTTTCAATAATTAAGAATTTACATAATTCCAAATCTACCAATGTAACTGAAAAAAAATTCTCTAATTCTGTAAATTACGTGCAAGCATAACTCAAGTAATGAAAAATAAAATCTTACCAATAGGTTGACTTGTGTTTGCTACGTAGAGAAACTCTCCAGTCTTGACAGTTTCATCCAAATACGTAGCGACATTGATCTGCTCTTGATAACTCTTTGTGGTGCATCTATCACCATGTGGATGAAAACACTAAAATTTATAAAACAATAATTATTAATCAACAACAACAATTAAGTATGCGAGTGCAGAATACCATATCCCAAAATGCAAATTTTCATTTCAATGGTCTATTAGCTAGCATGCAGGTTTGGATTCAAATTTTTCCGTCAACTGGACATATTATTAGGTTCACAGAAATCAACTTGACTTGATACTTCATGCCATTACTCATTTTGGATTTACGAATAATTTGATGTCTAGACTCAAGTCAAAAGTATGTAGTTGAACACCTTCCTACTAAGAAGAGGAGTTTGGAGAAACTAGATAAGTCCAATCAAGCTGGGCTATTTTCAATAAAAACTTTAGTAACACGGTATATGCTTCTGTTGTGACTGAAAACTCTAGAACTCATCTTAAGCATCCAAATGAATAAGATCACCGTCAGTTTATCATATTAATACAAAATATAAATAAAGTGCATATATTGGACATAAAGTTCCATGCAAAACGGACACAAAAGATTGTCTTTTTCTTGCACTGATGAACCAACTGCACTAAAATTTTTATTAGTTAACGACAAAAAATTCTTTTTGAAGTCTATTACTTTTATTTGTCATTTTGGGCATCTGACATGTCATAGTCAGATACAAAATAGACCCTACATAACTGTGAATAGGTAAAAAATAAAATACCAATCAAAACAACGTCCATCACATTTTTTATGCAACCATTGCCAAACACAATATCTATAAATTTACAATGATTTTTTCAAATTTTTGTCCCGAACATGACCCATTATCCAACATTTCCAATTTGAAAATAATATTTTAAAACATATTCGGTAGGCTATAGTAAATTATCCAAATCTGTCCGTCCCTGAATCAAAACGTTCCCAAAGTTTTAATTTATTCAATATTAAAAACATAATACAAATACCAACCTGTGGTACAGTAGGCACACAATTGCTATCAGGATCTGTAGTACAAGAACTCACTTCACACTGAACGCGTGCACTTCCAAACTTTTTCACAAGTCCACCAACTTTCACAGCAAAATGCTGATAATTTGTTGAAGACGAATCGAATGGCCTGATAAAACTGAAGATACAAAATGCATGTTACTCATTTTTGGCTGAACAATTTTGACATGGGACAGGATACAATCCCTTACAAAATGATTAGTAAATTAAATTTGTTTCAAATAAATAAAGAATATGAGAAATACTACAAGGAAATAGGCAACTTTTTTCCTAATAGAAAAAGAAAAAAATTTCTCACTGATAGGGAAGCGCTTCACTAATAGTCTCGTCAATATTATAATTCATATAAGCGCTGGTGAAAGATTTTTGGACGAGACTTGTCCAAACATCCAAAATAATGACTTTTTTCAAAAAAATTGTATATTCAATGTCCTAAATACCAGTGTAAATTTGACTACTCCCTCCTACATGGGTATATTTTTCTTATGCCAGTATTTAGAATCAACTTGGGATTTTTTCAATACAAGCATGCCAAAGTAGTTGCAGAAGCGAAATGATCAAATTGGTTGCAAAAATAATTGATGGCATGCGATTTTGCTTATCAAGCACAGTTTACTTTAGTATTAAATATCAATAAATACATCATAGCGTCATAATTAAAGTGACAATCAGCCATAAAAACAAAATTTGTCAATTTAGTCCCGTTCAACTTAGATGATTTGCTACCATGAAATAGAACAAATATTGATTTTTATGAAAATCGGATCACTTCTGATAATGGTTCCTGGTTCCGTTATTGGAAAATTTGACATGGTAAATGGCATATTGATCTAAGCGCTAGAAGTTCACATGCCATCGCAATGATTACACAACACCAGAGTAGAATTTACACGAGAATGAGATACCAGCTCAGTTAAAGCTGATACTCTGATCATTTGGCCATCATCCCCACTAAAACATTGCATAAAATGTGAAAATTTCAAAATAATCAAGTTCAAATCAAAAATACGAGGAAATGAATTGATAATAATAGATAAACTCAAATGGTATATCCCAATATTACAATTTAAAAGCTGCTTATAATGCTGTATAGATTTTAGTGTTACAAAAATAAAAACTCTAGAAAGAACATTATTTGCTTTAAGAAGTACCAGATCAGTGTTATATCATTTTTAGAAGTTGAAATTCTGTCCTTCATCGATTTCAAAAATCAATAACATGAACTGAGTGCAGAAACCAAATGATTGAAAACAAAAACGAATTATCTGCTCGAAAAACTAACAAGTTTTTTGAGCTTTTGAACTTTCTGAATAGGTAGGATAATCCATGATAATGCTTAGCCATTGTTGATAAATAAGCCAAAAAAGATGAATTTGAGAGATAAGATAAAATTAAGCTGTTCTTCTTGCTAACGGTTGTACCAAAGTTAGGGCAAAAATGGATCAAGTTCAAGTTCAAAACCCCTAAGAACTTAATTTATTAATAGAAATTTAAATATCAGTATAGCTGAAGTGTTAAAATAGGTTTATAAAATCTAGACTTTACAAAAAATATTTCGTCTCAGTGTAAAAGCTAAAAACAGAGCAAAAATAATTCAGATATATTCAAGACAAACCTATTCTAAATAGAAACCATCCCCAAAAAATAACAGAAAATGATGGTTTACTTCATTTTCAAACATACGAGAAAAAAGAATCCGATTTATTAAATTTGCTTTTGTCTCTCAACTGTTTCATTCTCTTCATATAACAGAGTATAATCAATCAATATAGGCATCATAAGGAGACGAATGTTTCCTGTTTCAGTTTAAGGGAAGTCAATAGGCAATGCACAAACTGATGTCAAGTTCACAGCAAGACAATACTGTCAATATTTAGAGTAAACAATGTACAAATTCGTAAGAGATAAGAAGGAAAATATTTATATGCATTTTTGCATACGTCTCAGTTTACTGGGAAACAATGCGATATCATGAGAACACTCTAGACTGGTAGCAGAAAACCCTATACATGGATTAAAATATTAGAATACCATGTCATGGATCGAGACAGCTAAATATCTGAATTTTTTTAAACTAAATTACATGGAATTATTTTACTGAATATATATTCAGTAGAGGTACAGGGTGACCCCAAAAAACTAATTCCATAAATTTATAATTACTTGATTTATTAACAGAAATTTAAATATCAGTATAGATGAAGTGGCTATTTTAGTCATGTTTAAGATGTTAATAATGGATAAAAATTTAAAGGCATATTGTATTTGAATCCAAATGGAAAAACTAAAACATGACATTAAAACTTGAATTGCAATTTGACAACTTGAATTGCAATTTGACGAGATTAGCTCAGAATTGCCAATTTGATAATCGTCTATCATGGATTACTTTCAAACATAGCAATCGTAAATATTTTCTTAATGCCAAGTTAAGTTAATTGATCGTTGAGATGTAATCCACCATGATGAGTAAGCCAATGAAACGGTTATAATATATAATGGAAATTCCAAGCTTACAAATAGAGAAAACCCAGAAGTGATAAGCTCCCGAATTAGGTGTTTCAAATAGGCAAGCTATTAATCCAAGACTTGTGGTTACCGAGTGTGGGCATTTCTTACTTGAATTTTATGAGAAAAATAAATGTGTTGGTAGAACAAGTTGCTTATGATGAATATAAACACACCATCATCATTAATTCATACTTGACTTTCTATAATCTATGACAAAGCAGACTACGCAAAGTTGCGAAAAGGGAAACACTCATATTTTGTGTTGTGACCCAGAAAATAGGATTTAAATTATATCAATATGCTTTGTGCTAGATTTTCCGCTGAGCTAAAAATAAGACATAATTTTGGAACAGATATTAGGTAGAAAAAATATGATTTTAACCTGATAATTTCATCTGCAGGACAATTGTTTCTGATCAATGTCTTCTTCACAATAGGGTTGCGAATCAGAGAGCATTCTGATAGATAAATTGTCAACGAAGGGTCATTTGAAATGAGAGAAACCTGTAAAAGTCAATAATGTCTGATGGGAAACAACGATGATTTTGGTTATATTCTTACCAAAACTTGTCTAGTTCATATACAAGACAATAATTTGATGTAATTTTTCATGCAAATGTTCACATACTAATATCTCTTTTTACCATTGAAGTGGGAATTTTGGACAGATTTTTCAATTGAAAAATCAACCAAGAATAACTACAATGCTTGGCAAAATAGGTTTATAAAATCTAGACATTACAAAAAATATTTCGTCTCAGTGTAAAAGCTTAAAACAGAGCAAATAGAATTCAGATATATTCAAGACAAACCTATTCAAAAAAAAAACCTTCTTCAAAAAATAACAGAAAAAGATGGTTTACTTCTTTTTCAAAACAAGAAAAAAGAATTCGATTTAAATTTGATTTTGTATTTCAACTTTCTATTTTCATTCTCTTCATATAACAGAGTATAGTCAATCAAAATAGGCATCAGAAGGAGATGAATGTTTCCTGTTTCAGTTTAAGGGAAGCAAATACGCAATGCACAAACTGATGTCAAGTTCACAGCAATCGAGTGTCAGTATTTACAGTAAATACTGTACAAATTTGTAAGAGATGAGAAAGAAAATATGAATATGCTTTTTTGCCTAATGTCTCAGTCTACTGGGAAACGATGCGATATCACAGGTACACTCTCGTCGACTAGAACCAAACCCCATACCCGAGTGGAAAATTAGAATACCATGTCATCAATCGAGACAGCTAAATATCTGAATTTTTTTAAACTCAGTTACATGCCATTCAGAATTATTCTACACCCAATACTGAATATCTTCAGTGGTAAAAAAGGGGTGACCCCCAAAAAAACTGATCCCATAAATTACTTAATAATTACTTCTACGAAAATGAAAAAAAAAAATTTAACATTTGAACTTCTGTTTGTGTAGGATTGCACCAAAATGTTTCAGTAATCTGACGATTCGCACAAAAGTTATTTATGTTATTTCTAGAATATGTTTCCAATATGCTTCTGTTTTTGTTGTGTCACCTTGTATCATCAACAAAAATTAAATTTGTAGATATTCCGAGCGATTTTATCAAAGACTGTTTCATCAAACTATATTGTGATATTAATATATAAATTATTCGGCCATTATTTTCCATCGAGCTTTCCGGTTAAACTGAGAATATTTTAGTTCTATTACGAGTTTGAGGACTGTCTGTGTTAGCCAAGTGAATATACCCATGTCCATAGGTTTCAGTCTCTTTATACAACAAAATTAGTTACCTCCATATTGGTACACATACTTCTGGAGCGACAAATATTTTACTATCCTACTTATATAATATTCATGCCGATAAATTATTGAATTGCTCTTTTCCAAAATCATAGCTTTCTGCATAACAACTATTGGAGGCAAAAAACAATTTAAAAAAGGAAAGCATGTAAATACCTTAAAATGATATGTGATGTCATCAACTTGAGTGACTGTAGCTGGAAAGATGACTTTGTCTTTGAGAGAGAAATCGTAATAAACATCCAATTTGTAGTCTACTGTAGAAAAAAAAATGACTATTCAAATCAATTACGAGTTGATTATATTCAATATTTTAAATCCCCTTTTGATACTCTTGCAGTATGTGTACCAGGTTAGAGTTAGGCCATAATTTTATTTCAATTTTTCTTATTTTAGTTCTCTTACGAGTTCGGGGAATGTCTGTGTTAGCCAAGTGAATATTACCTCTGCCCATAGGTGTCAGTCCCTTAACACAACTTGATGTAAAATAGGCGAACCAAATTAGTTACCGGTACCTCCATATTGGTACACATACTTCTGGAGCGCCCCCCTTTTTTAGGAATAATTTGAAATAGTTTGGAAAAAAAAATTTTTCAAGCAAATAAAATCTTCAAGTAAGGCCAAAAATGCTTCATTCAATTTCTGAGAAATGTGAAAAACAATCAAAACACTGCTTAATAACAATCATGGATTTTTAAATTCAAAGTTATCCAATAGGCAATTTTTTGACCTTTTGCGTTTTTCTTTTAACATGAAATATTTAGAATATATTTATTAATCTGTATTCCAAATATTATTTTAGAATATCCTCAGGATAGTTCATTAATCAGACCAATAAAAAATACATTAGAAAATATATGAACCCATGTATACGTGAGAAATGAGTTGGTCAGAATGGCTGGTGAGATCTACAAATATTTGTTTAACAATTTACTCAGGTACAAAACGAATTACTATGAGTAGTTGATGTGGCAAACCCGTTAACAAACAATGACTTGAGCTTCAAAATTGTGGTCAAAATGACCAGATTTATGTGGAAAATGACGAAACAACATTAATTTTAGGAATAACAATTTCTTAAATTACAATAAAACATCACATGGCTACCTATAAAATGTATCAGGATAAGATATTTTATTTATTCGCTGACAAAAATAGGCTATATCTTTCAGAAACTAAAGACAAGTTTGACGATGACGATGTAAAAAATATTTTAAAAAATTTATAGAAACTAATATTATAGGCATTTCTGTTAAATGGGCAAAATCTGAATCATTGAACTGTAGAAAAAGACCTTCATTTATTTTAATTTTCCAGTCACTTATTGAAAAATTCAAATAAGCAAAGCAGTGCTTTACACTATAATGAAAAATATGCCCAATGCTAAGGCTAAATAATATGTAGTTTATTGGAGTAACATATAACAATTGCCTTTTCCCCAGCCTTTGGGGTAGTGGATGTACTGCATGCAATGGCGGCAAGAATATTCTAGCAAAAATCAAGACGGTTATATTAAGTGTTTCAAAAATCTTGCATTGAACTTTCACAAATTTCATTTCATAACAATTCTCCTGAATAAAAAACAATGCAAATCATTATTTTGAAACATTTCTCCGAAAATAATAAGCTGAGAAAAGGTCAATTCCAGGTCTCTAATTTATCACATCCACAAATTTCAATAAACAAAACCTAAATCGCTCATACAATGCAGTTTACCACTCTTTGTACTTTATTTAACGCAGTGGCTTTGATGACATCAAAACAAAATGTAAATTTAGATTTTAGAGTAAAAGAAATGCAGCAGTGATATGTACAATGTGGTATTATGTGAAAATTCATACTTTTGAAATGTAATTAGAATTTATCAGAGAACATATTATAATAACTGACTTGGTTTGATCAATTTTGTACATATTGTTAGGTGGCAAAATAAAGAACATATTAAAAAATCATTGTATTGAAATCTAATTTATTATTTATATGGGTGATCCAATCTACGCAATGTTGGGGACCTATTAAATTGATTATATATCTTTCAGTTTTATTTTAAAAAAATACCAAAGAAACTTTTATTTTATTTTTTTGTGGCACGGAATTGATGATATTGATTCGATTTTAAATAAATAACATGATACTATTAATGTGACCTGACCCAGTCACCAATATCAAACTACTCCTTCTGCTTGAGAGTCATTTAAGTTCAAGTAGAGTTTTATCAGACCACAACCTGTCGCACAACTCGCAAAAAAAAGAAATGTCTCTCTCACATTATAAACAAAAAGGAGAGAGAAACCATAAACCTTACTAGAAAACCGCATCAGCGTGACCAGCTAAACCACTTCATACGACAAATGTTAATATTTGTACATTTCAACTCCTAGTCATAGTGTAACTGCAAATCTTGCCTATTAATAAGTATAGTTCTATCATTTTCTTTTCTATGTCCATTTCTCGCATTCAATTAACAAGGATTTTCATGGCTAATCATATTTGCTATACTTCCTAACCTATAGGGAATATGTGTTGCCAACATACATCGCTATTCATGGTATCAGAAATGCAAACTATTGCTATTCTTGCTATTCAATCAGCAAGAAATCCATTTCAAACCTTTACATAATTGTAATTGAAAATTTACAATTTTATAACTAATATAACATGGGAATAATTAAATTACTACCGGAATTGAATATTAGATTCACTCCGAAATTAATTAGATTTAGTATTTGAAATTCTTGATTATAGTAATTATTTAGCATAAGGTAATTCGAAAAATTATCAATCTGAGCCTCCTAAGAAACAGTAAAGGCCTGAAACCTATTCAAATTACTGTTTATTGTAAATTTCAACTCATTGAATTGACTAGTTTTTTGGTTAAAATATTCCATTTCGCAATTTAGAATATTTCATTTTGTAATACATTATTTGCAATGGTATTGTACATGAAAGTATGGCCATCCCTGATTCAAGTAATTTAAATTTTAATCATATGAAAAAGAGGAAACCAACGGTACCCATATTTTAACACATAATGAATATGATAGTAAGTGCATAGATTGCTCTAACTGTTCATTGAATAATTGACCTGAGGTTCATAATTTGGAAAGCAATAGAACTTTTTCTCAACTCGAGTAACAATTCCCAGAGGAATAAAACATGATTCTATTCTGTACGATATTGGCAACGACTAGTAACACAAATATGTTAAGGCAAACACTGAAATGCATGTTCAATTACTGATAAATACTATGTGTTCTGATCAGAATGTAGTTATTAATTTTGATCCATCTTTCACCTCCAGACACTGTAAATGTGTAGGTCAATTTCAAAATTCATCATAAAGTATCATCCACAAATGTATGGACCATAACTGTGTGACTTGTGATATTGGTTTGGTGAAATGATGAAACGAGGTTGGACTATTTAAAATGATTAAATTTTTTTACACGTATGATTGTCAATAAGTTTAATCTCAAGGTGATCTTAATTTAACATATTAAAACCCCGAAAAGGCCGAGTGAGGGATGTGTCAAAAAAGGTTCGGAAATAATGGATATACTGGTAAATAAGTTATCATACTGTATAAGGAAGATAATTGAGATACCATTACCAATTGTTTCAAATTTTAACATTTTATTGTTCTTGCTAATATCAGGTTCACATTTTGCTGTTGAGTGTGTGATTTGGAGAAACATTTTAAAACCATTGAAAAAAAAAAAATCAGAATTACTATTTTGAAATATGACAATTTACAATCTGAAGGATGCTCCTATTTAAAGCATGCTCAGTAAAACAAAAAATAGGTGTAAGTAAAATATACTTGATTTGCAAAGATAAAGCTAAAAGCTCTATTTGAATGTCTATTTTACCGATGACCAGTTATTATAAAAATGATCATATCAAAGATTGGAAAAAATCTTTCTTACCGGTAGAAGAAGCATCACGACATGATAAGATGATAAAATCCTCTTCGCCATCCAATACATCACGACTAACTGAAATCTGAAATTGAATTTTAAATTTAATAAATAGAATCAAATAAGCAAATTGCTGAAAAAGATTGTTCAACTCTTTCTCACTTAAACCACTATGAAGTCAAATTGTGACTTGCACCGAATATCAAGTTCAATACAGTACAATTAACATCAAGATCCGTGGCAGACCAATTTTAATTGAAATTTGCTTATTAAGTATTTAAAAATACTTTCACGACTATATAAATCTTACACTTCTGTAGCAACAGGAAAAATAACGTGATGTCTAATTCTACGTTTTTGGAATGTGTTTTTGTAATAAATGCAGATGAATCAGATCCAATTGATTAATATCAAAACGTGCAAAGTGATTAGTGAGGCAATATATTTTGTGAAGAAGTAATAAATAAATAAACTTTTTATATTCCCATTCTATATTCTTTTAGAGGAATAAATGAACCAACTTCATTATGAAATAAATCCTTTTTTCTAAATTTTCAAAACACAAACTTTGAGACATACCCGAATTTTACAAAGGCCATCTTCGAAAGTCGCTCCGCAGGTTTCTTCTGCATTTCTATCGAAAGTAAATTCTGAAGAATCGTTTAATTCAGACGATTTACAATTTTGTATTCCAGTCAGCAATAAATGTTTCTGGAAAGTATGAAATAAAATAAGATTTAAAAAAACATTGATCACTAGCTATTTGTAGTAAAATACCAGCGAAGGCCTATATAAATATAATGAAGCTACTGTGCTGTGACACCATTCGTTGTAATCAAACGGTGGTCAGTTTTTCTCAAAGCGATAAATATTGGACGTGAAACAACAACTGAAATACATCAAAAAATATGGAAAAATAGCTTTCTATGATATATTTCCATAATTATTCAACAAAAACTGAAGGCGATTGCCCTAGGAGTTTAAAAAAAGTCGATTTTTTTGCCACAAAAACAACACATTAACATTTCTAAATAATAATTTAGGATCATCGTATGTGCAATGAAAACTTCAGTTTAACCTCGAAAGCTTTTGACTGAACATACGTAGTTGTTGTATAGCAGGCTCATGTACCTACAATCAAGATGTCCAAACAAACTGAATATTTTTAATAGATTGAAAACTAATTCGATTCAACATTACAAATTCTTGTTTTAGATCAACTTCAAATTTTAGAATTTTGAGCAATTGGAGTCACAAAGTAGTTCCAAAGAAAACCTATTAATTTCTGAAAACTTTAAAAACTATAAATTTCCTGTATTTTCTAATTGGAACACAATAGACTTTCATAACTTTTTATACATTCTTTGTTAGATATTACCCAACCTAATTCATATTCAATTTTGAAAAAATTTAGGGTGTATTATACAACATAGTAGATCATTTTGTTCTGGCCATCACTAATCACATTTGTGTTAGTTGTGCTTCACTATCGAAGTGCGAACCAAAATAACAAAATTGTTTAAACAAAATGCTGGAGCATGTCATCAATGTAATCTCCTGTTAAAATTGCATCCTTCAGAGAAAATAACCAAACAGGCATTTCGTGGAAATCATTTACCGCAAATGATACAAGGCTAAATCACCAGTGGGTGGAGTGGAATGACACAGCACTCTAGTGACATGGGAAAAGTAGTTAGTTGGCGTTAGTATCTTGAGACAGCGAGCATCTCAAAGTTTTACTAAAAAAACTTGAGTCCTTTTTCCGTAACGCAAATAACGGTGTTTTGCGGCTCGTCTATGTGAAAGTAGTCTATATTATTGCCATCTCTATTCTCTCTATGTTACAAACCCAATGCCATCTATAACCAGTAACACTATGAATTTAATGCTTATAATAAGCTTTAGGTCAAGTCTATTTGAAATTCAAAAATTTGCTCCGATTTAACGAAAGTAATGCTAGAATTGCCCAGTGGTATATCATATGTGTCAGTCCTTGTGCACATCTTGGGTTGGACCAGTATGTAGTAATAATTTCCTATCACTAAGAGACTGACATGACAGAGTTTGGTTCAAAAAGGATGTGAAAAAAATAAATAAGGTAATTTCTCTGAGCTAACGAGAGATATAAAAAGTACGCACAAATCTTTAGTTTTAAGAAGTTTGAATAAGGATCGCGTTGTTTTATGAGATAACAACCAGTTGATGATATACATTACAATCAACATTATAAGTACTTCTGGCCTTTTACCGATATACAAAAAAACAGGAGCTCCCGTAGTATGTGCACCAAAATGGCGCACAACCTAAACCAGCGCCAAAAAAGCTCACCGATATTCCCGTAGGAATAGATATTCTCATGACATCCGTGGAACAAGAGGACGTTATCTTTGATATTATATGATTCTTCACTGCATGATCATTGTTGTTATCTTAGAGATAAATTGTATGAAGCTGAATTAGGACGACCTGTGCTCAAAATTCTGATTGTAATTAAATTAATTAGACAAACATAATTATTAGTCAGTGGCAGAGTAAACAAAACATGTTTTTATACACTTCATAGATGATACATACATGCCAAGGAACAATTTAATACTCTTTTTTTAAAAAACAAATTTAAGTAATAAAGTTTGGAAATGCTTTCTATTTATGCAATTCTATCTGTAATTCAGAAACAAAGAGAAACAAAATAAAAATAAAAGCATAATAATACATACCTTTTCCAACATCTCTGTCACATATTAATATGAGATTTTTTGTTGTTTCTGATTTTTCACCTTTAACTGAGTAAAAATGTCCCAAACCAAACTTGAATATCACTGTCATCTAAACAAAATGTAAGTTTGTAATATAAATTACAAAAAAGATATAAGTTTGAATGAGCACCAGAAAAATTATTCTTAATTTCGGACTTTTACTCTGAACGAGGATTAGATACTCAACAAGGGAGCGATGCTTGAATATATGGAAACGAAGTAGTACCGGTATGCAATCTGTCACAGTAGACTACCGGTACCATATCAAAGATGAGCAGCAGATTTAAACTTATGCGAAAGCGGCACAAGAAGTGTAATTTTAAATTTAGACGTCATCGCACACCAAAAACAAATCCCATAGAGGCCAATAAAATTTTGAAATAAATAATAGTAATAGCCTTCTAGCGAAAAAGACAATATTTACCAGTGAAAATTTCAAACCAATTGGAACAGTAGTAAAATAGATTTTTTCACAAAAAGAAGAAAAACAAGACAAGAAATACACTAACATGTCGATAAACAACAACAAAATAACAAAACTATCCATATATCCAGTTGGTGTCCAATAACTCGCATGTTTACCCTAACAATTAAAAAAATATTATGGCATTATATAGTTAAAGGTTATACATACTGTTACACATATAGCATGCGAACAACACAGTTGTTGTTTCTACTAAATTAACTTATTGCTGTTAATAAAAGTCAGTAAAATCTTACTTGAGTTTCATAATTACCATCTTTTCTTATTTTTTTGCAATCGTTCAACACATATTCGATATTTTTATTAATTGAAATCGGATCACAAACTTGACCTTCGTAACTAATCATCAAGTTACTTTCTGTCAAACCATAATTCTGAAAAATATGATTGAAAAGATATTTAATAGAATGCAATTTTACTTATTACTCATCAATTTTAATCGGTAAGTATGTTGATAGGTATTTGTCTGTATGTCTGTCTGTTAGATGCATGCGATATCTCACGAAATCGAGATTGAATCTGCTCCATATTTTGCATGTGCATTCATCATATGTCGGACCAGAAGTCTATTGATTTTGGATGAATTATGTCGTATATTTAGCGAGTTATTAATTAATTAGTGATGGGACACAAGGTGTCACTATAGAGTAAGAGCGCTGTTTTGGGGATCTCCTAACTTTCGATTGATAAGTCTCCGGTCTCTGACCGATATTCTCGTTTATTATATTAAGTTGTCTTATTTGTGTTGCCATGATATCTTTTACAAACTGGTTATTCGGTGGAAATGCTGGGCAGTAGGTTGAATATGGAATGAATATTGTACGTATTGTATGAGTATGCATTACAGTGTCATGATTTTAGACGTACCGTAAGTTGATGGATTAAAATTTGCCATACATTTACTAACATTCTTTGTGATAAATATGAATCAAATTAAAATATTTCTACATAGTGTGATATATCGATTATTAATTAAAAGTGGAATGTGCATTAGGAGAAAATTCCAAAGGTTGTCTGTCATTTTCTTAAAAATGAGACTTCATTACTTTTAAGCGGAAATGAGAGATTTGGATTTGAGCAATTCTCTTATTAAAAAATGCATTGATGAGTAGATATAATACATTCCCGGAATCCTATGAGACGGTGAATTTTAGAGAAAATAGTACGTGAAGTGCCCCAAATTCTTTTTCTCAGTACACACTGTCGAATGCATATATGCAAGAGAAAATACTCCAAATTGAAATAGCCAATATATCAAGACTTTATAAGACATTATAACAAAAGATAAAAAAAATTCTACCTTTTAATGGATGAATTTCTAAAGGAGGCTAAGAGCAATAGACTGGTTTACTATCCAGTTCTACTCCTTTCATTTTAATACATTAACACTTTTCATTGGACATTGTTTTAGAAAATGTATGTATAATTCATGCTGAGGCCTGTGATGCTCTAACTGCCACATATATTATGTTACTTACGGGTAACCAAGATGTTTATCTACATGGTATTTCACATAATTGGTAAAAAAAAATGTTATTTGGCATATCATAGGGTCTGAAATAAGTAATATAAAATGGCAATGTAGAAAATATAGTGTGATCTGAAAAAAGAAATGTCCTATATTACTGATATTACTTTTGAGGTACAATCAAACACAAACAAAAGTTCAAGTGTTAAATAAATTTTTTGTTTTTTTGTGTCACTCTGTATGTGGTAGAATGAGGGGGGAAAGCTAACAAATGGTCAGTAGTACAGGGTGAGAATCTATGAATATACCAATATATTGACTGCTATAGGAAAAAAACAAATCATATTTGACACAGTACTTGACATAACATACTATTTATAATATACAAAACATATGCAGAAGTTAATAATTATTATATATCACAAGATTTTTTAAACCAAATTTTCATTATACATCCTTTTTTACTATTAGAATATATCAGATCATGAAACTGATTTTTGTAGTCCTAGATGTCATAATTGTGATATTAATTACCATATGTCACATAAAATTGCTAATGTTTTTGTTTCCTGCAACAAAGACAAAAACTAATGCAACACTACATACATTCAAAGCTGATGTTGGAACCATTAATATCCAGTCATTGCTTCCTTGACAGCTACTCTTTGCTTTACTATAAATATCATGAGCAATTCTGTCCAAATCATCAATATCAAGTACTGGAGATGCCTCTGATACCTCATGATATTGATCTAAATGAAAAAGACCAAATTATGTGATAAAAGTATTTTTTTGTACCACAAAAAATGAAATAATTTCAAAACATTCATGGTCTCACTCACATCATCATAAAAATTGAATTTATCTTCAATTTTTCAAATATTTCGATATATGACAAAATAAAAAAGGAGAGTATATCGTTAAATTTGAAATTTCAATTATTTCACAGTGAGACCTGCAAAGCTTTGGCTACTAGTCATAAATCTATAATTAAAGATTGATAGTTAGACTATATTCTAACTCACACTCTAAAGTGAAGTAAAGGGTGACCGAAAAAAACCAATCCCAGGTCATTTGAAACATGTTCTAGTAAGAAAATAACTTTGGTGAAAAACGACCTAGATTACTAAAAAGTATGCATACTATCATACACAAACAGAAATTCAAGTATCAAATAAATTATATTATTTTTGTAGGAGTGGTTATCAAGAAATTTAGTTGTTTTTGGATGACTCTGTAGTAGGGATTGGGGTGAGGGATTCAACAAGCAAACCCCACCAAACCAACATACCCACCATTTGTTTCTGTAAAAATTATTGGTGAATCAATAATCAAAAATGCAATGAAAAAATTTAAAATAAGCAAATTAATTCATATGAAAAAAAAAATGATACCTGATAACGTGAAGAAAATCAAGTCCGAAGGGAAACTGTATTGAGAATACGAAACAACAGTACAATTGTGTGACGTTTCAAACATTCTATCAAAGTTGTTTGGATCTTTTTCCTCTTCATGTAAATCTTCATATGAAATGATCGAATTCTTCATCGAATCAACAAACCGTATTTCATCGTGTTTCTCAGACTGAAATGAAGGTATTGGAAGCTAAGAAGCTATGTTCCCCTAATCTTTTATTTAAGAGTTAATAACGCTAACTGTACAAATCAAATCACACCAAGGAACACACCATTTTTCAATAGATACTATACGATATAACCACACCAATGTTAACCAATACCTTTTTGTGAGAGGATGAATGGCTTAATTATACATTAGGACAGGGATTAGCAGCTTTTTTTCATTTTTTGGGGGCAGAATATATAAGATATACTATTGTTATATATTTAATATTTATATTTTATAATGTTAGTGTCTATGAAGCTGACATTTGTTTTTGTTTTTAGTCTTCGTGTATGGATAAGCCAAGAGTCCTATTTTGTTAGAGTTTTTAACAAAAATAGGTCTGCTATTGTCATGGTAGTAAACAGATATACTTATTTACTTCATAATTATAAAGATTATATTATAAAGATACATATGTTGAGAAAAAATGTGTCATTGGGAGTTTTCATTGCTATGAGGCAAAGAGCATTCCCAAATACCGAAAGAAAAGACTAGAAGGCGGAAAAAATGTATTCGTTATGCATTTATTATTAAGTATCATTCTAGCGTATAAATTAATAACACTGTATTTCAATTAATTGAGCATGAAAGTAATATTGAGAGTAATGTGTAGTGATGCACAATTCAAGGAACAACCGTTTGAGCTTACCACGAAGAGGAAGTTGTTCAATCTCAAGTCATCAACGGCCCTTATATTCCATATTGTAGCCGTTGTTGAACGCAAAACCAGAATTGTTTTAGCATCCAAGTTGGCAGTTATTTCCTTCCCTGTGATCTCCAAATTAACGACCCGCGTTCTGAAATATGATCGCCATAATCAATTATGATACTTGAACAAGAACACACATTTTAAATTGTACGTTTGAAAAGAGAAATCATGATATTTTCTTACTACTTATTACATGCTTTTCAGCGATGAACAGAGTAAATAATTTCATACAATTAAAAATTTGGATATACAGGGATATGACTAGTAGCTCTCACCAGTGGCTTTAAATTAAAAATTTATGATGCTAAATATAACCCAATTCAAAATTATCCGAATGAAACAACCTTTGGATAATGAGTAATCCCATAATGTAAGAGAGTGTGTCAAGGCATTGAAACATATATTAAAACAATGTGGAATTAGATGGACCTAATATTTACATTATAAGTTAACCTCATATTATTCATATTTAGCTAATTTTGCATACTGCAATTCTACATCTTAGTCATAAAATAAAACATATACATAAAAAGATTTATTAATATTCAACCATAGAGACAATAATGCTGACATTGTTTTTTTTTTAATTACCGGTAATTAAACAAACTAAAATCGTGCCCAGATATTGAATGCTTCAACTACCGGTAATTCAAAACAATAATTTGAACGTCAAAAAATAAGTAAAAAAAATTGTGTGTATATTTAAAAAATTAATTTTAGTTTTCTTCTATTTTATTACTTTATTCGTATTTTGCATAAAAAAAATCATATAGGCTATACCATCTCGCCAAAGACGAATAGAAATTCTTAACTTTATATTTAAACTGGAAGACTAAATAATTTAATAAACAATGTTGACTTTATATATATATATATTTTGACATTATTATTATATGGATATTTCAAAATAAAGAAAAAGTATTAAAAGTCATATTAAAAAAAAACAGAAATCCTCAGTTGACGATGTTACGGAAAAATTGAGTCAAGGGTTGCCACTTATTTGTCAAAGAGAATTATAATGGCAAACTTAGCCGCAAGCATAATAAAATACAATGAATGATAATTGAAGTGCACATTTCAGCAGAAGCCAATACAGTAAATATGCAGACGACCCTACTGTAGTTTTTATACACCTGAGGCAGAATTAAATGAGAAAGATATCAATCTAAGATTTATATTTGACTAAAAAAAACGAGAAAATGAGGTTAAAATAAATCATAAAAATCAATTTTCTTCTAACTAAATGATTGGCTAGAAAAGGACTTCAACTAGTAAATAATAATGTAAATATTTAACTTGCTGTCAGTTGCAGAGTTGATGAACAAAATTCATGTTTTTCTCATGCAATTTGGCGCTCCAGAAGTATGTGTACTAATATGGAGATAACTAATTTTTATTTGCCTACTTTATATCAAGTTGTGTAAAGCGACAAAAGCCTATGGGCCGGGGGTATATTCACTTGGATATCACAAACAGTCCCCAAACTTGTAATAGAACTAAAACAAGAAAAATCGAAGTAATAATATGGCCTAACCCTGACCTGGTACACATACTACCAGAGTACACGCAATTTATTGTTATAAAAGGTTCAAATATGATAGAACAATAAAGATTTTTCACAAGTCTATTGTCTAGGTCAGGGGTTCTCAAACTTTTGGTCTTGCGGAGCCCTTGAAAAGGTTGACTATTATTCACGGAGCCCCAAAATAAATGTTAAAATTGTTACTTTACGATTAATATTCCTGAGTAAGTTAAACGTACTTTACTCAATTTAAATACTAAACCCTTTTAATAGGGTTAATACAAGTCATAAATAAATCTAAATTTCAAAGATAAATTGTATAATATACTAAAGCTGTAAATTTGACACATGACAAACATATTAACAAATTAGGGGTCGAATCTTTTCCCCTCTTGACATTTTTGGAAGACTTAAAAGGCCGCGCGTTAACGTGCGCGATTGCATTTTGTTACAATCGCCGATTGTTTTCGTCAGCATGGCGTGTTTTTAAACCTCAAACATCTTTACGCCGGTGTTTATTCTCCCTAAATCAAAAATTTCCTTCGGCATATACATGTATTGTTCCACAACGACGACGATAATTGCTTTTTTGTTCTCGTGGGGAATTATGAGTTCAATGTGAAAAACATGTTACCATATCATAATCATCGGCGACGAAATGCTAAAAATAATAGTTAATAAAGAGGTAAATCCGCTAGTCAAATTTCTTGATTAAAAAGCGGCATTCTGAAATATTAGAAATAAAACTTGAAATGGAAAATAAGACTATAAGTTTTGTTTCGGCAGACTCACGTCAAAATAAAAACGCTTTTATAGACATTGTAAATCACAAAATTTGGTGTTATGTTAGGTTTTCTTCGGTTATTCATCGTGGTAACTGCGAAATTGAAACACATTCAATTAAGCGCGCGATATATCATTTATCCACTCTGAAACTACCGACGGAGCCGCATGCACTAAAATAAATTTCAATCGTTCGTATTTTTCCAAGACCTTGTGATTTTTCAAACGGCGATATCTTGCTTAAAAATAATCTCGAGTGCGAAAGAACAAATCAAGTTTAACAAATCCCAAGATCGCAAAAATACGACTCCAATTTATTTATAGTTAGCAGTTTATCACGCAGTTTATGTTATTTTAGAATAGTATACTTTCATTTTAGTAATCCTAATAGTAATCTCGAATCGAACGTGAGTAACGATGAGCACAATTAAAATATTACGACAAGACACTTTAAATACTCTCATCGGTCATGAATTGAATATTTTACGCAACAGAAATCTCGTTATCCGTTTTTTTTTGAGTCGCCAAGAATGTTTCGCGTTAATTCCCGACTCCAAATTTGAACCTCCTTCCTCTTTAGAATCCTGGCTGCGCTCCTGCTTATAAATAATGTCATTTTTTAAGTCCGCCACTTTGCCATATTTCGAGGCTATATTGTTGTCAAATTTTATCAAAGCTGTTATTGCATCTAGGAACATTTTTAAATTAGCCAAGTCAGTATTTTGAAAAATAATCGAATAGCTCGCGGAGCCCCTGGGTTTCTCTCGCGGAGCCCTGGGGCTCCGTACGGAGCACTTTGAGAACCTATGGTCTAGGTGATAAAATGCATGCTTCTAATAAAATCATCAGTATTTGGCTTACATTGTTAATAAAACCACTACGTTGTAGTAAAACTGTTTGTCAACTTGTGGTTTTAACCAGATTCAACCGCATCTAACAGGCTGTTTGCGTGAATAATTTCCAAAGCTTTTACATTAATGGAGTAAAAATAAGTAGCAGAACAAAGCAACTCAGTCTGGATTTATGAGCCAGTGCATAATATACAATTGCAAATCTTCACAACATGAATGCAAAAGCTACATCATGATCATGATATACCACTAATATTTTTATTCCCAAATAATCACAACAAACATAATATCTTTTAACTTTAAGCAAAAATAAAATTGTGATATTTGCCATAGTTAAAATACACCTATGAGTATGAACTGAATGTAGAAATAGTGTGAAAATGGCATTCCAGGGTTAAGCGAGGTGTGATGAACCAATAGCATCACCTCAGCTATTATTAATTGACAGAGATATACCATCAAATTTTAATCTAACACGATGTAGGCGAAAGAATTGTAAGTGGTATATTTTAAAAATCCGCAACAAAATATTGAGTCAGATTCGACCACAGTTTTAAACATAAGCAGTCACGGCTGAAAGAAGATAATTTTGTTAGCTGAGGTGAACTACCGTGACCAAATCGTGCCCGCCGGCAATAATTTTGTTAACAAAGTCGAGATAACATCACAAGAGATAAATTGGTTTGGCGAGCAAGAAGAAAAGAATGCGTACAAAACCAGTGAACCATACTATCTACCCTGTTATTTTTCTTCCTTTCAATAACAATTCTGGACTATGTATTGGTTTCACGCCTCAAGTAATGTGGTAAAAACATTGGTGTTATGTGGTATAAAGTAATCCCACACTTTTATTTCGAGAGCCTTCATACCAATGAAATTGTGTGGTCAATAAACTTGAGAACGAAGAGTAAACAATAGAAAATAGGCCGAGATAATGAACAACGATACAATGAACGACAATTCTTCACAAACACATGTGCAACAATGAATGAAATAAGATATTTGTAATATGGGCAGCAGTAACGTCTCGTTCCAAATGGGAATTAATTCATTAAGACTAATACGGCTTGTGCCAAAACAATTACCAATTACTGAATATTTATCAGGTGTTTATTCATATTTTAGTTGTAAATTTCACAATGATTGCTGTTATTATTTCTTATTCATGTCTGAAATGTGGAATTTGATATTAAATTTACTATTTAGTAGTATAGGCGATTTTGCAAATATGTTCATTGCGTTCATATAATATGGGGTAATGATTTATAAACTACATCCTCTCTCAAAATTACAACAAAAAACATTCAAGAGAAAATTATAACTGAAGTATTGAGATAAACTCGATCGGGTCGAATGTATTTGAAAATTCAAGTTGATGAATAGCACTCGAAATAATCCAAAACCCATCGAGTGAACAATGCTTATTGCTAGAACGAATTCCACAATCGGACCACGGTGATAGTTTCCACAAAACTATAATATATGGTATATTAAAAATTAAAACCATGGAATTTATTTGTTTAATCAAACAGGTTCAATATTATTGAAACAATATTGGTAATAATACAGGTTAAAAAAATATCAGGATTGACCTAGAATGCAGCAAAATATTTTTATTTTGATGAAGTGGACCATTTGCAAACGAGTACATATACTTTTATGGGAAATATAGAATACGGTAGTTATTTCATCAGGCACACAAATAGATTGGAAATAATGGATATTATTGTAGATTTTAAGAGAATTAAAATATAAAAAAAACTCACTGTGTTTCAGATTTCGTATGAGAAGTTAATTCCAAAACAAATGCTTGATCTTGTGAAACTTGTTTTGTCAGGCTATGGTTTCTCTCACAAACAAATTTTGGTTCATTGACATCATAATGTTGTATTGATACTAATGGTGAAACGTACGTCTTTTCGAGTTTTCTACATTCCGTAAAATTTCCATGTTCTGGTTCAAGTGAATCTATTATATAGAAATAACCAATCAAATGTTTAATCAAAAAATCATAGTCCTTGCCTCTGTTAGAAATTGCTTTGTACAGCAAAACCAGGCTAGGATGATGAAAGATTGTGATCACTAAGAAAGAGTCTTAAAAATGGAGATATCATTCCACGATACTCTTATTGAACCGTTAATATAAAATACTCAATTTTGGATTCCATTTTGAAGAATTTGATAAACCTTCACAAATCAAAGCAATGTTTGGGATGAAAATTCAGATCATAGCATTCTTCGAAGCAAATGTCAATTAGATTAAAAAATAGTAGATTGAGATGGCCAATCTCAATTAATACATAGACATGAGTTCTGCAGAGAGTCAAAATAAAATAATCTTCGGGGTGGGTAACTTGCTTAAATCACAAAATATCTGAGAAAAGAGCACAGAAAGTATGTATCAAAAACACTCGACATAAAAAGGGATGTGAATAAAAACCTTATTTACATATATGAATATGGATATGAACACCACAAATCAAACCTTTATTATATCCACTTAAAACATTGACAGTTGCAATCTTCGAAACATCAAACTCTGTGAAAGACGTTATCTTCGGTTCCAAGCTGGCAGAAGTATCAGACGTGAAATACTTTCTGCAGACGATCAAAAGTTTTGATGAATCCTGCCGAGACGATTCATTCAAATCAATGTTGACAGAACGGAACTGATTGTCTTCATCCAGAAATATTATGCGAGAATCTTTTGATAACTAAATAAAAGAGAAGTGATAATTAATATTGGGTTATATAAATAAAAAGGCTAATAAATTGCGAAACTAATTGATGATCTAAGAAGAAATTGGAGCTACATTCTTCATGTAACCAATTATACCCTAGATGTGAAATAATCAATATATATATTGACAATCATAACATATTGCATTAAAGAGCATGAAAACAAAGATTCTTCCATTTTAGTAATTAATTGATTTCTTAAATCAATTTTAGAGTAGAGTTTAGCAGTAATCCCGGGAATACAGATGAATTTCACATTGATAGCATATATTGCATAAAATATACAGCAGTTAAAATCAACGAAAATATTTTTCAATGAAGATCGAAAACTGGATAATATACACAATTTACAGCAAACTATAAAACTTGTTCATTATCTACAATGATGAATGAGACATAATCCACTACCTGAAAGGTAGCAGACTATCCAATATCAGCGTACAAAAATTTCAATTTGCTTTGGGGAATAGGAAATATCAGGTAAATATTTAAAGTGGAACAATATAATATTCCAATCCTATTAAGTCAAGTACGGGTCATTGATATTGTCTACAACTAAGACTGACTTATCTATGGCCCTCAGATAAAAATAAACAACTTAAAATTAGGTAAAACATTTGAAAAATGGTTTATTTTATTTTTTGACATTTTACAGAGATATCAGGATAGAGTTTGTTTTAACACCCACATAAATTAATCATAATTACTGTCTAAGTCAGGATTTAATCTATATATTGCTTTGGCGCTACTGGATAGTCCAAACAAACTTTTAGTTTAACAATATAGCAAAAATAAGTGTTTATTATAAAATCACAAATTCATCCAATATTTTCCTTAAAACTTTTTTAGATATCATCAGAATGTCAAATATTCTTAAATTAAAATGATGATAAAAAGTACATATTCATTTCCTGACAATTTATTACATATTCATTGCTAGCATAGCAATACAGACTTGCAAATAGATTCCATTTAGATTCATTTGGTAATTGTCAGAATTAAAATTTAGTCTAAACAAAAACAACAAAATGAATGAAAAAAAATAGAATAAAATAACCAGACCAAAATAGTACACTATACTTACATAAAATGAGAATTCAACACTACTTTTTGGCATGTTTGTCGTCGAAACAAGCCATATAACGTCTTTTTTAGAATAAAGTGCAAACTCGTATTTGTACTCTTTGTAATGAGGCAGTGAATTTGTGGTCCGGTGATGGATACCATTGATATTGAGGTAGATCTGCAAAAAATAGAAGTTGGTCAGTTTAGAAAATTTGAAAACCTATGTTATAAAACAGGGGTGTGCAATCTTTATTAATTAGGAGGGCCATATACAAATGAATTGGTGAACAGAACGCCGCACATTTATTCAACATAGCCTTTCTAGTAGTTACAAGAACACATTTGATTATTGATCTTATGACATGCGTTGTTCGCTTTGCACAAACCTAGTTATGGGACTCAGGTATATGCTTTGCAATACAAAGGGATTGGGGGTACTCGCACATACCAGATTGAACCAAATTAAAAATTCGTTCCGACACCAGTAATTAAGATCATGATCAAAATAAAATGAAAAGATCGTGCTGTATCCTGGCGAGTAAATTATAATAGTCATACAAAAACAAATAATACATTGATCCTTATTTATTCACCCCCAAACTAAAAGGGCTCTCTATCTATTTTGTCAAAAAATAATGATTTGCAATTGTTGAAAATTCATATTGCATTGGTATATTTAATAAGTCAAGATATTCAATCAAAAGTTTTCAAATGATATTCATAGGATGACAATCCCAATACAATTCTGAACGAGTGCTTCTAATTTGACATCATTTGACAAAATATTTCTTGCAACTTACATCAGCAGGTCTGTCATTTTGAACGTTCATGACATGGTTTTCCCAATAGGTATCATTCAACGCTGATGCCGAACCTTTCGATGCACATCCATATGCATGCTCACTGACCAGCGGCAGTGACTCAAATGCATGAAAATATCGATTTGATCGACTATCAGCCAGGGTGATGCATGTATTAATTCCATCATCGCCTTGAATGCCGACAACTGAAATGGAAAATGATTTATAATGAAATATATTCATAAGTGCTCATCATACTAATATGGAAACAAATGAGTCATTTAGCATATTGCAGTGCAGAGACGACTGAAGAATTTGCAGGATGAAGGGCATTCACCAAACTTGAAAATGCAAGGCATCGAACACAATCATGAAGCCCATGAAATTAAAATCTTACGGCGATTACTGATTTGTTGCAGCAAAATAATAATGAACCGTATGTCAAAATTCCATAAAGTAAAACCAAATCAAAAGTAATAATAAATAGTATAAATAAAGTAATAAAGTAATCAAATCTAATGTAAGTGCAAGACAGAATGCCAGAATATCATATTATTTACATAATTTGAGATTGTGATAACTTCAACCAACGGGCAAATAAAATTAAAAAGTCAAACTATGATTTAATTGTGTTAGGTTAGAGAGATAACAGGACTGAAACTCTTAAATTTTATATGAATAATGCCATATAAATGAAATTAAAATGAGTACAAAAGTAGTTCAAATTTGAACTATAAACTTCTGACAAAAAAATGCAAATTTAGAGAAAACAAATTGTCTGAATATTTGCAGCGGTTGTAACGATAATAATAAAAGCATTATTGCAACAAAATTTAAATAAACTATTGTTTGGATTTATGACTGACCTAACAGGGTAATAAGCTTCCATTATCGAAAAGTTAGAAGTTCATGATCATATGACTGACATATGAAATATTTATTACTAACAGCAGCAGCGTAGTAAATGCACTAGGCCTATTCAATTTCCAAGTCCATAAAACGATTATGGTGAATTTTTGAGTATAGCGGACTGCGGTAAGCCTTATCAGAAAACTTTAATAATTGTTTGATAAGTGGTATTTGACTTTTGTTCCACATAAAATTGGCTCAAAAAATTAATAGATCTGGCTATATAAAACAATTTAGTAAAGTCCAGCACAAGAAATATTGTAGTCAACAAAATTAAGCACAATAATTTAGGTTCATTGGCCATTTTACTTTAAATATGAAAGAATTTTGCTATACTTTGCCAGCACAACATAATTGAGAGTGGAGTTGTTTTGTTCTGGACGACTCAGAGCAAATGTTTATTCTCTTTATTCTGCTTGGACGATTTTGTCTGGCGATTTGCCTTTTTCCTTTTATGAACTTAGCAAACAGCCCTTCGAGAGCCTCAATGGCTCCAGTTTATGAGGTACGCTCATGTACATCAGGAAATAAGGATAAACTACGAGACAGATAGCAGCCTAAGGCAAAATATTGTTTTTCGCACAAGGAGCATGTCATTCTAGAGACATCTTAAAAAATCATGCGTTTTAAAAGATACGTCATATTCATTTTCTGCATTCATCTCACTTTCGTTTTTGCCAGTCAGAGTAGACAGAAGATAAAGTTACCTAATAAAAAATAATCCTAAGCCCCCTTGTTATTAACCACAAGTAACACAAGAAGTACATTATGGAGAAGTCCAGAATAGAGTGGTATTCCAAAAAAATTGTTTACCCTAGCTAGTGTGAAATACCCCTGTTTGTTATTCAAAATTGCAAATCCATAAATTATTAATGACAATCCCATAGAGAATTCAATAAGGGTTTGCAAAATGGCTATAGGATAAGTAAAAATGAACTTATATTTGGCAAAGAATTTTACATAGATTCAACAAAATTTAGAGAGTTTTATGTCAATTTTAAAAGTGCACAACAATAAAAATTGTAAATAAACGAGGGCATAATAAAAAATTAATCTACTGAAAAATGGAAAATAAAAATGATCCAATACTGCAACCATATATATGCAATCTTATTGAAACTTTTAATACAGAGAATACCAGACAATGCTGTGAATTTTCATGATATACACCTAATATGATTCTGAAGCTCAAGAACACTAGCAATAACAAAAACATGATAATTTCCATATGATCAGATACAACAATTCATTAAAAATCCTCAAAAATAAACCACAATATCACACCAGAATGCTCAAATTATCCAGTAATATTAAAATGAATCACATCTATCGATCAAAAATAAATTCAAAGTAGTAATTCTATAATTGGGCCATATTTCAGATTATTAATAATACTAAAATGATTATATCAATTTTTTAGTATATTTAAATTTAGATATCTTACTGAATGGATTCAACATTTCTGTTGAACAAGAATTTAAATACTTACAAAGTGCATGCTGTACTCATACTATATACGGTATGTTTTATGTTACCTCCAACACAAATTTTTATAAATACGTGCACTTGAGTAAACTATTCTGGATGAATTGTTTACCAGTTCAGCCCACCAGATTAGCTGGGTTCACTTTTTGGCATAATCAACCAAGTCAGATATATGCACGAATAAGCATGAACTGAATAATGGGAATATACTTATATCATGACATTGACCTCAAATACCCTATAATGTAAAGAGTTATTTTACGTTTACAAATGTGTGGTAAAGAAATTTCCATCATTCACAGTAATAAATTGCCAAACAACAGACACGGAAGTAGAAACAGCAAAACTGTACCTAATATCAAGGTAAAACCTTGAGCATTTGGGACCTTTATAAACCTAAGATCTCTTCAACATTTCACTTTAGAATATACTTGCACATTTCCTCAAGAAAAAAACCCAGTTCATTCTCAAGTTTGAGTGACTAAATATGGTTACAATATATACAAGTCATAGGTCCTGTTGTATACTAATTCAAGATTTTTTTATCACTGATTTCAATTAAATTGGTAAGATAGAAACAAGACCAATCTAATTGAGCAACCAAGTCGTTCGGTTTGCATAAACGACAACATGCATGATATTCCAATATTGTCAAGCCGAAAAAAGAGGAATGGAAAAATGAAGGCTATTATACTAGACTACGGCACAGTTAATACATATCACAAATAAGTAAAATAATAAATGAATTGCTATTGGATCCATGCCAAAAGTGTATATCCTCAAATTAAAGTAAGGACTATTGGCCAAAAGGCAATGGAACAAACATTAAAATATTCTTGGCTATAAATAATTTATGTGGAGTAGGGCTCCAGAGATTCCTTTCAAAACAACAAGAACTGGCACTCAGTATGGCCCGGATTTTTGGCAAATGATCAATATGGCATGAACCAAATAGACCAGATTGCCAGCAGGGATTGCCAAATCAAAATCAACTGTTTTTCAGATATACCGTAATCTAAAATAACCTTTTTGAATATGTGATAAGGAATATATTCAACTAAAAACATGTATCAATTTATATGCAATGCACTTGAATTTAGAAATACAAAAAAAGATAAACAGTGATTTTCGTACAGTTTTCAGAACTTTGAGAATCTCATTCGTTATACCGTTAAACATGAATTACTAAAAATGATCATTTTTAAATGGAGCTATCCAAAATCAACCCTGAAAGTGAAGAATGTAACATATTGAATATCGCTAATTTAAAATCGATTCAATTATCAGATTCATTTGGGACATCACCACTGATTTTTCATACTACATACAAGTCGTTAATGTTCAAATTTTTATTATAGATGAGGTTTTATTAATTAAGTTTGGATCCTTGATGCTAATAACCTGCACTTGATAATTAGTTAACGTTAGCAACAAAAACAGTATAAATAAGCCAAGAAAGTTTTTAGGAGTCTTTATCATTTACTTCCCGATCCATAATTCAGTTAGGAAATGAAAATACTTTCATCCTTTTACTCTATGTGAGACAATTATAACAATCCAAAATAGGATTATTTCTAGCAAGGGTTGTGGACTTACTGGCTGCTAGAGTATTTTTATCAAACTTTTCAAAATTCAATAACTATTTTAACAGAAAAAAGGACCAACAAATGGAAAGGTTGTCACTGTAGTTTTTTTTTTTCTTTTTCTTATCTAGAGCGGAGCCTGAATTATTCTTAATCTCATTGAGGCATTTTTTTGAGTGGCTTTGAGATTTTTTCAGATTCAAAAGGTATTCTTATATCCACATAATGATAAGAGAGACAATTACACAGTCTAAAATATATATATTGTACCTAATCTTTCACAGTAAGAAACACTGTAGTATAGTGGTTTTCAATCAGGATTCCGCAACACTCTGGGGGCCAGTACAATCAGGAGGTTCTTCGAGTTTATGTTCAAAACCAAGAGTATACCAAAACATTTTAAAGATCATTTTGTTTTGTCAGTATAGGCTTACTTTTATACTTTGTATAAATACTTATACTGAGTATTTTAATTTGATTTTTTTGAGCAAATGATATTTTTTTGCATGAAACGATTAAACTATCGCAACTAAAGCTCGAGCTTCTGAAATGTTTCATTGTAGTTCCGCCCATCAAAAATACACTGCTCTTACACGTACAAGTACAAAAAAATACAATTGAAGTTGTACTTACCATACACTAATATGCAAATGATCACATTTGCATGAGTCACATGCATGACGAGGTAATTGTTATAAATGTTTCAACAACAGCTCTTTTTATCTTCAACTCACATTACATCCATAAAATTTACGAAATCATTGTTAAATCAGGATATGCCTGGCATCTTTAAGATAAAATCTAATAAAATCCCAAATAATTCACTGTGAAAGTGCATATAAATAAGATTACGAATTCATCGGGAGCAATCAATACAGATAAAATAAAAAAAACAGCCTATTTAACCATCTAACTTTAAAGTATTCATTTGTGAAAAATAGGTCATAATTCTCTGTTCCTTAACTTTTTGCATTCACCCTAAGATATGACCAGATTATAGTTGCTATTTTGAATACCCAGACAATAATACCAATGCGATGTCACTTATACAACTACCAACAGAGATTAGATGTCCATAACAATTAACAATGTAAAAAAAGATGTGATATGTAAACATGTGATCATGATTCTACAACATAAAGTATGCTCATATACCCCTATATAGCTCCAATTAAAATTTAGGGCTGGAATGGGCCCTCGTGCTATTGCAGACTCAACATTCAACCAGCCCTGCAACTCAAATACGATAGATCAAAAGCAGCCAATGAAATTGTTTCAATTCTCCAGTTGTAAAATTTAAACTGGGTTAAACTATTTACTGCATGAAATTTATTTTTGAAATAATGCATATATAATGATTTCCCTGAATATACTAAAAAAATTTAATCAAAATTTAATTAGTCACAAGTAAACCATCCATAATAGCAAACTATTGAAGTTTGCACATTACGACTCGAAAATGCAAAATTTTGAGATGATTCAGCAATTATGTAGCAATTTATATAGATTTGTTCAGTATCGTCTCTGATTTATTATTTATTTCATGGTTGTTTCTTGGTGTAAAAGACTAACTTCAGAACCTAATAATGTCCACTCGATATTGCCAATACCAATATATACAATGGATATAACCCCCTCAACACATTGATAACAATACGTTCAATCGATTACACATGCATGCCCAGGTTCCTATTTCAACAAGTGATATAGTGCATATTTTGTCATGTAACACATGACGGCATGCTAGGTAGACAATTTAACATTAAGCTATAACTTATCCTAGGTTCCTTTGTTCCCCGTTTATTCAGCCATAGACAGATAGAGTCAAACCAGAAAATTATCCAATTACCGGTAGCGGTACTATGCAAAGTACATTTATAATCACTTCTGCACTTGGCTATGTTGCATTCAAGTTGAATTAAGCAATAGCTGAATAGTCCATAGAATAGTGTTTGCTGTTTCTCATATTCAAAAATATTTGCAGGTTATGGAATTCCAGATGTTTCATTTTAACCAACATACCGTAGGTTACCGTACTGCTGTACTGACATACAGTAATACTGTCATATTGCAACATCATATTTCAATCCAATGTCAATAGTTAACCGATACTGCAATCATCTTAATCAGTTAACTGATTAATGTCACTCATTCCTTTACATACAGACATAAATAAAAACTTCTGGATAGACTGAATGATTCAGTTTGACCTGCCAACGCCTGCAAATTTTAAAATAGCCAATATTCCCATATTGCCACCAACCAAAGGTTACTGTGAAACATGCTCCAATCAATCAATCATTTTATTTCGATTTATCAGCTCTGCAGCTGCGAAGAATAGTTTAGTACTTGATACCTGAATACCGGTACCGTACTGATCAACGGTATCAACATCTGAATCTGCAAACAGCAACTGTCAGGCTGTAGACTACCGGTAATCAGTTATCCAGACCTCATGCTAAGCATGGTCAACGTAGTACATACCATAGAAGTAATGATCAAATTAATCACAACAGACGAAAAATACGCACGTGAACTCAATACCGGTACTGCGATATTTTACAATCCAAAGGGGAGTAAATTCGATCCATATCATCAACCACCCGCCGCAAAATAAATCGACCACTACCAAATGCAGTGGCTAGTCTCGCATCAGCCACAGACCACAATACAACGGCTCAAATCTATGTAGCATAGGCGCCAAATCGCGGAGAGATTAACACAGGAGACTTTCACAACAAACCGGGGTTGGCGGAAAGTAACATACCGGTACTCACCTCCAGCAGGTTCAAGTGATCTTCAGGCGTGAAACTTCCTTCCAAAACCCAATACACACAAAATCAAGCGCTCTAGTGATTTATTCCAACCACGCTTCTCCCAAATTACATCACATTTTATTCTCTACCTACTAGGTGTCCCAGTGATTATATTACTATCCTCTCAGAGCACATTCGTTCCCAACAATTCATTTACTGAATTTACCTAGTTACCACGAACCTGGGCAAATAAAAGCAGCAGATTACATCTCAGACAACATAGGCCAGAGAATCATTTACTGAAGTTATCTAGTTAGTACACATCTAAGCAGATAAAAGCAGCAGCACACGACCCTGACACTCAAGGCCTTCCTTCAGCGCTTGGTAGTAAGATGGCGAGTGTTTTCTTCAGACTGGTACTAAACGTGTAATTGGACAACAATTTAGAGCTGTAGGTTGTTTCGAGCCTGTCTGGAAATCTATATCTAACCAGTAATCAAGCAATGTATTCTGATATTCAGTCAGATATATAATCATAATTAAATTTATATGCAGCTTGGCTAATATATGTAATGATTTACTGTACTACATTATCCAGAAAAATAAATTAAAGAAGGCAACATAGGTAAAAACAAACACAGAAGGCAATTTTGGAATGCAAAGGCTAAATTAAATTATACAGAAAATTAGTTAGAAAAGTATCACAATGGGCTATAGTGAAAGTAAATAAAATGATAAGCACACGAAATAACTTGAATCAATAACCAATAAAATAGTGCACCAAGAATGATAAAGGCATTGCTTTCAATTATCAAATGTGAGGTCTTGCTGTTTTTTTTTCTGTGTCATTCTTATTTGAGTTAATAATCAAGCCCCATGCTTTGAAAAAAAGCTCAAACAAGAAATAGAAGTAATCTTTCTTTGGTATAAGAAAAATATGTTGTTTTTTTGAAGAAAACACAAACTACGTTTTTTTTGAAGAAGTAGATAGAACACTCCATATCGAGTCTAATTTTGGCTTCAACAAATTTTATGAGGTGAAATGAACATTCGTTCATTATAATCCATCTGCTTGCTGCAAGATACACATGGATGTAAAAAGGCATCCCCAAAATCGAGCTTGAAATCTCAAGTTATGCATTGAAACAATTTTGTGATGATGAATTTGGTACATATCAGCATAAAAATTAAATTACGCTTTACAAATGTTGAAAAAACGGAAGAGAAATAAATTACTATTGTTACCTTTGTGATGTGTGTCATGCCATGAATAAAATCTAATAGGAATATCAAACTAAAGCATACTATAGTTTTATTAATGGGGAGAATTTAAAATAACCAATAAATAGTGTCCAGGTATATCATGACAAAACAACTGACACAACTAGAAAATTGTCTTGGTTTATATGAGGTTATTTTATACTATCGCCTAGAGAAAAGGGATCTAGATGTACTATGAACAACAATATATGAAATTAACACATGACAAATAGGAACGAAATTGAAAAAAAAATCCAATAGTTTCAGAAACTTTAGTTGCATAGACTATGTGACAAGGATTATGATCTACAAAATTGCTTTCAATAAATTCAATTTTTTGAAATAAAAATTATAACACCTCAAAGAATATAACAAGAGAGCAAAAAAATTATGCAGATTATTAAATAAAATACAAGCAGATATCATTAGCCACCTTTCAGGTGCGATTATAATTTACGAAAATAGAGAAAAATATCAATTATATATAGATTAATTAACAAGTTTGAGCTTTAACAATTCATGAATCATGATGTATTGTGGATCAAATATTCGTTCACTTACTAGTACTGTTATAAACGATTATACAATGTATAAAACAATTCAAAAAGCCATTATTTCTCCAAAATAAATGAGTAATAAAATTGAAAATTACAATGCACTCAGCGGATCACCTTGAATCACGCCGGAAGTATACATGGAGTATCAGGAATGTCAAAAATAAAGACTAAAAAGTAATAATTTCAACTTGATATATTAAAAAAATAGTTTTTAAATTATATGAGCTGCATATTAACACACTAAAAAACCAAAAATTTGTCACTAATATTTTACAATTTATAGAGTACCATAACCATATGTTTTTATTTGGTTTAATTTGGCACATTATAATAAAAAAATATGTATATGGAAAAAGCTTAATCAATACTGAGCCACTGACTGCGCAGCAAAGAAAACATGCAATTGGTAGAGAAATAGATTTGATCCTAAAATTCGTTTATTATTTTTGTTATACAACAAAACAGTGAGTACTACTTAAATTACACCTTATAACATCAGACAAAATAAAAAATTAAACACAATCTGGATACGCTCGTCCGACTCAAACACAAAACAAGTTCAGTTTGATTAAGCATTTTTGATAGTACTGTAAAGCAAATTAAGTAACATAAAATCTGATTTCAACATTCTTGGCATTGTGTCCGTAACCATTCTTCAGCTTCAACATAAAAGCACCAGATTCATCTTCAGCATCTGTATTGAGTAATTCTTCTTGCTCATCTAAACTCCTGACTATCGATCCTTTGTGTGAACTGTACTGAAGAGTTGGCAGTTTCGGTTTATCAAGACGTGGGCTGTTAAATCTACAAACAGAAAAATAATCAGAAATTAAAGAAATGTATAGCAGATATTACACAATATCTGCAAAATACACAAGCCTCTTGAGATTAGTTGAAGTTTTTGTTAGTTGCAATATCCCTAATTGAAACAACAGTTCAAAAAAACAACCTTTGAGCCTACGCCTACATAGAATGAAAGATAATAGTCATCATAGCACTTCTATTCAAAGGTACACAGCGTATGTCCAATGATGGTTAACTTTGCGATAAATGAAGTTCGAGACTACTTGATAATTTTATAATAAAAAATCTTTATAGATAAATTTTCACACATCAAGAATTGGGATTTAACTTTTAATTTTTTAATCGGCATGTAGAAATAATTGCATTCACATAGTTCAAAGCACTTAGTAGCTCTGATGTATACTTCTGTTTCAATTTTCTGCTTTTCAAACAGACAATAAAAACATTCCAAAATGGAAGAAAACACTGTGCGGCTTGTTTGTTTAATTGTTAATGGTGGAAGTTTGAGAGTTCAAACTAATCATTATTCTATATTTGGTGTTCAGACCACAGAGTGAGAAATGAGAAGATAAAATTATGACGTACCTCATAACTACGCAAACCAACATAATAGCAAAGAACATGATGAAAAGAACTCCACATATTCCAAACATGAGTTGTGCTTCCATTCCATCCATCCAATACAAATTATCAATTTCTGTAGCACTTATTTCATCATCATCATCAAAAATATTATCTGCTTCATAAACATCATCAGCAACAAATAATATTTGAGGTTTTTTGTCGCGATGATCTTCTTTTTGGTAATCTAAATAAAGTTAATATTATTCAGGTACAAGATGGACGTATAGACAGGTGAGAGTGTGAAACATCAGAAACAAAATGTTATTTCAACTTCGCAACAGGTATTATGAGGTCACAAACTAATAGTGGTTGTTTAAAAGCACCATGAACACAATCACGTCGCTATGAGCACTCTGATAACAAATCATCGTGTCCCTTAAAAATCACTTATAAATTCACTTATACAAGCCTAGCTACCTGTTTGTATGTGAGATTTCTGATAATTTTAAAGCAAAGCAACAAGACTGGTAAGGTAATTGCAATCTCTGCTATTTACCTACACAAATCGTACACATAACTGCAGCTTATGAATTTTTGTTGTAAAAATCATTTATGATTGATCTAATTGGCTCAGATGCATTATTGAGAAGATATATGTATAATTTTGTTATAATTTAGGCACTTTTGGTCTCTGATATTATTAATTATAGTTGATTTACACAATAACTACAAATGATGACAATGTTGAAATTTGTGCAAACATGAATGAATGACATAAAGCAAAATATTGTATTTGCCATATTTCTCAAATGCGAGGCATTACAAATAAGCAGTATTTTTGATAGTAAATATAGTTTTTATTAGTTTTCAAATTCACATATTCATAACTATTGATAATTGGATATTTAAGATTTATCAAATCAATTGTAAATATTTGAAAATGTAATAAATAGGATAAAATTGTGAAACGCAAATATCATTAGTACATACACGGGTACTCCCGAAGTATGTGAACCAAGATGACCGACACCGGAACGTAGTGTGTGTACCAGGTGAAGGTCAGGCCATACTTTCAGGTACAAAGGGAGTCACTTGGCTAGTCACTGAACTCTTAATAGAACTAAAATACGGAAAACTGGAATAAAATTATGGTCTAACGCTAACCTGGTACACATACTACGTTCCGGTGTCCGCCATCTTGGTTCACATACTTCAGGAGTACCCATACACCTCATAATGATATGTATTCCAATAATTAATTAGATTGCATTAAAATGTGAGGGCAAAAAAAAGTCTCCAACCATTTTGACATTATCAGACTATTTTTAAAAGCAGCACTGTACGTCTGGAATTACTGGATTCACTGGAATACACTGGAATTATTAATTCCAATAATTAATTAGATTGCATTAAAATGTGAGAGCAAAAAAAGTCTCCAACCATTTTGACATTATCAGACTATTTTAAAAGCAACACTGTACGTCCAAGTACAACGATTCAGAAATATGCTTGCTGTAATAAAGATAATTCTTTTCCCTCCTAATCTTAGGTAGTAGCTCTTATGTTTAGATACCAGCCATAATGTCTAAAAAGATTGAAACAATCAGAAACGTTACCTTGACTTGTATTTACATCAGACAATGATTTGATTTTGATTGAAGATTTTAGTTGGCTTGTAGTTGTTGTTTCCCATGCATAGAATGATACAGTGATATTTGGTTTGTACATATGAAATGCATTGTCAGAAAAACGACCTAAAAATCATATTTTTGTGAAGATCGTTGTTAAAATGGTAATTAAAACAAAGTAGTTCATTCATGACATTATATTTCCTTCTCAAATTGACATAAAAAATCACCCGCTATTACACTTTTATACCAATGTGGGCACATTGGTTTCGTGGCCAAAGTGTCGGGAGCTATGTCAGTGTTTCAGATTGACTTAAATTAATATTAAGGAATAACAATGCAATGATATGGCTGTATGTACAGGGTATCAATTCCAATAATACTTTTATATTATATTTATAACTGAATGCAGAAGATGTTTTATTAGTTAGATGTTACACCGCCACTTCAAAATATTAGAAAGAGAGAAACAAAGCATCTTCCTGATAGAAGAGTAAATATCTACAGAATGTTTGAAAATTACTTCTCTCATAACTAAATTTTATTGCTATTTGTTATGTTACATTACAGTTATTCATAAAAACAATTAGTTATAAAATTGGCAATTTACTGTTGTATAAAATATATTTCATTCCACCTTTTATTCCAGTAGCTTCCAACCATACAAAGAATGCAGGAGTTGTTGATCCCAAAACAATCTGAAATTCACTTAATGTTTCATTCATCAATTGCACACTTTTAATCTGTAATATAATATAAATGTATTCTGATAAGCATTGAGCGATATCCATCTAAAGTACATAAAAGCTTTGCAATCATGCCAATTTTTTTGTAAACACCTCCGTTGGCTCATAGTAGAGACAAACCAAATCATATTAAAACAAATAGAATGACAATAAACCAGGATCATCTGAAGTAATGAAGATGAGGAAACAAACTTTGTTACACGGATTAGATCTCTTTGAATTGAGCAAAATTGTGGAATATTAATTGAAATTTCCTAAAACATAGCTCGATCCAGTGGTAACATCAGTATCCTCTTCAAAACGATTTCTTTGTGAGATTTAAATTTCAAATTTCTCGATTTTTTGTGTAAATTATTAGTCTGGGCATTGAGTAACCATAGCAACAGCACAACAAGTTTGTATGGGAAATTGAAACGATAAATCAAGTCATATTTTGGTAAAATATTCAATTAAATATATTTAATAAGAGAGATAATAAACAATAAAAAGCTAACAGATTTTGTTCCGATACCTCTATTTTAGAAGATTGTAGTCCTTCAATAGTTTTCAATGGTACAGGATAGAAAAATGTTGGTGCAACATCATGAATTTCTTTCAAGTAGATAACAAAATAGCATAATTCCTGAAAAAAAAAATATATTACTGTTGTCAGATAGGAAAGAAAAACTCAAGAAAAATGAATGTGAATTAAAAAAGACACTTGGAGGAATAATATTATATACGAGTTATTTTCATACTTGAGCGTAATTATTATTGCAAAAAATCATTCTTATTAATTACAATTGAAAATGTAATAAGTGAAATTTTTGTGGTTTGTCTAGTATCCACACTCTTTGTTGAGATTAAGACAGGAGGAGCTTGATTTTTCAAAAAGACTGAAATATTTATCTTTTCTACAGCCTGCCCAATTTTATAACACCACGGGAGTGGCAGGGAACCAGCAATACCAGTACCATACCAGCATAGTTGAATCTAACATGCTGACTTGAATATTTTCATTTGAAAAACTATCATTTTGGGCAACTGAAGGCTCACAGTATGACCATTAAGATCCACATTTAATTTTTGGAAGGTATAAAAAGTATCATGGCAATTCAATCAGTGTCCATCACTTTTTGCATCCCCTGATTCAAACTTATTGAATAGAAATTGACCTGATGATGATCCAATTTATTCCCATACTCAAAACGATTATTTTAAAACATATTCAAAATATTTTTAGCCATTTGATATGCTACAAAGAATAAGACACTTGTTACTGAGAAAATTTTCTGAGCAAATATTTGTTCACCTTATAATCACATCCTCCATAATGTAACATTGTACCAGTACTGTTCTGGTATTGAAGCTTAGATGATTGAGGCGTTATATACAATGGTTGTGTCCATGTGTTGATGACACCAAAACTACTCCACTGATGCATTTCAATCTTGTTTCATCAATATATAACAAAAAAGAATGATTAACAAAAAGTTAAATAAAAATAACATAATCTCTTTCCACGGAAATAATATTTTTGTAAGGAGATTATGTTATTTTTATTTATCTTTATAATACTATCTCAGTCAAGCATCCTTGTGGCAAGTGGCAACTGACACATATCGATCAGAAGTAGAAAGTAAACAAGGAGAAAGGACTTGCAGTTCAATACACAATACCCTAGTCCAGGGCTACTCAACTATTTTTACCGAAGATCCACATACAAAACTTCAAAATATTTGGGTCCGGTCTTTCCTGAAATTATATTTCGGCATCCTTAAACACGAACTTCCTCGGCCGACTAATGATTATTAGCTAATCAAGATTGTTTATTATGGCGTTATAGTACTTTTCATATATATTTAAATTTATAGAAGTGATTTTAAAAAAAACTTCAAAAAGTGGCTAATGATCCAAAATAAAGAATTAGACGTGGCCCGAATCGAATACCCATAAGGTCTGGATTCGGACCCCGGTCTACCAGTTGAGTAGCTCTGCCCTAGTACACCCCATATTAAGAAAAAGTTGATGGGAAAATTCTTGGCATAAACATTTTTATGGGATGTTGAACACAAAATTGCCTTAAAGAGTCTGTTAAAATAGTTTCCGAGACCGATCCATAACGAATTCACTCAGTCAATACCGAATTAAATTATCGAATCAATTCGAAATGGGTTACGTTCGACATAGTAAATCCTTGAATTTAGAAATGAGTTAGAATAATGTTATCTGAAAATTTGTCATTCAAGTATTTGAATTTATTCAACATCTGACCATGAAAAAAAATAGAAAAAAAAGTCCATCAAACAGTTGTGTGTATGTATAGAAACATAGAATTAGAGACGCGATATATTCTGCAGTATTAAATTCAATCTTCATGAATTTCAATGATTGCTGCCAATTTATTTGTTATATATTTCGTTGCAAATTTAAAATTGTACATTCATTAGGTAAAACTAAAGACCAGTGACAAAAACATACCACTAATGTAACTGGTTCAATTGGTGCGTTTTCATCTGATAACGAATAAATTGTCAATGTTGTATCATCATCATATGCAGACAAAGCAACATTTGAAAAAAATTTCTTGGCAAAGTAATGCACAACCTTCCATTTTCCTCCGTATTCTAAAACAGGAGTAGCAAAAAATAAAAAAAAGTAGGAAAACTGATTAAAAAAGGAAAAACTATCCCAAAACTTGACCTTCAGTGATTGTGTGTTGTATGTAACTATGTAAGCATTGTGGGATTGATTTTTATGACCTTATTTGCTCAAGAATTTTCCACTGCTTTTGTAATATACAATGTCTCACAAATTCATTTTCACTTTCGAGAACTAGTTTAAACTAGCATGATGATAACAGTTACTGAGGGTCAAAAATGTTTTCTCACCAATAGAAGACCAAGTGGGTGCTTGCCAGATATCGTTCAGTTGCCAATATAAAGCTCCCATGGTATGTCCTTCACCATTTACTATCTCTGATCTACTTCTGCGATAAAATTCAGTTTGACTTTTGTAACACAATCCTTGCATTATCTGTAGTAAATAACCAGAGATCAAAGATGGATTTTTCATTCACAGAAAACAAATACTATATAATAACACTACTGATTTGCCCTTTGCCAAGTTATCATTACTACTTCAACCTGGATGATAAAACTGTAATTTGAGTGCTTGATGTAAAGGCGGTATTAACTAAAAATCTATTTCTTGAAATCATATCTGTTCTGCTCGGGTTGTTTAGCCAAAACTTTGCATATTATGATGAAATCCGTTGAAATCAAAGATGAGAGTTTATGTTAAATACAAACAGCCGTATGGTTGCATTATTATGTGCATGAAAACACATTAATGTATCACATTTATTAAAAGTAGTGCATATACCTAATTATGAAACTTTTCCTTTTCGTAAATGAAATACTGTCAAAATGTAGTCTACAAATCGGCTACAGGATATGTTATATTAAGGTTGAAAAGTACCTGTGATAGATATATCTCATCTTCGAATTTTTGTATTTCATTTTTCGATGCTGGTAAATTGAAATGCATTGCCATCTGAAAAAAGGTGTCAATTTGAGCAGGAATATTGAAACTTGGAATTATTGCCACTATATCAGAGTCAAACAGCTTTGTAACAAAATTATAATTGTATCCCCACACAAAACACTTTTGAGACAAGCATGGGTTAGCTTGGCAGTGTGGCACATTGTGCTAAGCATTGGGAATACAGTCGCCACTGCACCTCTGATTACAAAGCGTGGGTTAACAAGTTCAAATCCTGTGAAGGATAATTAGATACGACAACATTGCTAACTCCTCGCCGCCGTACGGTGGTTCACGTAACCGTTGGTCGGCTATGGCTTCCTCCACTGTCCATGCATCAGAAAACAAATAATTGGCTAACTAATCACATACCTGACATGGACTGGTAACCAGACGAGAGGCTGTGATTCGCTATAATATGATTAAGCCGTCTTAGCGGCTTTTCTCTACCCTGGGATAAATACGGTATGTACCGTAAATTGTATCCTATCATGACAGCAATTCCCATATTTGAAATTAGTTACCCCGTAACGCTGACAACCTTTTTCTTATTAACACTGTTCCGGTACACATAATCCTACCAATGCCAAATCAATAAGTCAAAAAGCTAACTAACACATAACAGACAAATCGTGTGTAAAAAATAAAACCAACCATATTTAACATTTGTTTGTTTCCATCCATATGATGATTTCTCTGATTAGCAAACTTAGAAGTCCACGATAAATCTTCTTCCAATGTAACAGGTTCTAATGTTTCGATAGAAGGCCATGATTGGAATCCATATTCTGATGCAAACCTGTAGTGAGACATGTTATATTCTGTTATTGTGCTATTCTCATATTGCATTTTTATAAGCTATTTACTCTGAACCTGGCTCTAAATAAGGGGTCACTGCTACGTAAGATGTTATTTCATTTTACAAAGACCAGAATCATTCAGCACTGCCTTCCCAATTTATTACACCCTGAGTGAGGGACGCTCCAGAAGTATGTGTACCAATATCGAGGTTACTAATTTTGTTCGGCTACTTTACATCAAGTTGTGTAAAGGAACGGATTACTAAGACAGACTGTCCCCAAACTCATAATAGAACTTAAATAATTTAGCTCTAGTATAAGTTGAAATATTAAAATGCTTCATATTGTGTTATTCTTGATATTTATTTCATTGCGAGACCACGAAGAACAACGTATGGCATGACTATTTTCAGCAAAGATCGGTATACATAACTTAAAATTTACTGTGGTCTGGACATTCCGAAAAATACAGTTCACTATGCAAACAAACTTCAAATACAACCGTTAACAAAATACAAGAGCTATGTTCAATATTGCTTTACATTGGCTTCACTTTACCGGGAGGAGAATAGTACAATGGTAATGGTTTAAATGCAAAAAGCAGATGCCGCCCGAAATAAATACGCAAAGTTCCAGATTTAGACCGTGGTCAGCCAGTTGAGTAGCCCTGACCTATGGGACCAGGGATAATCCAGAACAGAGAAAGAAGGAACATTATGAAAAGCAATGAATAACATAGTGAACAATTCGTGTTGGTCTGGTTTCCAGTCCACCAGGCCTATAAAAGCTGTAAATTAAAGACTGGGATGGAACAAATAAAAACAGGAAATGTAGTCAGCGATGTGAATGCAAATAGGCATCATCTGATCAATATTTTCAAAGTTTCTTATACCTTGTCTTTGGATATTTTGTCCAGTCCAAACAGTCATCATTGTAGTTATAATAATGAACATCACCATAATGTACATCGTATGGATTTTTAGCAACCCATCCCTCTGTTTTTGATTCCTCACCATTGGTCGGACTCGATGTTAGGAATGGCCTACTGCTGTCCATAGATGAAACGAGCTTTTGAATAGTATCTGTTGAATGATAAATCTTACAAATAGAAAAATGGTCAGCTTCTGAGAAAAAAAATGCCAGAAGCAATAATTTTGCTTAGACCAGTGGTACCCAAAAATGATCAAGGGCCAGGAGTGGGGAGCACCCGCAAGGGGTCGATACCGGTAATGGTACGTATAATTAGGATACGGTGTAATAGAATTGTTATGAATAAACACATGCGCAAACTGTGATAATGATGTTACAATCGGCGGTATCTAGAACGCAAAAGAAAAAAACATAAAAGTGTTTATAAAGTTCGGCGGGCCATATTGAATCGGGCCGCGGTTTGGGAACCACTGGCTTAAACCTTGCGCTAATTGACACATTCAAAGCTTGTGAATCTGAAAATTGACGTTCATATGGCTTTCCATTCTCCCACAATAAAAATACAATCTCTATCTGTGATTGTTAATCATCACAATGTGGCTCAAATTGCCTAGTATTTCAATTGCGAGCTTTCTTATTCTCACTTACCAACATACAGTGCTACATAGTCCTTTTTATAACGAGAAAAATGTTCAGTTGTGTTGTACCAATTAGTTCCTAATGCTGCTTCGTTTTCATTATTTCCGGCCCATATTACAATAGACGGATGGGATTTGAGACGCCAAATTGTTTCATTTACTTCCTGTGAAAAAAAAAGATTTAGATCAAAAAGTATAAATTAGAAAGACGTGTTATGGTCTAGTGCAGTGGTTTCCAAAGTTGATAGACCAGGGACCAAAATTGGGTGCGGAAAGACATTCGCGGGCCGGGAGAATGGGAGCGTCCACAAGGAGCCGATACCGATACCAATCTGTATAATTAATCGTGGCCCATTTGCGTTGCCCAAAAATTCTCTTGGCCCATTAACTTTTTATTGCAAGGGAAAAACTACAAAAAAATCTTTCTGTGAAAATGGACACTTTCCCTTTAATAATTAAGAAAATTACCATTCAGTAGCAAACAACAGCATCGTCAATCATTGGTACTATAACCAAAGTTAAGGATAGAGATAGCAATAAAACTAACAATTTTTAATAGTTTTGTGGCCCGCCTCAAAATCTTTCCGTGGCCCAGAAGTGGGCCATAGCCAACTGGTTGAGAACCAGTGGTCTAGATCTAGAGAGAAATATGACTGATTAGAACAGAGTAAGTAATGTTATTATCGTTTATGTTCACAAAATAATCGTATATCTCATTGGTTACGGTAAATATGCTTATATTATTCAACTTTTCCTTGTCATAATTTAAGAAGCCAACTTTCTTTCTGTGGATTGTGATTTATAAAACATGAAGTAAATGCTTTGTGAGCTAAGAAAGACTGAGAACTTACAATTTAGCATAGAACTCTGATTACTTTTATTAGTTATAAGCACTGATTACTCTATTTGCCATACTGATGACCCTAACTTATTGATTAATACGCAGTTTGGAAGATTATTAATAGAATAGCAACACAATAATGTCAATAATGAGAAACATTGATTAGCCTAGTGTGATGTATTGATTTTTGCATAAGTTGCATGAAATAGATTGGATTTAAAAGCAATAATTCGGCATAGTGAATAATATCAAGGTCAGTGACCTGCGACCTCAAAAGCCTCTAAATCCATACAGATTAACAAAGTTATGACTGAAATTCTCGATTTTCGAAGAAGTTTATCAAGTACATAATATGAGAGTAGCATTTTCCAAATAAATTACTTCTACGAGAAATTCAAAGCCGAAAATGATTTAAATAAAATTTTTTGAAACTTCTCAATAGATTCTTTTTCATTAAAATTTCTAACCCAAAATTTTGAGTTTTAAGTTCAGAGATATGATTTTGGTGCAAAATGAAAGGTAACCGTGATGTGTTATTTAAGTCGTAAACATCTTTTATTTCAGCGTTTATTCTCCCTAAATCATGAATTTTCCTCAACATATATGTCTTATGTCGAGAGGACGAGAATATTTACTTTTTGTTCTCAAACAATATATTCAAAAAATATTTTGAAAAGACATTGCCACACAAAATTGGGTCAACTATACCAACTTAATTTTTAGTGCACCCATCTATCCATGATATCTACATACTGCTTGTTTTCAAAGAAGAGCTGTGGAAGGTAGATATGCTTTGATATTGGAGTCAAGGCCATATTTCTCAGTTAAAAGTCTTCAATTAGAAGCCAGGAGCCAAACTCATCTTCAAATAGATTTTTCTGTGAGAATCTGGTGAAAATTTTCCCAGACTTCTGAGCTATTTAAAAAAATGCATAAATCTTACACTAAACGTAAACTGAGCTTACTAACTAACCTCAGATACAGAGGCCAGGAATCCGGCATCTGCAGGATACATTGCACACGCAAACATAAAGTCCTGCCATATCATGATTCCCATTTTATCAGCGATATGATAAAAATCATCTGTTTCATAAATCCCGCCTCCCCATACTCTCAACATATTCATGTTTGCATCTTTTGCTGATTGCAGTAAATTTGTGTAGCTGAAAAATGAAATAACAATAAATACACACAAATTAGGGTACTCCCGTAGAGTGTGTACCAGGTTAGGGTTAGGCCATAATTTTATTCCGATTTTGCTTATTTTAGTTTTATTACAAGTTCGGGGTCTGTCTGTGTTAGCCAAGTGATTATTCCCCCTGCCCATAGGCTTCAGTCCCTTTACACAACTTGATGTAAAGTAGGCGAACAAAATTAGTTACCTCCATATTGGTACACACACTTCAGGAATCTGACAAGAGTACGACTATTTTGTCTTTTTCAGTATTCACTTAAAACTATTGAGAATTAAAAAATATCTTTGACACTGACAGTAATACCCATAAAAACATGAGGTAAACCAGAATTCAGGCTAAAACTTTACAGCTTCGATTGAACTTTGGAAAAATAACTGATTTTGAGATATATTCTGAGGTTGTACAGGCTATATTATATTATTTGTGAGGCATGTTTTTACTATTTTCAGATTCCAGGAGTGAATGTGAGTTCCCTATAAATTAATCAAATATGTCCAAGCATATTCAAATGCACTCATGATTAAATATATTTAATAGACAAATTCTTCATTGTATAAATAATTTAGAATATTTTCCATTCACATCATTTCTTTTGCGTCTTGAACTAATGAGGAGCGTATAAAACAGATCAACCAAAATCTATCTTGACGTAGTTGAAATATAAAAATGCACTCATGACTCAGATGGCATTTCAAAATATACGCTTTAAAAAAAAATGACTTATTTTTGATATTTTCTGTACCTGATACACATAAGTATATTATGACATATGACTGTCATTAGGTAAAAGGTAAAAGTAAATTTGAGGCATGCATATTGATAATTATGTGAACCTATTGTACCAACTTGTCTAATGTCACACGATTATGAAATGAATCTGAAGGAATCCAGTTAGATCCTTTTGCAAATATTGGTCTATCGTTTATTTTGAAGTAAAAACTTAAACCATCTGAGTTATTGATGGATTCTTGAACAAGCTCAACTTTTCTGAATCCAAACCTAAAAAAGTATGAAAAATTAATGTACATTTCTGTGTTATAACAATAGTTATGTGTTATAACAATAGTTATACCACTTTTAGTGGTAATCAGTCTTACATACCATACTGTCTTGTTACTAATGTCTTTGCTCCCGGTGCTTTCAAATTTAACAGTGATATTGTATAACTTTTGATCGCCTTGTCCAGCTGGCCACCAGTATTTTACAGAATTCTGCAAAAACGTCAATCAATAAAATCAAATTTGTTGATAAAGTGGTTCTAATATAGAGTTAGAACTCCGAAAAAATGAAATTTCAATTGGAAGATATTTGAAATATTTTCTATAACATTAAATGAAATTAAAAAAGCCTGTTTCCATTTCCAGTAAAATTTTATTTTAATTTTTTTGCCATAAAACCATAATTTATCAACACTAAAAAATGAGCATATATTTGCAAGAATTCAAATCGATTTTGAATATTTTAACCTAATGATGCAAAACAGGATTTTAGAACACCAAACTATTTCAAATACCTATCTATGAAATCTCAAATTGTGAAGTAAAGGACTTGAACTATCACTGCGTAAATTTTCGAACCATAAAAAAACAATTGGTGCAAGCCTTGAAGCAGTTTAATCAATAAATAAAATTAAATGAAATAGTGAATAGGCTACCACATACAATAATACAAGTCCTTGAAAAATTGAGAAGCAGAATAAAACCTTACTTTAGATATCTTTTTAGTGACAGAAAATATTGGATGAGATGATTTCACAGTTGTTTGATAAGAAGTTTTAATGCTCAATTCATCAGTGAAAATCCACAGCATTCCTTTGTACTCTACATCTTTTGTGGCAACATTGAATTTTGCATCGACATGAAGTAATTCAGCGTCTAAAAAGAACATATGAATCTAAAATAGGTATGAATTGCTGATTCTGAATATTTAAGTAAAAAGGAAACAAATTTCAAAGTTAATTCTTAGGCTGATCCTACTAAATTGACAGGAAATATTTGACTGTCTTTGGATACAGCTTTCGTTATTAAACAGAGGTAAAAACTAGACAATTCATTTTTCACAATCTTCTCCAGTGACTTAACTACAAAATCTTATTCTTAAATATATTACCCCAATCATAATATAATGCAACATCTGACAATACAGCTTCATCGAAAGCAACAAGAAAAATTGGTTTCCAAATTCCTTGAGTTGCAAATCCAGGTCCCCAATCCCAAGAGAAAGAACATTGCTCCTTTCTGTAAAGCAGATGATAGTTGAATGAAAGATGGAAAATGAAAGTGGATGTGACAACAAAAAAATTTCCAAAAATATACCTCACAAGATGAGTCAGTTTGAGTTCAAATTTTAACAAAGTTCAAAGTTCAAAATTTAAAACTGGGTCAATACCCCAATTCTCCCATTACCTTATTAAGTTAGGATGACAGAATCCATGTTGTACATCAGGAGGACATTCTGGTGGAATAGAATATGGAAGAGTTTTTCTGGTTGCATTAACAACACGCACAGCGGATTCAAAAGAAGTGATAATTCGGTTGAATTTTTCTTGAAGAAGACCAGTAACATTGAATTTCTAGGATATATACACAAAAAATTGAAATTTTTTTTCTAGCCGTTTGTCAGTTTTGTGTCGTGTTTCCGAAATTTAGGTATATATTTAATAACTCTAAGGTCATTTTGCATTCCAGTGAATTTTAGTTCAGTTGCAGTAATAAGAAGGTGAGATAGACTAGGCTAAAATTTGGTTTCAGACATTTTTAAAAGGCGGTTTCAAGTTGAAACCTCACTGCAACTAATCTGTGTGAAGTTGGATTTTCAAAAGAAATATTCAGGAAATGAAAAAACAAGGATATTCAAAAACAGTATTTTTGAAGATATCATTTATTTGTGAGTGGACCCTTAGTCAAATTGAAGATGAAAATATAAGGTGAAAGTAAAAAAATATGAACAATCTGTTTTTGATTACATAATAATTGTAAAACAAAATTCTAACCCACAATTGCCATTATGTTTATTGATGAAAGCATAATATAATAGAAAGCTGCTGCTGCTGCATAGTATTAGAAGGCAGAACTTTAGCACAAAAGTTACACACAAATGACAATTCAATAGTTGATTTACAATGATTGATAACATCACTCACACTACCTATTAAATTATTTATTAATAAGCTCTTGGACAAACAATAAATCATATGATTAGAGAGACAGTGTTTGTTGAAAATGTCCAATTCAGATTGCGCTTTGTACATTTGTTGAGAACATGGCAAAACATGCATATGAGGTGTATCCACCGAGATTTCTGCACTTACATAAGATTTGGATAATTTAAATCATAATGCACAAAACGTAAGTCATCTTGCTTGCTCTAATATGACACACCAGTTCGGGAATAATTGAATTTAATCTGATTATCAAAGGTCTGTTGCAGACAAAGAAATTTTTCAGGCCCTCAAATGTTACAACATCTATACCAGATATTACTACCATAGTAGTATGGCAAAACACTAAATATCATTTAAAAAAACAACCTAAGAGTTCACCATTGAGTGCAAAGTATTGTGGTGTTCGAAATTGAAATGTAAATAATGGTATAACTTACATATCGAAGAAACATATTGGTGGTGTTACCAAGTACTTTTCCATTTAGAACGACATGTGCTGCTGTGTCCAAACCTTCACAAATGAGCCATTGTGACTTGCGGTTCAATAAATCTATATTGGTTTCAAAATTTCTTGAATACTCCCAATTATATTCTGCAATATTTCTTAATTGTTCATCATTAAAGCGGTAGTATAGATTCTGAATATAAAAAAAAAAATTGAGGACTATTTTATAGTTTTCTAAAATGAAATTGGAATAACAGGCTGCAGGCTGCACAAATCAATATTTGGATAAAAAGCGCTCCAACTTATTCATTTGAAGAATTTATAAGGAAACAAATATCAAAAATTAAAACTTAATTGTTTAAGGATTAAAAGAGTGTTGCTGCACAAATCAATATTTGGATAAAAAGCGCTCCAACTTATTCATTCGAAGAATTTATAAGGAAACGCATATCAAAAATTAAAACTTAATTGTTTAAGGGATTAAAAGAGTGTTTTCTGCAAGAAAGCAAATTAATGAAACAAACGTGCATGAATTAAATGCATATAATCAAAAGATTAAAATATTGTAATAACAAAGTTATAATTATATCATATCAAAAGATAACTACTTATAATGGTCCATCAATTAAAAATAAAAGTAGTCTTAGTGATTTTTCCACAGAAAGCTTTCATTCACAGTTGTATTTTCTTGTGTCAAATATTAGAAAAAATATTTTTAAAACACTCACATTTTCTTTAGTTGGTGGACGATTGTCATTCCAATCGGTATGTATGCATCCAGGTACAGTAGTTTTATGTACACCAATAATACCACCGCTGGGTGGTGAAGTTCCAACTGCAGTCCAAGCGTTACCTCCCAAATTTTGTACTTTCATTGATGCCGTTGCATATTGATATCCATACAGACAAACACAGATAACGAGAGGGAAATGCAAATATAAATTGCCTCCCATGTTTTTTATTGAATTTATACTACTACTCTACCACGAACACAACACTAAATATAAAATAACTATGCTATACAGAAATATTGCACATCTACAAATGAAAAAAAAAACATTTCATAAAATCAAATAAATGCAAAATCGGTCACTATAAATGGTTGAAAAATATAGTAATTATGACGATAATAATATTACAATATAATTAACATTTTAACAAGAATATATAACAATAATTAGGCCAATAATGATGAGGTGGCTACTTAATAATAATGTTTAATATTTATGAATGGAGATTGCCACTGATTACGACAGAAAATTCATAAAAGATTAATGTACAACATGAAAATAGAGCATAGCGCAAATAGCTGTTTCAAGCACAAAATGTAGAAAGGAGCAAATTACAAATGGAAAATAGATGAATATATAAAAAATACATCGATATGACATAACTGACAGATAATGGACTCTGCTGTTAAGTTTTTCAATAAAAAATTGAAATTTTTCCAGAACATTGAAATATATCTATCTTTTTTCATTAGGGAATTCATTCTGAGCAATGACATACAAAAATTCCAAACAAAAAACTGGTGATATTCAGGTATTCAAACATTCAAATAATCGAAATTACTGTTTTCGGCAATAATTATCAAAGAGATATCTTGCTTTTTATATGATGATATTGTAATCTTAATTTATTAAAAATATTTTAAACCGATTCGCTCTGCAGAAATAAATTATATAATATCAAAAATCCAAATGCTATGGTTTGAGGAAACCTTGCCTGTGTGCTATAATTTGATTTGGTCCAAAGACTTAGGATGAAAGGATAGAATGGTTCAGTTTAGTAACTCAAATAATGACCATAATAAACTATCTCTCAGAATTTGTTTCAAAATAAAATTGCATTGCAAAAAGTATTCAAAAGCCTTTGAACGTTGACGAAAACTGTGCATCATTTTATATATAATAATAAGGAAAGGCCAACAAAAGCAGTTGGAATTACTTGTACGTGTTGGAAATAACGTATATTACTATTCCAATCAAATTTACAATAGGGTTATTCTAAAAATCGTATCATGTGCCACAAATTTATTAATTAAACTTTACCAAAATATTGAAAAAGTAACATACAAAAAGTATTTCAATAATTCCATTCAAAAAAAATGTTTGATTTTCTGAACTTATATTGACATTGGTATTCTATTTTTAACAGCACAAGATGATAGAAGGGATCAATTGAAATTTAGAATTCCACCATAGAATTAAATATCCCAGTATATATCAAAAAAAACACCGAGTGTAGTTGAATGATCCATTATGTAAGATGGTAAAGATATACAACATACTAAATATATTTTACAAGCTAGAGGGAATGTTTGCCGGTTGCAATTGCTTGTTTAAATACTATAAAAATGTACACACACAAAGAGGGATTGGGGATCATGGTACAGGTATGCAGAGTTGGTCAACAAGATACAAACTAAACTGGAGTAACAACTATTAACAAGAAGACTAAGGAGTAAAAATGAAAATACCATATTGAAAATCAGCAATTTACTGAAAAATTGCAACTGTAAAGTGACATGAATATGATTCATCTAAAGCACATTTCGCCTTTTTGCTATGCTTATGACCATTTTCTAAATTAAAATTTGGGATTCAAATTTTCAATTCAGCGATTTTTATAATTTTGTACATGGGGAATCAAAGATTTTGATTCCTTTTGTCAGTGTGGATTATGACCAGGGATGAAAAGATTGTTTAGTTCAGACTCGAGTAACTCAATGACACTTTCGTTATTGTATAACCAACAAAACTTTTCATAATAACATGACAGCGACCTATCACCTTTTTCGGTACTCCCGTAGTATGTGCAACAAGATGGTGGACACCGGAACGTAGTATGTGTATCAGGTCAGGGTTAGGCCATAATTTCAGGTACAAATACTACGGCTTACGGAAATCACTTGGCTAGTCCCTGAACTCGTAAGAGAACTAAAATAGGGAAAATTGGAATAAAATTATAGGACTAACCCTAACCTGGTACACATACTATGTTGAGGTGTCCGCCATCTTGTTGCACATACTACAGGAGAGCTCTTTTTAAAATAGAAATTTTAAACTTCAGATTTTATTTGGAATATTGTAGTAGCAAATATATATCTAATCACATAACATATTTTTTCATGAAAATACGAATTTTACAGTCCAAAAAATTTAATATCAGAATTCATCTTTTATTACCAAATACATTTTATTAATGATTATTTCCATGGTGCTATCGTACTCTAAATTGGAGGATATGCTTGTAGTGGTGTAAGGATTACCTACAACGTTCTCGTGAGAATTCAGTAATCAATATACATAGATTAGTTTAGGTGCACATTTATTAATATTTATAAAGGTTCACACGGGTTCAATTGGAAGACTATTATGTAATCAACAACACAATTTTATAAAATTGAGATCTTATATTTCAACGAATGTGCACTTAGCAAGTCACAAAAATAAAATTAACAATACTTTTTATGTACGAGGGAATTAGTGTTCATGTTCGATTTTACAGCTAAAACGTTGCTCCTAACTGTGTAGTGGCTGCTTTTAGCAGGCCTTGTTCAGAGTGAGAAGAGTACAAAAAGTATTCTACCACATACCAATTTATCAGTCTTAGTATTATAATCACTACATCTGTATTATAGAAATAGGGAAATTTTGAAACCTCAAGTCAAATTTGCTTTTACTAGAGTAATATAATCAGAAGTATGGTATGCGTCATACAGGGTATCCAAGACAAGCAGTGGTTAACCAAGCAAGACTAATCCTATTTATAGTAACATTTAACAGGAGGTAGTTGTAGCAACAAGCTGCTGACATGTACTGAACTACTAGCAGTACACTGACTCTATGATAACCTTGTACTACTACAATCAACAATGAATCTGGATAGTTCGATGTTCTAGAATTTAGATTTGCAACCTAAAATCTTGATAATATACAGAAAGATTGGATTTTGTCGAAAAAAGTTTTCTAGATATAATATTGTTCCCTGCACACATATATTAAACTAAAATAAGAGCTCAGTACCTAAATAATGCAATGCACTGTTCATTATATATTAAATTAAAGAAACAAGTTGTTCTGTGATATTTTGTTTTAAACTTTGTGATGTAGATATTTCAACAACCATTCAAGACAATTAAGAACATTCAGAACAATATTGTCAAATTCAACATCCAATGCATGTACAGAAATACAGAATGAATCAAACAATTTATATAAATCTACTGGACTCGCTAGTTTTTGAATGAGTGAGCAAAAAAGAAATACTATCATTTCGAAATATATCTGGATATACCAGCAAACTTCATTGAAAATTACATTATATCAACAGGAAATCATAAATACATTTTACGCATAAATTACCATTAAAATAAAATCCTACATTTTGCTACTAGTCGTTTGGAGATCAATAAGTTGGATTTTCATGTCGAAACTGATCCAAACCTACTTTTAAGTAATTTCATGAGCTATGCTTGAGCCCAAATAAACTGATTTATACCAAATGATTCTGTAACATTTTTGAATCTATGTATAATACGGCAAAATTAAATACAATGTACTAGCTATATTCATATAATAGCGTTGAGTTGCGATGAGGAATTTGGAAATTACAGTAAATTATGAAAGCTATTTTGGCGAACAAAAAATAAAAAATAAAATTTTAGCAAATTAAGCTAGTCAATTTGAAAACAAAATGATGAGTGAGACTTTTTGCAAACAAAAACAACAACTCAGGTTTCTAATTTCAAAATTTCAGGAAACCACAGTTTGATATTATGAAATATTGGCCTACATGTTTCTATGAACAAGGTAATAAGGTAACCCTATGTGTCATTTTAGACGTAGCAAATCCAAGTATTATTTTATAATCTTATTCAGCTTTTAAATGACAATCTGTTCCTTAATACAAAATTTATGGACATGAATGACACTGTTATTGACAGTATTTAATTAACAATTCAAACCTTAGGAAAGCAATTTTCAACTTGGCAATAAATTTTCATTACCACTCTTAGAGCTTTCTGCCTTCAGGCAAACAAGTTTGGATTCCCTGAAAACAATAAATAAAAAATTCTACATTCAGTCGACAATCTATCGATGTGGATTTATATGAAGGAATACCCCTAAATAACCATATATTGCATTGCATCTAAAAGATGAGTTTAATCCTTTATTAATTAGTGTTCTGAATAACAGATAAAAATGTTAAAATTTTTGTTAAAACATCATTCGAAAAAAAAATTGTGAAATATGTAGGCAAATATAATTGACATTTCAAATGAATTGTTATACATTACAGAAAATTTGAAAGCATTTGGTTATAGATATTTTTTCATGGCCAATCAGTATCAGTAATTCAGGTCCTGTCAGATAATTTATCCTGGTTTTCTATAAAGTTTAGCTTGTGTTAATTCCAATATAGTGTTTTAAAGGTCATCACTCTCGAACGAGTGGTGCTTGCTTTCAAAAGAAACATTCCCATTATTTTCTTTCCAGCTTATCAAATTATATATTCGATAACTATGCATATTCAAATATGCTCTACAGATACACTTAGAAACAAGCACAGCTATATTGAGATTAATGTTGTTTTCAATCGAAAGTTTTAAATAAAATAATTACCGTATGATTCATCAATTGTGATTCATTGATCTACAGATACTAGTACATGAAACTAGGGATATAACTGTTTTTATGTTCAAACAGAATTTGAAAAGATAATATTTTTTAAAGTACGTTCCTAAGAATTTAGATAATTATGAGTAATATTTTTGAGAAATTTCCTCTTTGTGTTTAGATAGGTTGATTCAAAAAGCCAAAATCTAATTTGCCAAGCATATTTTCTAACATACTACACCAATCAGATATACAACTTCTTATTCTGCTTTTATATTACAGTAATTATGGAGACTTCACTTACCCAAATTGTCAGAATTTCAATCTCAAAATAATGGAAGCCCACAAGTGACAAAAATACACAATAAACAGACCCAGCAAATTGAAAGTATAACAGCAATTGCCAAGCGTAGATATATTCACAAATATTGGTGGAAATAAATTCATTTTGCGAGTATTGATGTATTCAAGATGGAGCTGAATTAACAAAACTTCATACTGTATAGCACAAAGGTTGAAAGCATTATTGTCAAGGAATTTCACGAAAAAGAATAAAAATTACATTTTTATATTTATTTACTACACATGTTAAAATTAGTTGAAACCAGGAGAAAAGCAAATTGACTACATTATAAACTAGTTATATTCAATAAATTTGGGAATTTGGGAAAAATATAGAATAAATACCACTAAAACACCTTTTGAGCAAATTATCACACAGATATATTTTGCATGTAATAAAAACCAATCAAGATGTTGCTATTATTGAGGTCTCAGGATAAGCAAATATACAACAAATACTGTAACCTCCTCATCAATGAAATAGATTCACAAAAGAATCTATTACTAATTTTATGCCTCAAAATATTGTATTTGAAATAATAGATAATGTGATTTGGCCATTCCTCTACATTTAATTTCTCCAATCCAAATAGTAGCCTATATATAGAGAAAATAACTCCAGACTGGCAATTATCCACATATTGAATAAGAGCCAAAGCCAGGAATGATAGATGGTATTCTATGGTTCTATCTTTGAATGTATTTCGATTCTGAATATTACAATATAAATGGTCTTCTTATAGAGCGAAACCAGTATACTCTATTTCACTTCATAATATCCTCATTTTACTGGATTAAATTTATCACAAATCATGAATTCACTATAAAATTGTAACAAGGAAGAACAGTAATTTCGATTATTTGAATCAATAAAACAGAGTTTTTACAAAATGCATTAATTTTAAGCATAACAACCCAACAAAACCATTTGCTTACCCTAGATTCCTTTATAAAATATTGGTGAAGTGTAGTCTTAGTAAGTTATAATATGAGTAATTTATATCATGTGGAAACAAACTTCTACACTTTCATCTTATGATGTACAAGCAAATGAATCACATATGAACATAGTGGTACAAAAGCCTTGGAACACAGAGATAAGAGTCTACCAAATGGCTGATTTATAGACAATAGAATATAGTATTAATAAAAGGTCGAATAAGAAAAAACAAAATTTTACAGATGGAACAAAGTGATTATCATAAACTAAAATACAGAAATATGCAAGATATTATAATACAACAACTAAATTTTATTTGGTCCACATACCTAACTTGGCACAGGACAAGAACATATAAGTATATAGTAGTAGATAGAAGAAACCAATACATGGCTGATGATGACTAGTGACAAAAATAATAACACACATACCACAATTTGCATCTGACCATCAAGCTAAACTGGATAACTTGAAATTAGGTTGTTATCCCGGCAGTAGACAAAATATTTCTCAAATAACAACATCACAAGTTTTCACATAAGTATTTCCCAGTTAAAAATCTCTTCTTAATAAGTGATATTCGGTATCCGATTCCAGAAAGTTCAAAATTAGCTCCGCTTAGTGTATTTCCTTCTGATAAAAACTGCATAGCTAAAGCACTAGGCTTACTAGGCCCAGAGCTCATAGTCAAAGTACTCTCCAAACATCCCGCGCTTGCTTCTGATATTCTACCTGGAATTTGCCAACATAGACGATTTTGTGCAGCCATCCATTTACTTTGCGGTGTCGACTGCACATTTGTGACCGTTCCATGCACAGGTACAATTACATTAAGTGATTGCAGTGCTGCTGATGAAGCAGATGAATTATGTTTGTAGTCTATTTTTATCTTGGTCATTTCAGGTTCACATTTCCACTCTGATGTTACATGCAACGGCAGTGTTTGGTGAGATGAAGGGACAATATATGACAATATACGAATATTATAATGTGGACTGTTTGGATCTTTTTCTGTCATATTTTTAACATGCGTTAAAAGCGATGGCATGTCAAAATGAAAAGCATGAGTGGATGCTTCACTCGCAAATAAATCTTTCTTCAATAAGTTGGTATCATGTGGAGGAAAGACCAGTCAAATTTTTAGAATCAGGGCAGCTTACCTTGAAACTCAAAACAGGGGGGTTTGGATTTGAGGTGAATGCCCTTGTTATTCCTGCAGGGAAAGATATCTGAATGTCTCCTGTTACTTTAGTTAATGTTTTGTATTATCGACTCCCTTGAAATAGGCATTAACTGTTTCTGTGAAAGCAATTGCAATAGGAATTGGGTCATTTTGAGACAAGGTTAGTGGGCTCGGTCCCCGAGAGTGACTAGAAAAACCCGGAACAGAGCTTTCAGAAGATGAGAGAACTGGAGTGCCAGCACCTCCTGCTGATGACAGAGAAGACCAACTTTCTGATGACGCTAGCGGTGCTGAGTGAGATTTTGGTGGTTCAAAATTGGCTGGCCGAGCTGCATTGACAACAGACAAATCAGTCGGTCGGGTGTGTGGTAGTAAAGGAGGTGCTGGACCTCCTGGTTTTGGCGGTCTTGGTGGAGGAATATCAGGGTTTATGTCTGTAGAATCATCCATAGCCAAGATATCATCAAGAGATTTTGCTGATGCCGAATGAGGTATTGAACCTGGTATAGGTGGTGCTGGGCCTTTTTTGATAGAGTTGTTCCGGCTTTTCACAGACTTAGATGGTTTAGAAATTGAAGCTTTACTAAAAAAATCAGTTACTTCTTCAGATACATTATCTTTATCAATACTTGATGTTCGGCTCAAACTATCTTGAGACACAGTAGGTGGGCTTTTTGTTCCCCCATTTGAAAATAATTGCAACAATTCATCAGTAGACAACTTCTCTGATTTCTTTTGCCCTTCTTTGGAACTTTTTTCGGATCTGTTATTTTCCACTACTGCCAGAGATAATTTTTTCATTCCTAATGGCGATGGTGATCCAAGAGTTAGATTTTTTGTTACAGCATTCAAAGTTTCCAGATCACTTCCTCCTGAATCTGTTGTTACTGCTTCTTTAGGTTTAATAATGAACTTGAATCTTCTTCCTGGACGCATCATCAGAATCTGAATCTGAATCAGAATCACTACTAAACTGAAAATTATTTTTCTCAGATGCATGATCAGGTGTTTCCGGTCTGATAGTAAAACCTTCTTCATCCACTCTATACTCTGGTTCTTTTTCAGGAGAATCAAATCGATTCTGCATCTTTGCTGTCTTTGCTACTGGAACTATTAGTACTGACATCATTTCTTTGCTTAGCTTTCCTGCGTCTGATGCCACCAAATAATCCTCCAGATCCTTCCTTTTTACTTTTAGTTGGCTGTTGAGGTGGAGGAATTGGCAATGAGGCATCAACAGGGTTTCATGATTTGAAGTTCCATTTTCTACCACTGGAATAGAACCTGCCATTCCTGGAGTATACGGTTCAAACAGAATTGTCATTGGTCGTTCGGTTCCAGTGCCTTTTTGCTCTGAATATTGTTGTAAAAGATATCCGACTGTGTTTCATTTATTTGCCTTCGGAATTCTTGATGAACTTGATTTTATCAAAACGTGAGCATTTTCGAATGATAGAATATATGTGTCCAGCACTGACTTCATGTGGTGAAGATGCTCCTGTTCAATTTTCTGAAACTTTTGCGCAGAATCAAACATTTTTTCTTCAAACAAATGTCGAGCAACTGCATGCTTACCGACCTGTGATTTATATTCTTCAGCAGCTTTACGACTTTTAGTTCCTGCTTTTTCTATTTCTTTTTGAGCACCACCCGACATTTTAAGCCTCTCTTCTTCGGCACAAACTTGATTGTATTTTTCTTTATATTTCATCACAGAAGTGGTAGCAGTTTGAATATTATGCAATGCATCAACAGTTCCACTAAATGTATCCTTGCTGTGTTTATGCTTATTTTTTTGCTCCTCCAAATATTTCGATAAGTCTTTGATAATATCTTGTAACTTGAGCACAATATCCATATGGCAGCTGGATATTTTTTCTGTCATTACTTTTAGGACATCCATTAGCGGCGCGAACGTACCAAGCGGATTGCAGTTCGCTGCTACTTTGGCTAACTTAGTCATGTGTTTAGCATACATTTCTTCAGCACTGGCACTTTCTCGAATAAAATCTTGTAAATCCTTGACAGATATTTGGCCATGTTTCATGTTATGATGTAAAACGTTAAATCCAAGATTCTTCTCACCCCAGAAATGACCAGCAAAATGATCAGCTGGACTTTGTAGGGGTTGAACAGTTGAATGAAGTAGATTTCCACTTGTTGGATCTTCAGGTATCGGAGATGATAGCAGATCCATTATTGGATCTCTGATAAGATGTACCAAAGCAAAAAATAAAGCTTTTTATAATAGGCAACTGTCCTAGTAAACAAAAAGTGTAGCAAACAAAAAACAAGACTTTTTAGAATATGAAAGACTCTCTTGATGAATAATACTATAGCTAAGTTAGTTAATAAAAACATTTTGATTTAAACTATGGGATAGCATTGTTTTCAGAGAATCATCAAGTCAAAATTGGCTAAATTGTATCTTTTCGTACTTCTAGTGGGCACGTCTCAACAATTTTTGCATATATGTCATTTTTAACCCCCATTTGACCACGCCATCCAAAAATTACGTCACTACCGTATGACACAAAATTGACGTAACGCCAGGACTCACAGACAATCACTCAAAATTGAGTCTTATACCTGTTGTTTACAGAGTCATACTCTCTCTCTCGTTTTCTTGATGTAACAATTCCGATATGACAGAGAGGACTGGCAATATTGAGGTAATTATCATCAGCACTGAAGCCATTTCAGGCGATCATAGCTCCAGTTTAGCAAGCCCTACTGCTCTATGACAGAGGTTGGCAACCTCGCTGTCTTGTGTCGCTCGCGGGCCAAAATTGAGGGTTAGGGTTTTTCTGTGTGTTGCCATTTGCCTAATTATAATAAAATTGTAGGCTTGTTAAACGAATAGCTGTTCACTAAATTGTTGGATAATAATATTTTTTATCTACTCATGTCTCACAATAAATTGAAGAATAATCAACTCGAGGCGTGGATTATAAAATATTCCTATAATTCAGTGAAGTGTTGCGGGCCAGATTGTAGGTTGCCGACCCCTGCTTTATGACGGCACCGTAGTCAGGTAGGGCTTACAGGCTTCAGAGGGCTCAGGAATATCAGTACCGGGGTACCGATACTAGAATACCGGTAACCTTTCCTATCCCACGGGATACTGGGATAATAAACACCCGTAGCCTAGTTAACGTTAAATCCTATCTGTTGCTGTCGGTATTGTAATGCCATACATGATGTGCAACAGACAGTCCCCAAACTCGTAATAGAACTAAAATAAGGAAAATCGAAATAAAATTATGGCCTAACCTCTGTGAAGCTAGCAGCAAAACACGAAATTGTGACTGACAGAATCGCAGAAAATACCCACGCGTAAAATTAAATGTTCCCAATGATTTTTATAAGAAAGTGTATATTTAGATTAGTTTCACAATAGCAATTAAAGCAAAACAATCATTAACTACACTCCTCGTATTGTTAATATATGGTAAACAAGCTAAAGCGACTGTTACAGTGCACAAAATTTTTTTATAATTCTTTGAGAGATGTTTAAAAATGACTGAATTTTCGTCGTGTAACATGGTCGTTTCATGAAAACCTCCAATAAAGGTAGCATTGCAACACCATTGGTGAAAAGTAGAAACCTCAAAGATTCGATTTCAATATGTCAGAACAGTCTCAGCACGTTTTGACTTGACCATATATAATACTAAACATAGCGTATATTCTTCAATTTTTAAAACAATGTATATACAACAAATTTGAAACTGATTTTGTATTTCAATTAAAATTACTGGATAGTTCATCAAAGAAGATATTTTTCTCTTTGTCACACAACAATAATGCACTTCATTAAACTTAGAATAAGTTGAGTAAAGTCTGGAATACTGAAAAAAAATTTACGCCCTCTTGTGGATTCTTTGATAAATTTCACAAAATTATCGTTTTCGAAAGGGCGATTTCTCAAAAACCGCCAATAAAGGCAGCACTACGACACATTCGAAGAAAAGCAGATACCTTATAGATTCGATTTTAATATGTCAGAACAGTAGCAGCACGTTTTGACTTGGCCAAATATAATTCCAAACATAGCGTATATTTTTAATTTCATTAAAAAAATGTAGATGTGACATATTTAAAAACGGTTTGGTATTTCAACTAAATTTACTGAAAAATTCATCAAATACTTTCTTCTCTTGGGTATACAACAAAACTGTACGTTCATTAAACTTGGAATTAGTGTGCAAATGTTAAAATGCCAAAAAATGATTTGACGCCCTCTTGTGGATCCTTTTCGGAATTTCGAAAAATTATCGTTTTTGAAAAGGGCGATTTCTCAAAAACCGCCAATAAAGGCAGCACTACGACACATTCGGAGTAAAGCAGATACATTATAGATTTGATTTCATTATGTCAGAACAGTAGCAGCACGTTTTGACTTGGTCATATATAATACCAAACATAGCGTGTATTTAAACTGTTATAAACAATGCAGACGTAACATATTTAAAAACGGTTTGATATTTCAACTAAATTTTCTAGATAATTTATCAAACATCTTTTTCTCTTGGACATACATATATACTATTCGTTCAATAAACTTGGAACAAGTTACGGAAAGTATAAAATACCAAAAAGCATTTTACGTCCTCTTGTGGATTATTTTCAAAATTTCAAAAAATTATCGTTTTTGAAAAGGCGATTTCTCAAAAACCGCCAATAAAGGCATCACTACGACACATTCGGAGTAAAGCAGATACCTTATAGATTTGATTTCATTATGTCAGAACAGTAGCAGCACGTCTTGACTTGGTCATATATAATACCAAACACAGCGTGTATTTAAACTTTTATAAAAAATGCAGACGTAACATATTTAAAAACGGTTTGATATTTCAACTAAATTTTCTAGATAATTTATCAAACATCTTTTTCTCTTGGACATATATATATACTATTCGTTCATTAAACTTGGAAAAAGGTTGCGGAAAGTATAAAATACCAAAAAGCATTTTACGTCCTCTTGTGGATTACTTTCAAAATTCCAAAAAATTATGGTAATTGAAATAGCGATTTCTCGAAAACCGCCAATAAAGGCAGCACTACGACACATTCGGAGTAAAGCAGATACCTAATAGATTTGATTTTATTATGTCAGAACAGTAGCAGCACGTTTTGACTCGGCCATATATAATACCATACATAGCGTGTATTCAAACTTTTATAAACAATGCAGTCGTAACATATTTAAAAACGGTTTGGTATTTCAAATAAATTTCCTAGATAATTTATCAAACATCTTTTTCTCTTGGACATACATATATACTATACGGTCATCAAACTTGGAATAAGTTGCGGAAAGTATAAAATACCAAAAAGCATTTTACGTCCTTTTGTGGATTATTTTCAAAATTTCAAAAAATTATCGTTATTGAAATAGCGATTTCTCGAAAACCGCCAATAAAGACAGCATTACGACACATTTGGAGAAAAGCAGATACCTTATAGATTTGATTTTAATATGTCAGAACAGTAGCAGCACGTTTTGACTTGGCCATATATAATTCCAAACATAGCGTATATTTTCAATTTTGTTAAAAAATGTAGATGTGACATATTTTAAAACGGTTTGGTATTTCAACTAAATTTACTTGGAAAATTCATCAAATACTTTCTTCTCTTGGGTATACAACAAAACTGTACGTTCATTAAACTTGGAATTAGTGTGCAAATCTTAAAATGTCAAAAATGATTTGACGCTCCTTGTGAATCCTTTTCGGAATTTCGAAAAATTATCGTTTTTGAAAGGGCGATTTCTCAAAAACCGCCAATAAAGGCATCACTACGACACATTCGGAGTAAAGCAGTTACCTTATAGATTTGATTTCATTATTTCATAACAGTAGCAGCACGTTTTGACTTGGCCATATATAATACCAAACATAGCGTATAATTTTCAATTTTATCAACTATGTAGATGTAAACATATTTAAAAAACGGTTAGGTATTTCAACTTAATTTACTGGATAATTCATCAAACACTTTTCTCTCTTGGTCATACATCAAAACTGTATGTCCATTAAACTTGGAATAAGACGGCGAATCCAAAAATAACAAAAAATGATTTGACGCCCTCTTGTGGATTTTTTTCGAAGTTTTTAAAAAAATATCGTTTTTGAAAGGGCGATTTCTCAAAAACCGCAAATAAAGGCAACACTACGACACATTCGGAGTAAAGCAGGTACCTTATAGATTTGATTTCATTATGTCAGAACAGTAGCAGCACGTTTTAACTTGGCCATATATAATACCAAACATAGCGTGTATTCAAACTTTTATAAACAATGCAGACGTAACATATTTAAAAACGGTTTGGTATTTCAACTAAATTTCCTAGATAATTTATCAAACTTCTTTTTCTTTTGGACATACATATATACTATACGTTCAGTAAACTTGGAATAAGTTGCGGAAAGTATAAAATACCAAAAAGCATTTCACGCCCTCTTGTGGATTATTTCCAAAATTTCAAAAAATTATCGTTATTGAAATAGCGATTTCTCGAAAACCGCCAATAAAGGCAGCATTACGACACATTTGGAGAGAAGCAGATACCTTATAGATTCGATTTTAATAAGTCAGAACAGTAGCAGCACGTTTTGACTTGGCCATATATAATTCCAAACATAGCGTATATTTTCAATTTTATTAAAAAATGTAGATGTGACATATTTAAAAACGGTTTGGTATTTCAACTAAATTTACTGGAAAATTCATCAAATACTTTCTTCTCTTGGGTATACAACAAAACTGTACGTTCATTAAACTTGGAATTAGTGTGCAAATCTTAAAATGCCAAAAATGATTTGACGCCCTCTTGTGGATTCTTTTCGGAATTTCGAAAAATTATCGTTTTTTAAAGGGCGATTTCTCAAAAACCGCCAATAAAGGCAGCACTACGACACATTCGGAGTGAAGCAGATACCTTATAGATTTGATTTCATTATGTCAGAACAGTAGCAGCACGTTTTGACTTGGCCATATATAATACCAAATATACCGTGTATTTACAATTTTATAAACAATGTACACGTAACATATTGTAAAAAGATTTTGTATTTTAACTAAATTTACTGAATAATTCATCAAACATCTTTTTTTTTGGACGTACACCAATAATGAACGTTCATTAAACTTGGAATAAGTTGCAAATTGTATAAAACAACAAAAAAATGACTTACGCCCCATAGTAATTTTGTTTAATATCTCGAACATAACGTTTTTGGAGTGGCGATTTCCACAAAACCGCCAATAAAG